ACCTCTCTTAGTTTTTGCATCCGGGGTTGAGCTTCCTTTTCCTCTGTGCCTGGTGCGATGAGGACCTAGGTTTTTCGGGACCTCTGAGAAATCCGAATCCATCCTTGCAAAAGGCACCACCGAACTTCGCCAAAATGACCGAGCAGATGACAGTGAGGGGTACCCTGAAGGGCCACAATGGATGGGTCACCCAGATCGCCACTACGCCCCAGTATCCCGACATGATTCTGTCGGCGTCCCGAGGTGAGGCTTCCCCGCCGGCTCCGCCAACATGGCTACATTAGCATTGGTCGGCTAGTTGGTTCTCTACTGTAACGGAGAAAGAGATTACCGTGCCGGTGTGAGGATGTATAAAAGACACAATATCTGTCTCAAAGTCATGTCACAGCCTTTTAATATTGGTTATTTAACAACTGCGTAATGTTCACGGATAAGACTCCGGTCTGCCAAGCTAACTAGCCCGCTAACTACTATCTGTCGTCATGAGTGTTTCATTCACAGGTGCCCACACTGCAGCTGTGACACGTGTAATATCATGGGAAAAAAAAAGTGCAACCAATATGGTCGCCGAATGTGTGCACTTGTTAACTATCCCCTACTTACTCACCAAAGTTGACTTATGTGACAGCTTCCGTTACAGGCCCCAGCACACTGATGGTAACACATGCTTGTGAGTCCAACAAACTGAAAAGATTAAAAAAACCCCACTTGTGTTGTGTTTTCAGACAAGACCATCATCATGTGGAAGCTGACCCGTGATGAAACCAACTATGGCATCCCCCAGCGCTCTTTGCAGGGCCACTCTCACTTTGTCAGTGATGTTGTCATCTCCTCAGATGGACAGTTTGCTCTGTCAGGCTCATGGGACAAGTCCCTCCGTCTGTGGGACCTCACCACGTAAGTGTGGGCATAGAAGTGAATTCAGAGTGTGGGAAGCCCGTGTGTTAATCTTACGTGTGAAACATGAGTTTAAGTGAACAGGGATACTGCTGTAGAACTTCAAGAGCCTGTTGATAGTTGTGGGAAAGCAAAGAGTTACAAAAAGAAAAGACAAAAGTAGCCGTGTTGCCCATCCTTGAAATGAGTCAAACTGCACCCATTCTGAGTATAGCCCTTTACTAAACTTTAAACTTCATTGACAAATGTTTTCTATCACATTTAAAGGATCCTTTACACAATATAAATGCAGAAAGTTAACCTTTTAAATAAATAAAAAAACATCACCTTGTATGCAACTTTAGATTATTTAAGCCACGAAAAGTCACAAACTGGCCTTTTTGTGCAGGGGTTAAAAATCATAAAGACACATTAAATCAGTTTGGAGCTCTGCTTGGTTTGGTGGAGCCAAGTATATAAGTGATAAGTATTTGATGAGTGGTGTCAGTTTGCAAAGTTAAAAAGGTCACTGACTCGAGGTCTTAGTGTTTTTGGAATATTTGTAGAGACCAGACATGTTTAATTTAAGTATAAAACTGTTCTCAAGGAGATCAAACTAAGATTTGATTTGAGAAGTCTCTCTTTTGTGTTTGCCGAAAGTGTCTGCACAGTTTAATAGAGAGAAAAAGTGAGCACAAGGTGATATTATCTGTGGCTTTGTTAGTGATTTGTGTAATAGTGTTTACAACAATACTTGTCAAATTAAATGTTGACAAAAGTCTTAATTTGTCTCGTATCACAAGCCAAAATTCTCTAGCTTTACTACCAACCTGTTGAACGCACTTTGGAAGCTCTCTGCTCCAAAACACATCAAACGTGGCCGTTGTTACTGATGGTCTTTTCTGCCAATCTGTGATGTGTCAATACATTGTAGTAGAAATAAAGTTAAAGCAGGACATGATAGAGTGAGCTTAACCCCCAGTGATAGATAAAGCAGCCAAATCACAATGTCTTAAATTGTTTGATGTTGCTGGAAAATCACAGAATCATAGTTTTGTATTTTATTGCTCATTCTTGTCAACCCTTAATAGAAATTTGAGACTATAGTGTCAACAACTTGTCAGGTAGTGACCATTTAGTGTCATCAGAATCAGCTATATTCACACACTACTCAGTACTTACACACTCAGGGGATTTGTCTTTCATAACTGAGCTCTCAATGAAAACAAGTATGACATTAAATATATCAGCAAAATGACTAATGTATACAAAGCTAAATAATATAATGGTGCAGTGGTGAGTAGTTAAAAAATGCTGAGATGAACATAATAAATATGCAACTATGTAACAGATGATTAATTTACATGATGGAGAGGTTTTAGTCATTAACTGACTTAATGGGTGTTAGAAATGGACCTCAAGATTTTACTTAATCTTCCTTTACTGCCTCCATAAGCCATCATACAGAGTTTAAGGTTGCCTCGGAGTACTTTTGCAGTATTCAGTTAAATTTAAAAAGACATAGTTTATTTAAGACTCGCCTCACTGTAAGTGTTTCAAAGCTCTAACCTTTATAGAAGTAATGGTCCTTGAAATGCTCATGCTAACCTGTACATATTTTCTTATGTGCAACAGTTTTTCTCATCTAAAATGTTTGGTGTAATATCTCCAGTGGCTGCACCACCCGGAGATTTGATGGCCACTTGAAGGATGTTTTGAGTGTGGCCTTTTCCGCTGATAACCGCCAGATCGTGTCTGGCTCCCGGGATAAGACCATCAAGCTGTGGAATACTTTGGGAGTCTGCAAGTACACCATCCAGGTGAGGCTCCACCTGAAGTTGTCTCGTGGGTAGCAATCAGGGGAACCTGATGCTCAGAGTGCAATAGCTTTCCGATGCTCTAAAAACAAAGTTGAAACTTTGCAACTGAAAAGAAAACTGCAATCAAATTAGGAGTTATCTTAAATTGTGTAAACTTGACAAACATATTTACAATACTGTCTTTCTCATCTTTATTTCCAGCAAATTTTGACTTCATAACATTATGCAGTCCCCTTAGCTTTATGAACCTGTATATTATCAGTGTGTGAGAAATGTAGCCCTACTTGTCTGATCAGTTGGTAGAGAGGTCATCTGACAATTTAGAAACCTATAATTCACTGGTGTGGGATAAGCAGAGACTCTTCTCCTCTAATTGCAGGACGAGGGTCATTCTGAGTGGGCATCCTGCGTGCGCTTCTCACCCAACAGCAGCAACCCCATTATTGTCTCCTGCGGCTGGGACAAGGTGGTCAAGGTAAGAAATCAAAGTTACTTGAAGTTACATATTAAACATAATTTCAAACTCTTACTTGAAACTTGAGCTTAAAAATACCATGAGTTTCTTGAGTTGTTTTTAAATTTCAAAACATGCATATATTTTCTACCCTTAGTGCTGATTAGAATGTTTGTCAATGAAGCCTTAACCTCAATTATCCGTTGAAAATACTTTAATACTTAATGTGACTCAGTCTAACCATCCTGTGTTGCTAGGTTTGGAACCTTGCAAACTGCAAGCTGAAGACCAACCATATCGGCCACACTGGCTACCTGAACACAGTGACAGTCTCACCCGATGGCTCCCTGTGTGCATCTGGAGGAAAGGTATAAACATTTGTTTTAGACTGCTATGGAACTGTTTTGAGATTATTCTTTATATAATCTGAAGCTAATGTGAGTCAATGGTGCAGGCTTCAACAGTGATGAAAACATATAAAGCATCTGTTTAACATTGATGATAAAGAGGCTGTTTCTGAGTGTTGCCTGCACTTAAATATGTCAGTGTTTATGATTTTATAAAAATTAGTATGAAACAAAGTTTTTTGCAACTACACATTTAAATGTCTTAGAAAGGAGCTATATGTGGAACTTTAATTACAAATACGGTTATTGTTGTGCTTCCTTTTTTGTCCAGGACGGTCAGGCCATGCTGTGGGACCTGAATGAGGGCAAGCACCTCTACACCCTGGACAGTGGTGACACCATCAATGCACTCTGCTTCAGCCCCAACCGTTACTGGCTGTGTGCCGCCACTGGCCCCAGTATCAAGATCTGGGTAAAAAACTGTTCCTTAATATCCAATGATTGGCATATGCTGCTAAAAGCTAGTTCAGAGTGCGGTGATGAAACTTCCAATGCCAACTGTATTATTTGATGATAAAGAGGCTGTTTCTGAGCTCTAACCTGGACCAGATGTTTTTTTGTGTTTAGTTGTGGCTTTATTAACTTCTTCAATTGAGCTTTTTCTTCTCCTTAACTGTTGCTGATTGTACTGCCTTTATTTTTTTGCCTTATGTAGGATCTGGAGGGCAAGATCATTGTGGATGAGCTGAGACAGGAAGTGATCAGCACAAATAGCAAGGCTGAACCTCCCCAGTGTACTTGTCTGGCATGGTCTGCTGATGGACAGGTATAATACACGGCTATGTAGGACCTTTTCAGTACATATGTGTGACAAGTTGGTGATTATGTTGTGATTTTCCCCAGTGATTATAACCATTCACATTTAACACTGATGTCCAATGATGATATACCTGCAAATATGAGGGGAACTAAAAACATGAATACTTACTTTAAAATGTTCTTAATATTGGACTAAATATTTGGTAATTAGTGGGTTTTGACGTAATGTATAATTTCCATTTTTTTACAGACCCTGTTTGCTGGCTACACTGACAACCTGATCAGAGTGTGGCAGGTCACCATTGGAACTCGATAAGAACGTTTCATCAGAGCAACTTTGAATAAAAGACTGTTTGAAAAGAACATCTGTGCTCTCTGTTTCAACCATTTCTGATATCAATGATAAGAATACTTGCTTTAAGAAAACAATGAAAATAAGAAGGAGAAGCATTTTTAAGTTAAGATGTGACAAAGTACACACATTTGGCATGCACGAAAATGATTGTTCAATGTGGAATTTGATAATCTCAGAGAAGCTGAAGTATATCTGAACAACAGACTGAATAATATATCTATATTATATGTACGTCTATACCGTCTATGATCTGAATAGTGTTTGATATGCACCGTGTGAAGATTGACCTTGTTGGCGTTCCGTAGGCTTGAAATGGTATCTTAGCAACCCGCATAGACGCACTAAAGCGGGTCGGTCAGCAGGGTTAAGTTCTCGAGATAATTTCACAATTTAAGACATTTTATAACAATCAATTTGTTAACTGGACCATCTTCACTTAACTTCAGTGTGAGCCTGCATTTGTTAATATAAGTTAATTAATGCCCGACTTAAATTTTCCGACCGAAGGACCGACATCAAATCTGGTAGATGTCTTAGCTTTATGCTAACGTTTAAGTGTCACAGTAGAAGATGGACCAGCCGTCATGTAAGCGAATTTATGTAGAAAGAACCCTGGCTCTAATTAAACCAAATGCAGTCGACAAAGCAGAGGAGATTGAAGACATTATACTAAAAGCTGGCTTCACTATCCTACAAGTAAGTCGAAAGTAGTAGGCGTGCTTTAAGGTTGTCTTACATCGTGTCAGGTAGCGCTTGTTGAGTGATTCATTGTCTGATGATTTTACATGATTGTTTGGGTCTATATATATAATACTGTTACAGAGAAGTAATTCCATCAGTGTGAAGTTATCCACCGAGCTGACAATGTATAACCTACTACGCAAAATAACAACCTTTAAGGAATATCCTACATTTAAATAACCTACTCAACACAGTGAGCAGAATCATCAGACAATGGCAGACTTTAACTCTTAAGGAAAAAAAAATGGGAAAACAATCTTTGATGCTTACATTTTATTTAACTGTCCAATACTCAATTCCTATGCAAGAAGAGAAAGCTGCAGCTCAGTCCAGAGCAGTGCAGTGACTTTTACGCAGACCAGTATGGAAAGCTGTTCTTTCCCAGCTTGACTGCCTTCATGAGCTCTGGCCCCATCGTTGCCTTGACTCTGGCCCGTGACGACGCTGTGACCCACTGGAAGTCCATCATAGGGCCTGTCAACAGCGTCAAAGCCAGAGAAACACATCCAGAGTGGTCAGTATGTGTAAATATAAATCACTTATGACCCATGATAGCTAATCCCGACTTGACTATGTTCTAAAAAAAAGGTTCTTACTTGGCTTTCCTGTGTGTTTTCTTCTAAATATGTTCTTTGGGATTGGTTAAGCTGACAGGGGAGAAACATCCATGCCTTAAGTCTTCTTTGCTCTTCAAAAGTTCTTGCAAAGCTTTATGGGTTGGGAGCATATCGTCTATGGTTGGGAGTCATTGTCATGCAGCATTATGAACCCTTCTCCACAAAGATACAGACCAGAAGGAATAGTGTGTTTCTAAATAGAGGAGTTAGGCTTGTGTCAGTATGCAGTCAATTCAGAGACTTGACTATTTCTACTAATATGCCTCACTGTTCATTTGACACGTTGATATTATTTTCTCTCCTGTTTGTCTCCACAACTTCAAGTATTGTCAGTTAGACTTCTATTTAACATTGTTTCAGTGGTCATCCTTGGTTTCAACCCAAGTGTGAGGCCTGATTTTCCTCCTGAAAAATGCAGGGTGATTTTCACTGGGTTTTTTTGTATCATTCGAGTCTTTCTTTCTTTGGCAAATTTTGACCACCTAAGTTATAAATGTGCTTTTCCTTTACACACATGGAACCTAAGCTTCATGTATTGAAGATTATTTCAAGTATCAACACACAATTTAACCTCTGACACTTTGATACATTTAAAGGCAGGTTTTACACTAACAATATACGTAGTAAGCAATGATCCCCTGGAAACTAAATTATAACTTACTTGTAACGTTTATGTGTAATGTCACCTATTTATATTAGGTAAACATTGGCTGAGAGTTACTTGAGTGGGGCTGGTGAGTAGATCCTATTCGCTGAGTCTCATTCCCTGATTTTTATCCTAGTCACAGGAGTGATTTTTCATGTGGTGTTAAACTCTTGACCCCATTGAGAATTTAGATATTTAGAAAAACCTTATACAACCATTCCTTCACCACAACATAAGTTTTGTTTCCTTTATATTAGTGTGACAACACATCCACATTAGGGTGACATAGTACTTGTGTCAGACAAAGTCAGATAGGGAGTGCTTGCATGGACGCATTATATTTAACAGGCAGGAAAATAGTTCAAAAACCAGTTCTGTCTACATACATTTTTTTAATACTTTTTATTTGATAGTTTTGAAGAAAAATAACATAAACTGTCAGCATGAGCATAGATCTACATATAAGTGCATCATATATACAGACATGGATAAATATTTATGTTAGCTCATTCTACAACAGAAGAGAAGAGTGAGCAAAAAGGAAGGAAAAAATGAAAATGAAAATAATAAAATAGAAAAAGAGCAAAAGAACAACAGAGCATATTAACTTATCAAAAAGAATACATAAAAAATGAAAGACAAAACAATAAAAGAAAAAGTGGGCCTTGGATTGTTGATCATCCACTTATAACCTCATCACACAGAAGGTTAAAGGTTTGTGCAAATAATTTTCTGTCAAAAGTTTTATATTAATGTGCATTTTTTCACAGCCTTAGAGCAAAGTATGGAACTTCTGACCTGAAGAACGGGCTCCATGGCAGTGCAACATTTAGTGTGGCTAAAAGGGAGATCAAATTTATGTTCCCTAACTGTAAGTAAATACACACACTAACATGGTATGGCAATAGAGTATTGAACACTTGTTTTCTCTTTGCTTTAGTTAGTTAATAAGTTCATTTGAATCAGGGACAGTGTACAAAAGAGTAGAGATGCTTTGTACCAGATTTAGCTAACTAGCTAATTTCCATCTGTTGTCCCTGGGCAGATGATGACAAGAGTCATGCACACACACACACATTTCATAAGAGAGTAGAAAGACATATAACAATATACAGATATTATCTGTAAGACATTATGTAGAAGTTTCCCTGAGATGTAAAATGTTGTTGAGATGACACATTCATGCTGACAAGACTGGTTACTTAAATTCATTTTTTGACTTGCGGGAGAAAGTGCAGAAGTTTGTGAAAAGTTTCAGACTAGTTGGAAGATTATTCCATTCTTGAATGGCTTTAAAAGAAAAATCAGATTTTGCTAAAGCGGAACCACGATTAGGAACACTGCAATCTCCGTTTGAGGCAGACCTTGAAGATCTGCTTATGTACTCAGAGCAAAGTTTCACAAAACTGTTCAATGGCGGGGGAGCAGCATCATGGATTATCTTATACACTAAGCGGACATCAGAATACGCAATTAAATGATCATAGCTTAGAATTTTTAATTTATCAAGTATATCACAATGATGATACTGTTGTGATTTTACAGCTATTATTGAGCCCTTTCCCTCTAAAGAAGCAACAGCAGAGTACCTGAGTAGGTATGTGAACCCAACTCTGCTGCAGGGACTCATAAATCTCTGCAAGCACAAGCCACAAAACCCCTGTGTAAGTATTAGAGACTTTATATTTAAAGATTTAGTAAGAAGGCAGCCATGTATTATTGAATATAACTGTAACGATGATGTTCCATCTTTTGTTTTCAATAGATCTGGCTTGCTGACTGGCTGATCAAAAATAATCCAAACAAGCCTCAAATATGTGATGGAGCCATTGTGGAAGAAGTAGAATAGCTATGTGAATTATTTTTATAAATGCATAATTCAAACATTTTTTAGAACCATTCTTCTGGTCACTTCTTACATTAAATAAAGGTTTTTGTCAGTACTAACCATTTTTGTTTTTCGTCTTATTTCAACCAAGCAATGGTGAACATGTTAGGGTCTAGTTTACTGGCATTAATAGTTTCTTGTTGCTCCTCTGTCCACTATTCAGTCTCTTGTCCGCACACGGCTTTTTTTTTGCGTTTATCTATCAGTCTTCATTCAAAAAAGGAAATGCCCAACCTTTGACTGTGGTCTACTGGTATTATTTCATTCATTATGTAAGAAGTGGACAGAGGTGCAATTCAGTGAAATACGAAACATAACGACTGACTGAACCACTGTTTTAAAAGGACAGTAGTTGATCGTCGTGTAGATAGATTGTGCCTCCCAGCAAAGAACAAACCCTTCTTCATTAACAGCAGTAAAAAAAAACGTACTCTGCGTGCCTTCCTGTGCATAGAAGGCGTGGACTTCTTCTGTGTAAAGAAAGCGTCGTGTATCTGATTGGTGAGTGCCGTGAAAGACAGCCCTAATTGTCCAATCAGAAGGTTTCTCCGTGGAAATGTTGGTTTTTTTCTGCCGGTTCTAGAAAACCAACCACGAGTTGTCGTCGTGTGGGAGAATCCATCTTGAAGAGAGCTCTCCGGTTGTGTGACTAGTAAGCACATTTTCGTACTTCTTTATCAATTTTTTTTAAACGTGAGTATTTTGACCGGTGTATAATTATAGTAACGTTTTGATTGTTTTCTTAATATCTGCAAATATCGTGAAATATTGGCCTACTGTACTGCTTGCGGTTCCTCCGCATTACGTAACTGCGAATAAGAGAAACAGTATAGCCAAGGCTGGGTTTATCAGTGTTGCAGACAGTAACAATTTTTTGATAGGTAACTCCAGACGAAGTGGGCGTTAGATATCAGTGTGTTATTGGCTTTTGTAAATAAGCATTAGTGTGTCACCATAAGCTGGCAGCGGGCAACAAAGACGGTGTACTATGAATGTATGGAACGCGGTTGTGCCGGTCAAAATGGTGGGAAATGCATGCATTGGCACCATGTAAATGGCGTGCACGGCGAAACTGATTATGTAACCAGCGCCTATTTGTTTTTCCCTTCTCTTCTTTTCAGGTTTAAATAGTTTAAAATGTCTGAGATAGAGCAGCAGTATATGGAAACATCGGAAAACGGCCATGAAGTCGACGATGATTTTAACGGAGCCGGCCAAACCGAGGAGGGGATCGACGAGAGCGCTGTGAATGACTGCGGAGAGGCTGAAGGAGAAGCAGAGGCAGAGGGAGAGGGAGAGGGCGAGGGAGAGGGAGAGGGCGAGGGTGCCGACGCCGATGAGAACTCGCAAAACGGCGGCACAGAGGGCGGCCAGATCGACGCCAGTAAAGGCGAGGAGGATGCCGGGTGAGTGTATAATGGAAAAAAATGTGAATCCCTTCTATAAACGACCCCCGAGATGCACTCTTGGTTAGGCATGTTTCTTTGTTCAGCCGGCCTTTGTTGGCGCCATATGCAGAGCGGAGGGGGGATGGGCGCCTCAGTGTAGATCAATTGTAGCATGCATTTGCGCATGAAATATGCCGTATACTATATATCTGCTGTTGCAGCATTAGCTTTTTTTTTTTTTTTGCAGTAAATTCATTTAATGTTGTAATTAGCCTGAAAGCAAAGCAACTTAAGCATGCCTATCCACGTCATGGCTCAACAGATGTTCGGGAACAGTGTGTTCATTTACACCCCCTTCTGCCCCGCACAGTCCCCACCCCCACAACCCTATATTAAGTTGGAGCAGAGGTACTGCGTGTAATCCTAAACATGTCCCCTTCCCTTCGTTGCATAGGAAAATGTTTGTTGGTGGGCTCAGTTGGGACACAAGCAAGAAGGATCTTAAAGATTACTTCTCTAAATATGGCGAGGTGACGGACTGCACCATCAAGATGGACCAGCAGACAGGGAGGTCAAGAGGTTTCGGCTTCATTCTCTTCAAAGAGGCAGTCAGCGTTGACAAGGTTAGTGGGGAGACATTTTTGTAAGTGCTTTACTCACTCTTGATGTGTTTGTAGAATTGCGATTCTTATGTTGACCTTCTTTTTTTTCTTTTTTTCTTTTTTTTTTTAAAGGTCCTAGAACAGAAAGAGCACAGACTAGATGGCCGAGTTATCGACCCCAAGAAGGCTATGGCAATGAAGAAAGACCCAGTGAAGAAAATCTTTGTGGGGGGCCTTAACCCTGACACCTCTAAGGAAGTCATTCAGGAGTACTTTGGGACCTTTGGAGAGGTAAGCCACTGAATATATTTGGATTAGTTGAATAAAATGGTTATTATATTGACTGCTTCAAAAGTACCATTTATTCTGGTGTAGATCGAGACCATTGAACTTCCGCAAGATCCAAAGACGGAAAAGAGGAGGGGATTCGTATTCATCACATATAAAGACGAGGTTCCAGTCAAGAAGGTGATGGAGAAGAAGTACCATAATGTCGGAGGAAGCAAGGTGAAAACATTTAACATTTAGGTAGAAATGTGTGTTTTAACCATGTCTTTCAAATTGCAAAAGTAAAGTAACATTGCAACTTTATGTTTATTGTTTTTGTACTAGTGTGAAATTAAAATCGCCCAGCCCAAAGAGGTCTACCAGCAGCAGCAGTATGGTGCCCGTGGATATGGGGGGCGTGGCAGGGGACGTGGTGGTAAGCTCTTTATTTAGTATGTGTATCAACAAAATGTGTTTTGAGTTTTGTTCATTGGTAGACTTTTATTTGAGCTCAGCAACTACCTGGGTCCTGTATGCTGGACAGTTGTGACAAAGGCCTCACCTGTTGTTTTTAGGCCAGGGCCAGAACTGGAATCAAGGTTACAACAACTACTGGAACCAAGGATACAACCAGAACTATGGCTATGGACAGCAAGGCTACGGATACGGCGGCTATGGCAACTATGACTACTCTGCTGGTTATTACGGCTATGGGGGTGGCTACGATTACAGTAAGCGATAAGTGCCCCCAGGGAAAGAAAAAGAATGAGAAAAACTTTATTTTCTTGGTCCTCCTTGTTGTACAGAAGAACTCAGTCCCTTTTTCTCTTGTCCTCCAGACCAGGGCAATACAAGCTATGGGAAAACTCCAAGACGTGGAGGCCACCAGAATAGCTACAGGCCATACTGATCACACGTAGTGCAGGTATGCATTTTTGCATCATCCGTGGTAGTATGAGAACATAGCTGTAACCATTGGTGCCTTTTGACCCCAAAGATGTCCATCTATTCTAAATCCATTCAAGCATTGTGGTGGGGTTAGGGAAGGCTGTACTGTGGGGTCTGTGATCATAAAAGAAGGATTCATTCCACCTGTCAGCCATCTTAAGATGCATCTCTACAAACACTACTTGATCAATCAGGGTTGAGTTGGTGGTGGTTGAGAACAGGAATAAGGACCGTTTCACCTTTCACCAGGGTGCTAGGTGTAATAGTCCGCGGTCGGTCCCCCCCTCCCCCCAAAGTCTGTCCATTCACTGACTTGTCAAACTCATTCATGCACCTGTCTGTCTATGTGTAACTGCATGCCATATTTGGTTTATTCTCAGTAACGTTAAGCACCGTGTTTTTCTCTTAAGGTCTAAAGTAAATAAGAAAAAGAGATCCATGGTCTGACCACAGCGAACATGGGCTCTGGCTTTTCCTTTGGAGTTGGCAGAAATTTGGACTCATGCTCCATTTGTACAGATCAAGTGAGGAACTGGGGAAGCAAATGTCACTTTTCCACTTTTTATTTTATATTGTTTTGTGTCCATTTACATTTCCAGAGATGGAAGTGTTATTTTTACTGTACTTTTTGGTACCTTTTTGAATCTAATGTATTGTATGGTTGTATTTTTACATGTCTACTGGATTTACAGACGAGCAGGAGCAAGAGCTTTTAAAGCTCACAAATAAAACAATTTTGCTTTTTTTTCCTTTTGGTGTTTCTAGATCTTTAGTTATTTTCTCCCTAGCTGAGTGTTGGATGCGAGTTGCATGGCTTCAGATGTGGGATGAGGCTAAATAAGGGATTTAAACTATTCAAAGAGTGTAAAGTGAATGTTTGCAGATGGTCTAGTAGACGACAACCAGCATCTTTTCTTTCTTTTTGGCTTTTAAGGAGATTCTTCCCCCATAATGTTTGCAATTTTAAGTGGCTTTACTAGTGTTATTCAACTGAACGCAAGCCTGTTAATGTACGAGGGTACTCCCTCACTCACTGGAAACTCATTCCTCTAGTGTCTTGGGCAAATTGGTAGAAATAAACTTTTGGTTTATATTACACTCTGATCTTTTTGTTATTATTTGTAAAGTTAATGTTAAATGTTTTGTACTGTTAAATGGCTTGCTTCTAATGTCACAAGTAATGTTAACATCTCACCGGGTGCCTCTTGGGAAGCTGTGAGAGTGCTTCACTGACTACAGCAAAATCTGGCAGAGTGTAAAACCCAACCCAGTAGATGTGAAACTGAATCTCATGTTTTTGAATGTGTCCAGGAGTTAAAGATGGTGGCCTGGTAAGTGCTAATCTTAACCACATCTATTGAGAACTATGTTGCTGATCAGTGTCTTAAGTTGGGACTTCATATTTTTTACAGTGTGATTGTGAGTGAAAGAAGAGTCAGGATTTTTAAAGTGCTAAATGTTTATTTATTAGGTTTTTTAAAAAAATATTAGCGTCACAAGGCACCATCATGTATACAGGTCAGCTCCCAGGTTGTGTTGATATGCAGTATCTTGCTCCACGTTAAATATCTTAACATGGCGAACACCTGGAGGTTAGAACACAGAACAGTTTTTAAGAAATTTCTAGATTAAAAGAAAACTGTCATCATCTTGTAACTGACATTAAAAGCCCACTGTTGCTGCTTTGATAATCCCCGGCTTTAAACTTTGATACAGAAAAGACTACAATCTGTTTGATTAGCCGATTTAAGAACAAAGTGACTGAGTCCTCACAGTGTGGTGTTAAGCAGTAAGCAGCAACATGTTTTGCCTGATGGAATGAATGAACTTGTTTTATCTACTGGAACCTCAAGTATAAACATTCATATCTCTACCTCTGAACTTTATGAATGTGACCATCTGACAATGTCTGATGCAATTAAAAGTTTTTCTACAGGTTCAACAAACCTTAGATGTCTTCCTTTTCCAGTTTAAGACCATTGGTCTCCAGGTCTGTGAAAACAAGAGTAATGGAAGAAGTTATTCACCCACATGTCTTAAATCAATCATCAGTGTTCTGGCTCTTACTACATTAAGTGTTTGTCATACATACAGCAACAGTTTAAAGGCTAGAGGTGTTTGTAACTTACCTGAGAGGATACGATGAATACATCGTACCACCAGTTCTGCATCCTCCATACTGAAACACATTGGGGGTTTGAACTTCAAGACGCTCTCCCAGGGGCCATCTGTACTGACACAGATCAGATCCTCCTCCTTCAGTCTAATGTTAAGAGACAACTGGAATTGAATCATCACGCATCACAGGCAGTATAAAAACACAAGATGAAGTTGAAATAACGTGAATAGTGCTGTTTTGCAAAAAGTGTACCTTTTCACCACCCATGCTGCTGTTTTTGTGGCAGGGGTCTTCTGCTCCCTGTCTGTAACCAACTCAATACCCACAAACAATCCGACGCCCCTGTAATGTCGTTGAAGACTTCAAAATCAGACTGAATAAGGATAGAAACACTAACAGATGAATGTCTAAATACAATGAAAATATGGATTCTCATTCCATACTCATGTATTCAAGAACAGATTCTATTTATACCTGGAACTGATTGAAACCTTTGAAAGAGACTGGCAGAACTAGTTTTCTTAACTTATTTAGGTAAAGCAAATGCTAAAGAACAAAGATGTACTTAATCCACTTTAATGTAATATAGTATATCATTTGTATATCCCCATCCAGCCAGGTTTGACTCCTCTTCGATGAACGTTAAGCTTTGCAAATGTGGGCTCTTACGTCTTAGATATAGGTCATAGGTAAATATATTAACTATGGTTGAATTCTGAAGCTGCCAGTGTGGTCAATTATCTGCTGGGCAAAAATATTAATGTATTTTGTTTGTTTTTTTTATGGGAGGAGGTGCTTATTTGATGCACTAATAAATGGCTGGCATATTTCCATGAAAAAAAAATACTTTGAAACATATCCCACAAGCCATCCATCCAAAATCAATCGCCTATCAAATCATTACTCCTGACCATGACGTGTTCTGTATTCGGGGACATTCAATTGCAGACTGAACACTGCACATGTATTTGCTTATTGTCCGTCATGTCATTGATCATCACTCTGATGGTGCAGAGTGTTGGTCAGTGATACTCGATGTTTAGGGTACAATAATTGTTACCATACATCAGACAGCACTGCTGAAATACTATATGAACTATTGCACTAGCACTATACTGCATAAATAGAGAACATATTGCCAGTGTGACGATATCTGGGCAGTAATACTCTACTATTAAAAACATCTGACCATTTTCAAAAACAAGGTCATATGTCCACTGAATTACCTGTTTATTACAGCAGTACAAAAACAACAGTTTTATGAATCCTGATATTGAATCTTGTTCTACAATATTTTGTGTTCAAACACTGAGGTACAAGTGAGAGCAGTCAACAGTAATTAATATAGTTTCATAGTGAAAGTGTTGATAATGTAGATGCATAATATCCTGGTTGTTGAGCATTTCATTTGAGTTCAGTCAAGTGAAAAAAAATTAAAGCAAATCCAATGATTAGTGTCGATCATCCACTATCAACCAGGATGAACGGAAATAGTTGGATGTGGCAAGTATTGGAGGTCAGAGGGTTCATCAGGGTTGGTTGTGAAACAGAAAAAGAAAGAAAGAACTAAATGATGACCAGACTTTACCTATCAAGCGAAGTTCCCAATAACTGAAAACAGATTAATTGCAAGATATTAGAATATTAGAATTTGCTTTCTACGTGCCTGTGTGCTTCCTTACCTGACATCTCCAATTATTTGATGCTGGGATTGAAGCTTTGTGAGTAAACCTTTCAGATGTGCTCCCACCCTTGTGGCATTTCCTCTCAGGTCCTCTTTCTCAATCACATTCAGGACTTCCAGGCCAATTGCACAGGACACTGGGTTTCCTCCGAACTGCATAAATAGGGAGAAAATATGATTTGTGCACAATTAACTAGAGACAGTTTTAAACAGGTTTACAAAAAACAAGCTCTTGTTTCGTTCTTACAACGGAAATTTGTGTAAACACATCAATAAGCGCTGAATTCTAGGTATTCCTGTATATGATTCCTTTTTAATGTAGTAACATGGTGTTATATTAATAAGTGGATAACCAACAACTTGTAATCTGCAGTGAACAAACAATAATCCATTCCGAATCACCAGGGGGAAAACTCCATGACACATTCAGCCCTTCCTTGCCTGAAAAAACACATCTTCATGAAACTGACAACTGATGATATTAAAATAATACCTGTATATCACAGTATATGATGAATTTTGGGATTTCTTTGTGACTAGAAATGTTTAACAAAAACTCACAACAAAAATTGATAATACTGGACTGCTGTTCTGGCTGACACTTGGGGAAGGCCCTGGTTTCAAACTTGAAAAGGTAAACCATTAATTAAATGAATCTATATCGTCACCGTATTGAAGTATTCCACTCCATTGGCTGTGAACGCTCCAGCTATCTCTGCTGTGGTGGCCACGCATGCCAGGGGATGCCCATTGCCCATCGGTTTGCCCATGGTCACTATGTCGGGGCAGAAACCCTCCCCCTGCAACTCGAAGGCCCAGAAGTGACTCCCCACACGTCCAAAGCCCGTCTGCACCTCATCGGCCACATACACACCTCCAGCAGAGCGCACATATCTGCAGAGAGTTCGAGGGAGATGCACATTATTATTATTAGATCATGAGTCAAAAAACAGAACCTGACAAATAAGTATAACTGCTTACTCTGCAACTTTAGTTGAGTATCCTTGAGGGAAGATGATTTGTCCTCCAACACTTGGCAAGGATTCGGCAAAGAATGCAGAGATCTGTGTGAAGAATGTAGTAAAGAGTCAAATGTTTATTATGCATTCTTTATGTTTAATACAACAGTATAATGGTGTGTTTTGTGCAATACTGGTTTTATTCATATCTATTATCAGTATCAGATCCATAAAACTGAAAAGTGTACCTTTCGACCTTTATTATGCACATCCTCGATGAGGTCTTTAACTGTATCAGCGTATGCTTGTCCTGGGTCGGGGTGAGTGTCGCGGTATATGCCTCTATAGGTGTCTGGTAAGGGGGCCTAGCAGGAGACACACAATCTTTCAGATACGCAGGAAGTTACTGCTGGTCAGTCGTGTTTTATATATGAGGGTCATATGAATTTACACACCACATGAACCCATTCCTTCTGTCCTGCCAGTTTCCGGAACTTGTAAGGACTAATGTCGATGAGGGACATTAGATGCCCATGGTATGCACTGGTATAAAAGCAGAGTTAATTGTAATGGATAAGCAAGTGTTCTGTTAGAGGGTGACTGCTTCGCCCCAAGGAGCAGAAAACTTACTGGTCAAGCACAATGACATCCTCGTGCTGGGTATACTGCTGTGCCAGTCGCAGAGCCAGATCATTGGCCTCTGACCTGTCATGAGAGAAAAACTGTAACTATTGGAGTGGTACTTAAGGAATACCCTACTGCGGCACTGTGGGTGTATCAAACAATATTACTTACCCAGAATTAACAAAGTAGAAGACACACAGCTTCTCAGGCAAGGTGGCAGACAGGCGGTCTGCGTACATGACCCTGTTGTCGTGCAGGAATCGTGAATTGGTGTTTAGAAGGTCCATTTGTGCTGCTGCAGCCTTTGTTATGTCTGGGTGACAATGGCCCACTGCAGCAGAAAGCATACTGTATCATACTTACATATATAACAATCTGCCAGTAAGAGGCACTCGTGTAATAAGCTTTCTCATGTCAAAGTAATAACCAGGGACTCTGTACTGGATTTATAGCCTACATGTATGTTACCATGATGAACGTTGCTGATGCAGTCCAGATAGCGCTTGCCATTTTCATCGAATAAATACTGCCCTCTTGCTCTCACTATTTTCAAGGGGTCCTCGGAGTAAAAGAGTTTGCAGGACTGTCTGTAAAGAAAGGAAGAATAACAGACCCGTGACTTCAGCACAGCACAGCACAAAACTGGAAAAGTGAAACTGGCACACGAAAATCAAACCAGACTAATCAGTTTTCCATACCCGATTAGTCTCTTCCTCATTGCAAGAGTTTCTTCTTTCTGGAGTGCCATAGTGTCTTTGTTATTTGTGTTTCTATAGAATGAAACGCAACACAAAAGACTTAAGAGTCAGTAGACGCAATGCAATTCTATAATGGTCATCAGAAAGTAGCTGTTAAGGGCTTCATGGAACTGTTACGGTGACCAAACATCCTGACCACGCATGCGTCGGTTGTGATCACTTTAGCATTCTGTAGAGTTTCTTAAATCACGAATATTGTTTTGCTTTCTTAATTCGATATTAATATATTGTTATTATTTCATAATAAAGCGAAAGAAATAAACGTAAAAATGAAAAAGAAATATGTTTGCTTGCGACTGAAACATGGCCCAGTCTTTTTTGATTTTATACTGTTGCTTTATATAGGACGATCTAACTGTGGGGGGATGGTTAGCTGGACAGTCACTAAAAACTTTGGCGTAAACTTGTTGTTAAAAATATATTTTAACTTTTGGAAACACAACTAATGGTCATATTGTAAAAGTAGAAGATTAAAAATGTTGTTAGACTCCCTGAAATTGTAACGCGATTTTAAGCTGTTTTTTTCTCACTACCTGTGTATTGGTTTCGCCCAAAGGCTATATACTCCGCTGAACTGCCCTCTGTCCGATGCACTGTGTGCTGCTTCGGTTGCTAAGGAACCACTGAATGCAGGTAATACATCAGGACAGCTGTAGCATGGTAGCTTGCAAGCAGGCTACATAAGACAGCTAACGCTCCTACTAAATATGATATACACTATCGCTCCAGCTGTTACATCAATTGCATCTCTTAGTCTAACGAAAACTGATTACTATGCACCTTAAAACAAGCTATTAACTGTTAGCAAACATATTTGATGTGAGGAAAATGACGCTATAATGTTATTTAGGACACTTGTTATCGTAGCCACAGAACAGGCTAATAACTTACTAATAACGGACTTAATCTTGTTTCAGAGCTTGCTAACTATCTACTTTGCTTATCAGCCAAAGTTTGAATCTGATCCAGCCAGTAAACAAAGTTATGTTATAATCACTGATTAATTGTCAATGGCAACCAGATGTCCCTTTGCTTACACTGAAGACAGCGTTATCATTTTACAAATGGTGTTTGGTTGGTAATGTCTAGCTGTGCAACTCTACCTTTAACGCATTTGTTGGTTTGCATGTTTAAGATACGGAATGTATGGCTATATCTACTAAAACCTCACTGCTTGTCGTAAATGCGGTGTGTGTTAACTACGGAAATGATACGATTGTAAAATGAATCCGCAGTAACGTTTTTATTAAAGTGTGTGGGCAGGAGTGGAAAGGGATAATGTGTTTTGTTTTTAAATCAGCTTATTTAAAGAACTGCTTTTGATTTTATGCAGGTTACTCTGTGGTGCAAAGAACTGTAACTCTTGTCACCGAGTGAGGCTCAGCCTGTGCCGGTGTTACGGTTTAAAGAGTGACCGTGTTTTCTGGTGACTTTCAGGCGAACGTGTTAATGGTTGTCTGTACAACAGATGTTGAAGTCGTAACGTTACTATTTACAATCTATCGTTCTGGCGAGTGCTTCTGTGTTTAGTTTCTTTTACTAAAGACATATCCGATGAATATTTTCGATGTGGTAAAGACACTTTCCGTTTTTAACATCTGTTGTAATTACGACAACCACAAACGCATACGGCTGAAAGTCACCATTTTACACGGTCACTCTTCAAACCGTAACACCAGTGAAGTAGCTGATCTTCTGGCATGTGGAACTGAGCTAGCAATGTAGCACCATGTTTGCTACAAGGAGGGAGGCCCTGGAGGCCACCTCTGATCACAAATCAGAATTTAAATTCCGTTTAAAAAAAAAATCTGTAACAGTTTATTTGTCAGCATGCAATGTGTTTTTAGATTCTGGGTGCTCCACACTTGAAAAATAAAAACAGTGGTGGTGGTTAAAGGCCTTGTTACATTTCAATGCATTGGAAATAGTTTTTTTTCTGTTTTAGTTTCAGTTCGAGGTGCAAAGGTTTGCTGGTATTTCTTATAGATAGATAGACGCTTTATTGTCATTGTATAAAATAACACAACAAAACTTTGTGCCATGTGTGGGTTCATCTTTAAGATGTTGTGTGTTTAGTTACCTTAAGATCTTAAAATCTAACTCTATGATATATACTGTATATAAAGAAAGAAAATATATATTGTAAATAAGCCCTTGAGACATGGTCACAGATCTTGTGATCAAAGTTACTATGGCATGCTTCTGAACCCTATCCCCATTCATTATTACACACTTCCCCCATCCTTTCCCCTTCACTCATTCCCTCCCCCTTCAATTCACATTACAACTCACAACTCTTTTCATTTGTTTTTACTTGACCCAACTGACTTGGATTGCCATTGCATTGCCCTTTTTTTGTTGTTGAGTTTTTCACTTGTGATATATTGTGTGTTTTCTGAAAGACTAGTCTGTGTCTGTAACAACAGTAAGACATGTCCATGATCACTGTGCATGATGGAATGTGCAGTGTTTCTTTGTTCTGGGTCTCCTCACGTCCATTTGTGCTCTCTGCCTTTGTGAACATGAACCTCTGCCTCCCGTGTGTGGCAGCATGTAGATCTAAGCATGGATCTTGTTAAGTAACACATGGTTAGACATTTCACTTCACGAACATGGACATTCTTTTCCTCTTTGGTTGGACTTTTACACGTTGAAATAAGTTCCCAGAAGTCGATTTATCTACTCCTGTGAAATGTCTGATGGCGATGTCTGGCAATATATAAACTACCAATGAATGAAGTATTTTCCCTGCCATGTGTCTGACCAGTATCAGTTAATCATTTACATTGTTTCATAATGATCCCTTTTCATTTGTCTCCCTAGGTGGCCCAAAGATAATGGTGGCAAAGTGAGAAAGCTGGTCAATCTGGCTGGTTGAGGTGTGGAGGGGACACCACAAACCACGCCAAGATTCTGTCTATTTAGATTTTCACTGCCCTCAGTACCTCTCCTCATCGTCTCCATGTCCAACCCTGGATTGTAGCTACAAATATGGTGACGCTTATAACAGAGCAGCTCCGTAAGCAGAGTTTGGAAGAGCCTTATTACAAGGCTCTTTCATTCAATGCGAATGTGGTGAGTTTGATACTAAATTATCCATGAACCAGCTCCTTAATAGGTCCTCGTTTATTAATTTAAGTTATCACATTTTTTTTTTCAGTCATTACCTGCAGTGGGCTCCAGTCCCACTGTATCGTGGAGGGCAAGTAGATCAACAGAAGGCAAGTTCATTGTCCTAAGTGCATTATTTGCAACCTAACGTGGAGAAATCTGTCTTATGTCTATCTTTTGGTATTTTTATTTTTTAGAAAACAGCTTAGCTACACACCCATCAACCAAAGCCAACCTTCAGGATGATTCCTGTGGACCAGACTTCCTATGGCACACTTCTCAATCTGGAGAATTTCTCCAGAGATCAGAAGTGTCCTTCACAGACATGGCTCTCCAAAGCTCCCCTCCACCGCCTCCTTCAAAACGCCATTGCAGATCCCTCTCTGTCCCAGAGGACTTGTCTCAATGGCATCCTTGTGCATCCAAGATTTGGACCCCTGTAAAACATGGATTCCGAAGTGGAGGAGCATCTGGTTCATACTCTGGAGCTAGCTCTTTGCGACTTTGTGGTCCAAGTTCCCCCTTCACCTCTTCCTCACTTCACTCATCTTCTAGTCCCACGTTTTTTAGTTTAGCACTGTCCTCTGACTCCCCAATACCATGGAGCTTCCCATGGGACTCCTGTGAAAAACTGAGAGGAACATGTTCTGCCTCCTTTGCTGCTCCTTCCTCCTGCTCTTCTTCACCAACCCCCTTGGTTTCTCACTCAGTGCTACAGCGCCGCCTTTCCCTCTCCCCTGTGCATATTCAGGATGCCTCTGTAAGTCTTCTGCCTCCCAAACCCTCCACTGCTTCTGCTTTGACTTATGGCGGTTGTGGTATGGAGCAACCTGCCCTTTCCCCTTCTCCCACATCTGCCTGCAGCACACCTTCCTCCTATAGACGCCAACTTCACCCTGCGCTGCCGCGGTGCCACTCGCAGCCCTGTGACATGCGCAGACCTCGTTTGAAGAGACGCCATGACCCAGATGTTCTGCCCTGCCCCAGACCGGGACTTGACTTCAGTAAGATGACACAGGTGAGCTAGAAAGTCCAATTGTAACTAAGTTTGGGTAGCTTCTATCAATCTCCTACATTGTTGCACATATGGAAACAGACATAGTTAATAGCATCCTTGAGTAATAAGCATTCTTGGTTGACTTCTGCCCATGTTTTCTATCTGGCATCACCCTTGCTCAGCACAGCTAAGCTTGGACCCCACATCATCCACTGTGTTCATTTCTTGTGTTGATGTTGGGGGAAAAAGTGGAGTGGACCCCTGAGATTTTCCATAAAGCTGACTTTTATGCAGGACACTTGCTATGATGCACTCTACAGATCACAGGCTGTAACCAGAGTTTGAAACACTCATAAAGAGGCTGTCACACGTATGCCCCACTTTTGCAGTAATACCACTGTATGTCTGTCCGTCACAATAAAAAAACATTTCAGTTTACTCTCAAAAAAGGAAGCAAGAAAGTCAGTTTCTAATGAAACGTGTCAAGTATTCAGTCTGTCACACAATATTGTTAATACATTTGACAGGTTTAAATTAAATTGATGAAAAGGCATCACATAATTAAATGTTTTATTAAGTTTACAAAGTCAAGGATAATCTTTTACTTGTTTAGGTCATGTGGCACAGAAAGACAAGCTTATAAAATTGATTATGAGTTATTCTATGCATGTTCAAGATACAGACAATTCTATCATTACTGATGTTTTGGCACTGCCAGTATTTGATTTTTTAAACATATAGCATGTAATATATCCTGACTACACTGAACAAAAATATAAACATAACCACCACTGTTTTTATTTTCACAAGTTGAAATCAAAGTATTTTTCTATGTACACAAAATGTCTATTCCTCTCAAATTTTGTTCACAACTTTCTTTAAACCTATGATAGTTAGCACTTCTCCAGTTCTTCACTTCTCTCTGGTCTGCGGTTATGAGGCCAGTTGGATGTACTGCCAAATTCTTGGGAATGTCTTTGGAGATGGCTAATGTTAGAGAAACGAATATTCAATTCACGGGCAACAGCTCTGGTGGAGACTGAAGTTAGCATGCCAGTTGCATGCTCCCTGACAACTTGGTGCATCTCTGGCGCTGTGCTGTGTGATATTACTGCACATTTTAGAGTGGCCTTTTAATGGTGGGGTCTTATGTGAAGAGTACAACTGAAGGAGATCCAAAAGACTTTTCAAACCAAAGAAAATAACTGTGTTTTGTCGGAAATTCTTAAAAAGAAATATCAGAATGGAGGTCAGTCTGGCAAATGCCTGCGCTCGGTTGGGACACTCGGGTGGGTTCTGATAAACTGGCGCTAAAGTGCCACATCTACCGAATCAAAAGTTGCAGAACTGTTTTTGTATGAACTACGTCCTGAAGTTGATCCTTGATATGTATTAAACAGATTACTGGACTGCAGTCATGAGCACTGAGAAGAGGTCAATAGTCTTTTCAGTGATTAGTTTTGGCACATCATTTCCCTAGAAACATCAAATGATCTCAAAATAACATGACACATCTTTCTTCTTTGTAGATTGGCAATCGTGACACATCAGCGTGTGCTACAGGTGGCTGCGTGGTGCAAGTGTCTTTCCAGGCAGAGCAGCACTCAGCCTTCTCCCCTGCCGAGTTCCTGGGACGAGCCAGCATTGAGCCACTAAGTGAAAGTGAAGAGGAGGAAGAGGAGGATGAAGATAAAAGAAATAGGACCGCGGTAGAAGGCAGACAAAAGATTGTTTTTGAAAGAGATTGCACTGAACTGGATTTGAACCTTATAGAAGAGAACTGACCGCCCCTGCTGCTCCCAGTGTGATTACTGCATTCATAACCATGTTAAGCACACATCTAGGCTCATGTGCTCCTCTCACTAACTACTTGGGAACCTGTTGCAATATTGAAGCAGAAACACAGAGTTAATAATCAAGAACCAAGCAGTTGGAAGTTGATATCAAATTACAATTTTATAGGGAAATCTGCATGAGTCAGCTAGTTTTCATGCACAAATAATTTCTTCGGTTGCGTTAAGCATTGGTATGTATCTTGATAACCTTACATACTGTATCCTCATCAAAGAACACTATATACTGAAGTTAGCAGAATGCGCTATTCAAATTAGTCATTAGTATTTTGGAAACACTCAACGAAGTTTCATTGGATAGAGGTAAGCACTCTTCTGTGCCCCATCAGCATTGTCTACTTTTGCGTTTGGGATTCTGAATTTCAAAATGACTGTATGCTAGCTGTGAGAGATTGACATGATGTGCATGTCTGAATAACATTAGAGTCGTAAACAAACATACTGTCATGATTGATGCTCTCCCACTGGTTTTAACAGGATAAACACTCTGATGAACTATCTCCACTTCTTGTTCAGAGATCACAAAAAATGCCTCTTTTTTTTTTTTTACTTCTGTTCTGTGATGAACTTAGCGTGTGCTTTGGAAGCAACTCTGTATCATCAGAGGAAATTCTTCTTGTTAATGCAGAAAGAATGGCTCCCTCTTTGGTTCACATATGAACTTCAATAATACTGATGAAACTTCAAGATGATCATGCCTTAAGCTTATAACACAGAGTTGTTGGTGCTCTGGTCTTCATTTTTGCAATCTCCACTTCAATTATTCAGAGACGTATCAATCAGTGGCACATGCAGTAAAACAAGCAGCAGAATAACTGAATCGATGCTGCAGCTGGACTCCATAAGGCACAACGTAATGTATTGTACAATGGTTAGAGGGAGTACACGCATAAAGCAAATTCCTGGGTGGATGTTAAAAGGCAGTGGTAATGCAGATGATTTGGTGGCCTTTCAGAAATGATTTTCATGTATTTTTGAGATAGAAATATGTTGCACAATTTATGTACGAATAAAATTCAATAGAATATTTTTTTCTTTTTCAAAGAGTGTCTTGCCTTTTTTTTTCCCCCATTCCCATTTTCTGCTTGTATTCAAAAGAAAAGAAAAGTACAGGTTTTTTTTTTTTTTTTTTTAGATTATTGTGACACCCAGTGGCCAATGTCAGTGTAATACACAAAGTTTGATCTGAATTCAATAACTGCACATGTTAATGAAAGGAGTGATATTTCCTGTTTGGGTTCAAACCAAGCATTTCATGGGCAACCTGGACTTTTTTTTTTCTATTTAAGTTTCTATACGAGAATAGAAGAAGAAAAGAAAATATAGTTTGTGGAGCAATGTGTTGTTAAATTGTTTGGACACATTCAACAGTTTGACAAAGTTAAAGAAAAAGAAGAAGTAGAAAGAAAGTGTTTAACTCACTGATGAACCCGTTACAATGCAGAGTGGCATGTGTTGTCAGATTGCTGTTCCGCCATGTAACGTGAGGGCGCTCCTTCCAGTCCACTAATGCTTTTTTTTTCCACAGACGGCCTGACCCCCCCACCGACAAGCCACTTCCTCTTTTGTCTAATTTCATGGCGATCGGGAGAGAGGGAACAGCACCGACGCACGCACACTGTTTCTGCACTCTTGAAAGAGTTTATCCGGGGTAAATAACTCAGAATTTATACAACATTTGGTCACTTGTTTGCAATGTAGAAGTAGTTGAATTCAAACGTGCGGACTATTAAGCTTTCCCTGAGGAGTTTTTTTTTTCAAATTTCTGAAGCTTCTGGGTCAGATATTTCACATTGTAGCGCCACTCGCTGATAACAAATCGGTTGAATCCTGCAGCTCCTCTCGCTGAGCGGCACGCTAGTTAACGGCGCTGCTAGCTAGCGTTAGCACTGCTGCAAAACGCCTCATAAAACGTAGCTAGGTGCTGTGTTTGTTATATTTATCAACATGTGCGTGGCCAAGTAACACAAATGAGTTCGTGTGTGATTGAACTTTTCATTAAATGTTAGGTACTTAAAAAAAGTCTTCAAATGTTTGTGTTTGCTAGCAAAAAAAAAAAAAATCGAGTAGCTTACGATAGCTGTCGTGCTAATGTTTTTAGTTAGAGTTGGGCTGGATTTGCGATTCAGAAGTTCAGGCAGACTCAAAAACATCGAAATGGGCTCCCTAAATATGATTAGTCGCCGATTAAAGGTTAAACAGTTCGATCATTTCCTGGGTGGTACAGTTAACCATCATTCTTGTAAAGTGGGAAAAACGGTGTAGCTAGCAGCGTCGGCTAGTGTGCTGCTCATGTTGGTTTATCTTTATAATACCTGCCTCATAAAGTCTCCCCTCAAGTGGTGTGTCTGATGTGTTCAGCTGTTTAAATACTGTGCTTATGTCTGTGGTACTGTGGAAAAGCGATGTTGAAAAGTAAAGGAGGTCCAAATGTTGTATCGGTGTGCTAAAAGTTTAATTAAAACAAACATGGAAGTGTTAAAGTTAAGTCTGAAAGTATGAGGTTGTGTGGCAGACATACTGTTACTAACAGGGAATGCTTATAAGTGAAGACTACATGTTTACTTAATGCAACATAGATTCACTGTCTTCTTTAAAAACCACTAACAGTGATACAGACTGTATGAAATTGCCCTCAGCTAAAATCTAAATACTCTTTTGTTTGTTTACAGTGTAAACACATTTGTAAACCTGATCGGCACTGCAAACAAAGTTCTCCAGGTGAGTGTCTTTCTACATGTCATACTTTTCTGGGTTACATTTTGAATTATTTTTATTTCGAAAAAAAACGAGTTGTGGGTACTTTCTTAGGCCTTTCTTTTTAGTTATTTTCCTTTTTTTGTTTTTTTTTTGTTTAGCTTTGTTCCAACAGTCAAAGATAACAATTTTACCCGTTCATGTTTATCTAATGTGTCTAATTGTTAAGTTACAACACTATATTTACACTTTTTTTTTGACAAGTTTTGACAACTCTTCTTACAGAATCGAAAATTTTATTCAGCAAGTGAAATGTGGAAATGTATAAATATCTCCCATTAAAGTTTTTCCTTACCTTCTGTATTTCACATTTGTGTGCAGGGGAAACTAAGCGGACATCAGTAAAGGGGCTCCTTAGCACTTGGATCTGTTCTTCCCTGTCCCAGGTTCAGACTGCTTGGTCTATGGCTCTGATGGACAAACACAAACAGGTCAAGCGGCAGAGACTTGACCGCATCTGTGAGGGTGAGAGTTCAAAAATACTCAAACAAAATATATAAGTACATTTGTAGAAGCAAGTTTTATGAAATATGTAGTTATTCACATGTTAGTGTTACTTCATAACTTATATAACCAGTGCATTTGACTCAATCAAGGATATTTATTTTTATAAATGGGTGTAATCACTAGTTTATAGTCAATATATCAACTACTTTAACAACAATGATACTGATACCATACTGATGTTGTCATGTCTGCATATAGAACCTCTTCTTTCTTTATTATTTTCACGGAGGCGTAATGAAGGGACCAAATAGTCCCACCTCTGTGCCGTTACAGTGTGTACATTACAAGGCGAAGTGGGATTGGTGGCCTTTCTGTGCGTGGAGCTCCCGCTGTTTCTCTTTGTGTCGTGCTTCTGCAACGCTGTAACACAATGTGAATTCACAGACTGATACACCAATATTACGCCGTGTAATCAATATGAATGTACAAAGTCGTAAATGGCAGCTGAGCTTAATTTCGGCAGTGTTGTGGAGCACTCTGAAAGGGGCTTGTGTGTGTCTGCTCTGCCCTCCGTCTCACCTGCAGCTCTTATTTAAACCACGACACAACAGGCTGTGTCATTTATGAGTCAGGAAATATTGACATGTTTTTTGTAATTCCACATGTTAGCTTATACCAACAGAGAATATACCATTTAGCACCTGTTGGACAAAGATGGTAAAGCTGACATGTAACCTTGTCACTGAGGTTTTCGATTCATTCTGACCTGCAGACTGCTCGCTGGGGGCTTCCCCAGAAATGTCCTACACAGCACACGCAGCAAAAAGATAATACAATTAGAAGAAACAGACAAAAGGCAGATTCTCTACAGATACAGACACCACCACACACTACTAGTGGACCGTTACATGTTTTTAGAATTGAATAGTTATATATGATTGCATAGATTTGTTTTTTGTGTTTTTAATGGTAAATTCAAGCTTTTATTTATTTTATCATAACTATGATTTAAACATTTTGGTAAGTGTCCTATGACTTTCTTGTACCTGCACTGTGTGAAGGACAAATCTTGACAACCCTTAAGTATGATTTTGCTATTCAGTGGTCGCTTTTTTATAGAATTCAACATACATGTAAGGGATATTGCTGATTTTACTATATTTTTTATTATTGTGTTGAAACACTGTTGGATAGCATACTTGTGTTCTGTGGTCTTACCTTGGAGTAAATATATTCACTGACTGAGTAAAGTTCTGATCCTGGTTGTTTCCTCTAAAGGGGTTTCAGGGTGGAGGAGATTGTTTGGTTTGTTTGGTTTGTTTAAATTGGTATGCATGGAAAGTAAAGCTTGAGGAAGTGCACTATATTTGTGATTCAACTGAAAATATTTGTTCCTGGCATTAATAAAAAGTGCAGGTTTCCATGAAACGGATAGAGTTTTGCATTGTAGCTGAGAGGAGGAGAGATGATGGTGATCAGACATAATGGTGTGCTAAAATGGAGGGAACAGTCTGGGTGAGTCCCTAGAGACGGGTGAGAGGGAGAGGACAAGGTGAAGGGTCGTGGCCGCAGCTTCAGGGAAACGGGCCAGCTGTCTCTTTAAAAAACGACAACAGCCCAGCCCGCCCTCGGCCTCGGCTATGCTAATGAGGTTAGTGCTGGTTGGCTGGCGCTGAATGGAGCTGCCTCTGATTGGAGGCTGGCTGTGGGGGAGGGTCTGGGCGTGGATGACAGCTGGGATCCAGCCAGCCAAGAGCAGGCTGACAGAGAGGGAGAGAAAAAAAGAGCGATAGAGGGAGAGTAAGGCGAGAGAGAAAGGGAGAGAGAGAGGGAGGAAGACAGGCTCACAGACTTCATAATGCAAGGTTAGGCCCAGTGCTCATGTGTTTTCTATTTTGGCATGTGTGTTTAATATTTGTGAACTGTGGGGGGGGGGTCTGGTTTGGGTGTGGAGCAGCTACTTGTGCTCAGTTTTTCCTTTTATGTTCAGCTCGTTTTGGCGTTGTCGCAGCCGCTAAGAAGGAACTGAATAACCCTGTGTGTGTGTGTGTGTGTGTGTCTAGCTGCTTCTGGGTGGAGTACCGCTGCTTGCTGCATTATCATCGTTTGCTGCCCCTCCCCCCTCACCTCTTACTCCTCCAACTGCGGCCGGAGGAGGAGAGGAGAGGAGGAGGGGGTAAGGGGAAAGAAAGGGAGAGGGAGGGAGAATGAATGAATCACTGAATGAATTGTATTGTGTGTGCGGCCATGCTTGCGCTTAGTAGGCCTCGGGTATGCCAGTGTCCTTTGACTCAAATTACTCTGTGTGTAGGCTTGCTTGTATATTTCCAGAACTTATTTTTCTGAGGGGATCATTGTGACGGCTCCCTTTGGGTTTTTCTACATAGCAAGAGTCTCTTCATTCAGCATGTAGCAGTGGGCCTGTTAGCATTCGTTAGCCTTGTGCAATGAATGTGTATCACACTGCTAAAGGGAGTACAGTAGATTTTTCCAAAATTTCAAAGCGCATCAGGCTGTATGTTTTTCCTCCTTGGACTGTGTTGCTTTTCAATGCATGCATTGGGAAATGCTCAGACGTCAGAGGATATTTGTTTCCCCACTGTTGGCCACCAGCTCTCTCAGCTCCTCTGCAGTCTCAGCATTACCTCCTGCCCTCTGTCCAAGTGAATGTTTTAGCCAGAAACACACCCCCCACCCTGGGACTCACACACCTGTCACATCGCAGGGACCAGATACTGTGTGTACTGATGCATGTGTGAGGTTGGTCCAAGCCAAGAACTGCTCAGAGGAAGACAGGGAGAGCTGTAAAAAGCAGTTGTAGATGAAAGCATTAGTGGTAAATTTCCCAAATTTAACATCAAAGCATTGCATTTTTTATGTCATCGATTTCCAACAGACAAGCAACATTTCCATTGTTGGTATTCTGGTCAACCTTTGGTGCACGAGGCCAAATGTGCACATGTTTTTGCAGACAAGGTGTATGTGTCCATGTGTGGAGGAAGGAGAGAACCAGAAAAATAGAAAGGAGGTACTCTGCCAGACAGGAGAATTTAGGTCATGACTCAGACCCCCTCATGAACCCCCGCCACCTCCTCTCTGAGACCCCACAGCTCTCCACCCCTCCCCCCCACCACCCCCCCAGTCGCCACACTCCATCACCTCTCCCGCTTCCTTCCCAGCCCCCCCTTCTATCTGTGTGCGCTCATATCTTACAGTGGCAGTTCAAGTTTCCAGACTGAACATGATATCAATATGGCTGCGCTTTATCAAACCGAATCTAACCTTCCCCTTATGAGGAGTGGACAGATCAATGTAAGCTGGAAAGCCTGTGTGTTCCCTAAAATACCAAATAGGCCCGGGTGCTGGACGATCTCCATGCCCCTATCACAGATTTAGTTACACATCACTTTTGAAACCATAGAACACACACATGCTTACACACGTCATGCTGGTAGTTTCCTTTGGTGGATGCATTGGAGCATTTAGGGCAGCAAGTAGCTCAGCAGATCAAAAATACCAACGTTGTTCTGATAGCTGGAGAGGTGCCAGGGCACTTCCCGAGGACTGCCGAGGAGCCTTTGAGCATGGCACCGAACCCCCAACTGCTCTGGTGCACTCCCTGCGTAGCAGCCCCACTCTGACATCTCTCATCTAATGCACAGGTCCTGTTTGTGCATGTGTGTGATTTTGGTCTATGTGTGTGAGAAGCATGTCTCTAAAATAACAGTGTAAACCAGAACTTCCCTCAAGTATTTTATAAAAAGGAAAAAAAAATCAAAATTGGAATAATGTGTTATTGTCTTCAGAGTGTTGCATTTAGCCCTGTTCACTTAAGCCAATTGTGGGGGGGGGATATCGAGTGAGGGTTTGATGACATGCACCACGCCGGGAAGTCCAGGCAGGACATGCTAACCATTGACTCACTAATCTGTACCTCAAAAATTCTATGTGGCAGGAAGCTGATAGATTTTTAGAACTGTGGTCAAGAAAGTGCCAATGCAGGAAGATTGAGACGAAAGCACTTAACCTTTTTTTTTTTCCTCCTGATGGTCTCAGGTATTCGACCCCCCATCCTAAATGGGCCAATGCACCCGCGGCCTTTGGTGGCCCTGTTGGACGGGCGTGACTGCACTGTGGAAATGCCCATCCTCAAAGATGTGGCCACTGTGGCCTTCTGTGATGCCCAGTCCACACAAGAGATTCACGAGAAGGTAGAGCCGACACACACACAAACACACATAGAGGTCTTCACCCTTATCAGACCACACAAAGGCAAAACTCTGCCGGCAGACACACTGACAATTTGGGGAAAATGTTTTTATTTGATGAATTTGTCCTCTCTAGGTGCTAAATGAGGCAGTGGCCGCTCTGCTCTACCACACCATCACTCTGTCCAGAGATGACCTGGAAAAATTCAAAGGTCTCCGTGTTATTGTCAGGATTGGCTCCGGCTTCGACAATGTTGACATCAAAGCAGCTGCTGAGCTTGGTGAGTGTGTGGAATATTTTTAAAAGAAATGTTGGGGTGCAAGCTGTCAGCCATGTGATAATCTGAGAACCCATTGGCTATCGTCTTTTGAAGATCTGTGCCTCTGGCAGCAATGGTTAACTTTGTGGGGCTTTTGGTGTAGCCAGTGTTTAACCACAGAGGACTGCTGGCCAAAACTTCACGACTGTGCGTTGCCATTGTTTACAGTCACACAAGTATCTTGAGAAGCGAGAATGGTGATTTTGTTGAGAGGGCAGTTATCTATCAACACTTGCATGCAGATATCTTTTTTTTATATTATACAGATTTGAATCCCAGTATTTGCTCATCAGCAGATGTACAGTACTATCTGATCTGACAGCAGTACTCGGGAATGTTACAGATTTATCTGAAATTCTATGTTTTCTGAAATGAAATGTTTCCCCACCAGTCTTAAATTATGAATCAAAGTGTTTCACGCATTTTTTGTTACTTATATTCTTTTTTTTTTTCAATCGTAAGTATATTTGCTGACTGTTTAGGATTTTATTAAAATCCATATACCAGGGGTTCCCGACCTTTTGTGAACCAAGATCTACTTTTAAAGTTGCCAGTCTGCAGAGAGCTACCAGTCCACATAGGGAGCCGTAGCCATAACCGACAGCCTACAAACATGATTAATACGCACACAAAAAACAGAAAATAATAATAATTTATATTCTACTGTTGAATTGAGACTCAACAGATGAAAGGGCCAGCTCCAGGATGTTACAGACTAAAAACCTGATAGCATTTACATCCCAGACATAAATGCATGGAAGAGGAGTCTTGTCTGGAAGTCATTCAACGCTAACCTTTAGCTTCTCTGGAATTACATTAAAGAAATTAATATCCATTCCCAGAGACATATATCGTCCATAACACGGTGATAGACCATGATTGCTGTAGGGTTCCAAGATTGCTTCTGCAGTGAATGACCTTGTGTCACAAAAATGAATCACAATTTGGATTATGTTTACATTTTCAGATTGTTTGCCATGCTTACAAGTCTCTAAATAAAATAAAGTACATTATGCTATATAATTGTAGCAAACATCAGTGTTCACTGCCTGTCATGTTTAGACTTTTTTACCCCCATGTAAGTGAAATAAAAGAGAACTATAATCTGCAACATGCCAGAGTTTACTGGGGCTGGGAATCTTAGGGTGTCTCACGATTCGATTTCTATTCTTGGGGTCACGATTCTGAATTCATGGATCCATGATTCAAAGTCTATTTTTGAATTGGTACATACTTCAGGATCGACTCCAGTCATCTGTGAGACTGGCTGAATTACTTGCTGCTCCATTTGGCATTCTACTGAGAGAAAGAGCTAGCATTAGCAATAAGCAGGGAGTGACTGATTGGCAAAAAATAAATTATTTAGGAAGTTGTGAATCGAATTTTACATGTAGCGATTTCCCACCTCTAGAGTTTAAGAGTAGTTTTATTACCAGCAGCAAACAATCGCAGAGTGCACTGCAATCACTGTTAGAAAGTTACGCACATCAACACAACAGGTGAAACAACACTGCCTTACAAAGCAACGCAACATAATCATGTGTAAACTGGATATTTTGACGACACAATTCTTACATTTTGTTTAACTTAACAAGCTAAAACAAGCTAAAAGCTGGAGCGACGATAGCCTAGCGTTTATGTCGCCCCATGTACAGAGGCTGTAGTCCTTGTTGCATTGTCTGTCTCCAGCTGTATCAAAGTACAGGATGCATTAATGCAACAACAAATAGAAGGTTATATGATGCTGCTTAAGAAAAATAATAGAGTAGGCTTGTTATTCCACTGTCCTGTTTGGTATCAAAACAAGTTCCCCATTCCTCATTGTCTTGTCTCTAAATGCTTCAAAAGGCTTCATTTGCATGTTAGAATTAGGGATGGGAATTTACAGTAATCCCTGTACTTGATTACTCGAATTACCTAATGAACGAGTACTCGAGTATCCGCAGATTATTATTAATTTTTTTTTAACCGTAAACAAAAAAACAGTCCGTCGGACACAGACCTCCCGGACCGGAATTGTAGACTTCATGCTTATAAAATGACATAAATTACAATCTTTAAACATAAATATAAATAAATAACCAACAACAGAAAGCGATTTCAACTTCAGCGACGTGTGCTAACAGGGCTAGCAAATGACGTGATGCGAGACTGCCTGTTTTCTGTCTCCGCTGTTTTCTCCTTGTGCTTAATGTGGTTAAGCACTAGTATTTCTATGGTATGCAAGTTTAACGCCACAAATCTTGCACTGCACATTAACTTCATAGTTTTTGTCGAAGTACTTCCAGACATCACTTTTCTTGACTGACATGTCGCTGGTGTAGCAGACGGTTCTGTATTTACTTGAATAATGTGGTCAACGGCGAGTACTCCAGTACTTGAGTACTCGTACCCATCCCTAGTTAGAATCTCTAAATGTATCTTTTGGGGAGATTACCCCAGACCCCCTCCCTTCATTTCCTTCTGTATCTTGTCATATGTGTCACTTCTCTAGAGTTTGCTAAACTCACTAGCAGCTGATGGTTCATTTAAATAGGCATTCAATGCACTTTACAGTAAGTCACCTTGTCTGGTATTCATACGTTAAAGAAGCCATGAGTTGGCCAGTATCTGTCGCCCTGGATCTTAAGCTTTGAACTTAATTTGTATGTCGAGTATTTTCAGTCAATGTATCTGTTTGTGCTTTAACCCCCAGGGCACAAAGCCAGATTATAATAATACAATTGTGCATTAAAGGCACAAATGGTGCATGAACATGTATCAGATAATACATTTATGGATCAAAGATCTCTGGGGGAGACCTGATAGTGCCAACTATTAAATGACAACTACCGTATCCTTACATTACCCAACAGGTTGTTTCAGTTTAAACAAACGTGACTGTAAGAGCTGTAGATCTGGAAATTGTACCCTTGAAAACACGAGTCGTATCAGTGTCTCCTCCACCATTGTTGTTGACAAAGCTGATGTCAGAAGTCTTGATTTGGATTGGTCGGTGAGGGAGAAGCTACATTGGTGAACACAGCGCTGTTCCAAATGTTGAACCTTTATGCAGCAGAGAGCGCTGTGAGAGCAGCAACAAAAAAAACCTCTGACGACCAGGGGGGGGCGTTTTTACATTATACAAGTCGATGTAATAATGGGGTTATAGATTGGGGCATTGTTGCATAGACTGATGTTCTTGGAAGTATTTCTGATCTTTTAGTTAACCAACTCTAAGAAACACAAAGAAGATGCTTAATGTCTTTTCTCTGTTCATTTGTTTTCCAGGCATTGCTGTCTGTAATGTGCCAGCATCCTCTGTGGAGGAGACAGCCGACACTTCGCTATGTCTAATCCTCAACCTGTACAGGAGAGTCACCTGGATGCACCAGGCGCTCAGGGAGGGAACCCGGGCCTCCAGCGTGGAGCAGATCAGGGAGGTGGCAGGCGGGGCTGCACGTATCAGGGGTGAGACGCTGGGCATTATTGGACTAGGTGAGTCATTGATTGAGACATTGTGTTTGTATTATTGACTTGTAATTGAACAAAAATAGTTGGAAGTGCTTTGGTCTGTTTAACCTAAATATGAAAGCTGTGGGACAACTTTTTCTTAAATAAAAGACATTTTATTCCACAGTGACTGAGCATAACTTAACATTTTTGTGTGTCTTTTAAGGGCGTGTCGGCCAAGCGGTGGCTCTCCGGGCCAAGGCTTTTGGCTTTGGTGTGATCTTCTATGACCCTTACCTGCCCGATGGCGTGGAGCGCTCGCTGGGCCTTCAGCGAATGGCCACCCTGCAGGACCTCCTTATCCATTCTGACTGTGTATCCCTGCACTGCAGCCTCAATGAGCACAACCACCACCTCATCAATGACTTTACCATCAAACAGGTGTGTTGATAAACCCTGATCCTTTAAATACCGTAAAATCCGATGTATAAGACGCACTTTTAATACCTATTTTTTTTGTCTTAAAAGTTGGCTGCGTCTTACACACCGGTGCGACCAATATACCAGTATAAAATAGTGAAACACGCGCCATCATTACAGCGGGTGCAGCAGCCACTAACTGCAACCTGATGCGATTAAAAACCCATCCCCATTCATTGTGTATTGAAAGCTGAGTGCACGCTGTGCTGGGAAAGACGACAACACAGACCAGGCTGGCTACGCGACTTTTTCCACATCTTTTCTCCCTCACGACGTCATAATCATGCATTTACAGAAAACAGTGGTATATTGTTCCGTAAATAAACATTGTGGAGTGATCTTTTGATTGAAAGAGTCCTCTATTAAAGTTAAAGAGCCTCAAAACTTTCCCTGCAGGCTGAGAGCTCAACTACCGTACTGTAGCTAGTAGGAGCGCAAACTGCCGAACGTGAAAACAGACGAAACTAAAAGAACGTCACAAACTGCACGTTGTAGACATCGCTGAACACAATATAAATCGTCACGCAGTAAGACAGTTTAAACTTTTTTTTCTCTACAAGAGACCTTCAAAACAGGGTGCGTCTTGTATACCGGTGCGACTTATATTCCGGATATTATGGTAGCTATTTAAGCACAATTGCTTGATCCTAATGGTACAGACCCTTCTGTTTTTTGCCTAATAGATAAAAGTACTTTCTCAATCATCTATTAAACCAATTGGTTGAATCAGCATTTTAGTTTTATGAATAGCTTGAAATCCTGATTCAAACACTTGGCTTACCCTGTTACGAGGATAGTTGTTCAGACAGTCATACATGACCTGATCAACTGTTGCTCCAATACTTTGTGAAGGATTGGAAGAATAAAAAAAAAAAATCATCTTGATTTGTTCCAAATGATTTTTTTGATCATGATGTTCATTTCTGCTCAAGATAGTGCTCTCACTGTTGCCAACTCTGCTTTTCAGATGCGTCAGGGAGCTTTCCTGGTGAACACATCAAGAGGCGGTCTGGTTGATGAGAAAGCACTGGCTCAGGCCCTGAAAGAGGGCCGGATACGAGGGGCTGCCCTGGACGTCCATGAGGCAGAACCTTTCAGGTAACCAGGAGACACAGGGAATTACAATATCGTGTGTGATAGAGCCCTCATTGTTCTCCCTGTAACTCTCTGTCGTGTTCTTTCGAAACAGTTTTTCAACAGGCCCTCTGAAGGATGCTCCAAACCTGATCTGTACCCCTCACACATCCTGGTATAGTGAGCAGGCGTCTGTGGAGGCTCGCGAGGAGGCAGCCAGAGAGGTCCGCCGTGCCATCACCGGTGAGACACTTGACATTAAAAAGAATAAAAGTTTATTTTCAATGAACAGATAAATATGGATACATTTTAGACAGAACTACACACATCAGTTTCATTGTCTGGATGCTGATGTGTTGAATGGTGAGTAATCTGCATGGTGATGTACCTGACGATTGAGGATCAGTTTTGTTCAGGTGTTGTCTGTGTGCATGTATTTGGGCTGAGCATTTACAGAAGAAAGTTCACATATAACATGAGCTTTATTGTGATTGGTGGATGATACTGTCCTTTCTTATTATAGCCAGCTCATTCTCAATGATATCTTGGTAAGACTTTCATTTCCATGAGCTGATTTTTCAATGATGAATCATTTGTCTTATGAGTAGTAAATGAATATCCCAAAAAGCAACAAATGTAATGAATTGTTGTTCTAAAATGTGATCTGTTACTTGAATCATTGCACTTTGTCTTAGAAAAACAGTGTGAGACAACTACTGCACACATACACACTGCATACATGTTTAAAAACTGTATCAAGTTGTCTATGTTACTATAACCATCCAGTGGGTTCAACTATGAGCTACATCTGGAGCCACACAGAGGTCTGTTGAGCACACGGGTTACATTTTTGTTTCTTTTAAAGTGTGCTTGTATTTTTGGGACACTAAAATGCTCCCAAAATTAGAGAGCAACCTGCAGGTTGGAGAGCCTGGTGAATCAGTTTGTAGGAAAATAACCTATGCATTAATACACTATAGTGACTCAGTCCGTTGTAGCTTCAAACTAAATCTGTGTGGTTTCAAGTTTCGTTTCTCTCCTGCATCTCTGTTCTTATTTTAAGATATCTGATTGTGTTAAGTTGCTACTTGTGAAAACACCTATATCCTTTTATTTAAAGAATTCTCGGAAATAAAATGTCATGTACTTAACTGAGGTTTAGCTGAGCTACTATTAACAGTGGTTTTCAGTAACACTGTGGGGAGTTACAGTATTTACAGCTGCCTGATACTACCAAAGAAACACCTGCATTCAAAGGGTGCTAATTTCCAGCCCTGTTCATGATCGATGCAGAAACAGAGTCCTGTCTCTACAGCTTCACAGATCGCACTGAGACACAAAAGCTTAAGCTCCATTCCTATTTCAGTCGGGAAACAGCAGACTTGTATGTCCTGTTAAGCTAGAATTTGGGCAACCAAGCCAAGCGCAATATTTACTATTCTAACAACTGGTTTAAAACCATGTTAGAGCATCCAAATGATATCAACACAACGTGAGACGACTGCTCAGCCATATTACAATCTACTACTGCAAGTTGAATTAGGCCAGAGTCTGAGAACATGAGTCCCTCGTGATGTAATTCGATGCGATGTTGAGAATAAGTGTTTCAACCATGCTTTACTGAAACTGAACACTCTCTGTATAAAATCAAGGATGAACTAATTAAACAGCAATTATCAGACAAGGTTTAGTATTAATGTAAAATAAAAGAACCTGCAAGTTGCTCTTTATATGTGGGATGGCTTCTTTGTAGGTGTTGGGTTACTGGGACTGTGCAGACATTGCACACAGCGTCTAACAGATAGTTATGCCTGGATGCATGAGGCAGGGGCTTCGTGCATGCATTCTCACTTTATGCATTACTTCGCACCATTGCTGGTTAATGGTCTGGCTGCTTATCCATTTGGAGTGGATATGTTCTTGTGAGCAACTTTGATGGAGAGGGTCATCCTCCATTCTGTAGATTGGTGGTTTGATCCCAATCCTCATGCCTAAACATCTTGGGAGAAGATACTGAAAGTGGCTCCAGAATGCAAAGCCAATGATGTATTAATGTGTATGATTAATACGTTGTACTTGTCGCCTTGCACAAGTTTGTGTGTGTGGAAGCATGAATGTGACATAAAGACAGCCCTTTTGGAAGTTAATATAATACAGAAGGTGAATCCAACAGCTTGGTATATTCTAAAGGAGTAAGTTTGGAAATTTTGAATGGGGAGAGCCCAAAAAAAAACCGTTTTCAATCAGAAAACTTCTTGAAAGTGTAAAGTTCTGGTTTGCTTCTCTAGGGCGCATCCCTGACAGTCTGAAGAACTGCGTGAATAAGGAGTATCTGATGTCAGCCTCTCCGTGGCCCAGTATGGAAGCCGCCACTGTTCACCCAGAGCTAAACGGAGCCACTTACAGGTGAGAAGAGGGATGTAAAGGATGCAAATTGCCTTCGATTTCACATCAGGCTGTATTATGAGACTGAACGTGGATAATTTGTCCCAAGAGCAGCTGTCAATTTTTTTTTTTTTTTTGTCTTGTCCTCTGTGTTTCAGATTTCCTCCAGGTCTGATCAATGTTGCAGCAGCAGGGGGGCTCTCTGGAGCAGCCGGGGGGGTCGAGAGCCTTGTAACAGGCAACCTGTCACACGGCATTGCCCCCGTCTCCCACCCTCCTCACGCACCCTCTCCGGTGCAATCTGCTAAGGCTGAAGCCGACAGAGACATCCCCTCCGACCAATAGCCCCCTCCGCTGCCGCCAGCACATTCCGTCACCATTGGAAAACCAACTCCCCCACCTCCCGGCATCAGACATCGCCCGACCCCTCAGTACATCGGCAGGGCCAGTTTGACCCAATGTGGAGCCACACATTCGTGTTCTTCAGATCGCATAACCAGCCTAGGAGTGACTTATCCACAACCAGCCCCCTCCCACCCACACCCCAGAGAACACACACATCCCTCCATCTTTGTCCTCATCACACCCTCTCAACCCCTCCCTCCTTCACTCCCCCATGACGTCAGCAATAACTTTTCTCAAGGATTCAATGATTGGATTGGTTTATATCCTTAGTTGGTTGTTTTAATGGAAAGTTGATCTGTTGTGGTTCTAGGTATAAATGTTTGTTTGTTGAAAAAATAGCATTTCTGAGTTGAGGCTTCACAGTCTGCTGCCTCCTGCAGGCTGACAGGTTGAAGCCCCCCTTTGTACATTAATGGCTCATGTTACTGCTCTCTTCTTCTTCCTCCTCTTTGCTTTTTCTCCCCCCCCCACCTCTCTTGTGAAGGGGTTATCTGTGTACTAAAGTAAACCAGGCAGAACTGCAAACAGTACATCCTGTCCTCCTCACTGAGAATCTAGTGACCCTGCTCAGTTTGGCCCTTTGGCTCTCCTTGTTACAGTCATCATCTTGCTCAGCAGATGGATCTGTGGAGCTGTCAGTGTGGAGCCCTCTCAGACTGTCAAAGTATTTCTCTACAGATCATACGTCAGATAGTAATACCCAAGATCCCTTTCAACTTTTTAATCGCTGTGACCGGACAGTCATCCCTGTATTCACACATGCTCTGCCTCTTATTGTTTTGTCCTGAGATAACAGCTCTGAGAGTCTTCAGAGGGCTCATATTCATGAATCTCCATCTCACGTCAGCAGCCCCGGAGTGCTGTCTGTGAAGTTGTTACACGTGGTGTCCAAAAGCTGCAACATGCACGATGTGTCTCCAGCAGAGGGTGCTGTCTTACTGTTAGAGTTTCACCTTCATGCATGCGGCTCCTTTTAAGATGGACAGTTACAAGTTGGCTTTCAGAATACATGACGGATGGCCAGGGATTGACTAGCGCCTTATTATTTGATAAGACCTCACTGCACCCCACCTCCTTGCACCCAACCAACCACCCTTTACTCCTCATCTCCCACCACCGTCATGGACCATCCCCACTCATCAGCCCATGAACAAGTTTTCATCCATCAATTCCTTTAAGTGTGAGGGGACAGCAGAGTTTAGATTCCCTGTAGAAGTAAGGGGACAGTGTTCTTGCATGCTGGCTTTGTTGATGACAGTGGTGTGTGTGCGCCTGTGTGTATGGGATTGTTGTGCGCACGTGTGTGTGTGTGTGTGTGTGTGTGTGTGTGTGGGGGGGGGTGTGTGTGTGTGTGTGTGTGTGTGTGTGTGTGTGTGTGTTTGTACGTTCCCTCACCCTGTTATAACAAGCTATTGTCTTTCCAAAGGAATAGTCCCTCGGAGTAACTCTTTAACGCTGTTGCCCTGGTGTCAAGGGAACACCTTTCTAGTACCTCAGTAACAGATATTGAATGTACCGTGCATACCCTTTTATTTTTTGTACAGATTTTCTAGATTCTTCTTTACTGTTCTTTACCAGAAGGGTTGTGAAATTGTAGCAGTAATGATACAATATGAAATAAATACATTGCCCCATGATATAAATTGACAAAAATCTTTTAAGGTTCACTATAGGTCACCGAATACTCAGGCTTTAAAAAAAACAAAAACATTGTGTTAATTTTCTTCGCCTTTACTTTTACTTCCTCGTGGAAATTTCAGCACAAGGCTTTCCCATTCTTCGACTTGCGACTAGTTGATGTGTTATAATCTCCATATTACTGGCTGAGGAAAGACAAAGGAAAAAAAAACTAAAGGCGGTCCCGTGATCTGCTAGTTTTCTTTTACTAGATTATCAGTAGTAGTAGATGCTGTTTTGTTTTGTTTGAACCCCCTCTCCATTGTCTGGCTGCTCTAACTATAGTGCATGTGAGGTAATTTTTTTAGGGGAAAAACTATTGGCTTAAAGAATTTATGTCATCTTGCTGTTTCCCTCCGCTCCCTGGCCTTTTCCCCCTCCTCTCAGAGTGTTTTCAACCCGAGTTGCCATTTCTTTGTCGTGGTCAGTTTCCAGTGATGTACAGTTTTCCCGTCAGAGTCTATGAGAGACATGGAGCATGTCTGTGTCCTGAGATGCTAGATTCCTCTGTCATGTGATGAGTATATATTTTTAAAAATAACCCCCATAGTTCCGATTACTAGCTATTAGTAATCTTAAATTTTTTGCTGTTAACAATGATGATTATATATATTTTTCAGTTCAGCAGTGCACTGTTATGAAAACCATTCTGTTTTATTGTAGGATTTCATTTTGTGGATATGCTGTCTGTGTTCTACATGTTGTACTGAAACATTTCAGAGAAAACAAGAGGTCCCTCTCCTGGTGAATTTCTTTTTGTTTGAATTTTCGTCTTAACCCGACTGTCCTTTCCAGCTGATATCACTGGGCCTTACTTCTCCCCCTGTTTAAGTAGCTGTAATAGAAAGCCGCCATGGAACCACTCACTGCCTTAATACAGTTGACCACAGCAGGTGAAGTCAGGAGACACACCCAGTCGAAAAGCTCCTCACACCCTGACCGGCGTAACTCTGCACCACTTTGCTGTTTTCTTTGCTCTGATGAACCACATTCAGCCTTGTGTAGACAGTTTCTTCATGGCTCAAACATGTACATCCAGTGTGAATTGTAACTTTGCATTAACTACAAATGATGCTTGTCTAGTTTTTGAACGTTTTAAATCTGCTCATCAGTGTGTATGTATGCTAACAGAAAAGCACAGTGTGTATGCTCACAAAGCTATAGCTCATATTTCACTCATGGGTGTGAGAATGCCCCCAACCCATCTAAGCACCACTGACACCCTGGGGCTCTAAAAGCATCTATTCCAGAGCTACCAGAGCCCCCGGGGGAGGAGATGGAGGGTGGGGGGCATAGCGGTCACTGGTGTGGTCTGTCAAAAAAAAAGAAGAAAAAAAGAAGATAATTAAGAATTGGTCACTTTTCTCTCTCTCTCTCTCAGGGTACAAATGCACACATATCCTCCAGCAGTCGCCCTCTGTCTTGTGTCCGTCGTCCCAAGTTTTTTCCGCCCTCAAAATGCAGAACAGCCTCCTGCGTTTTTAGAAATTGCCCCCTCCCCCTCCCTTATTGTGCACAGGTCTGAACTTTTTGTTTCCTGTTTTGCTTTCGTTTGGCACTGACATCTAACCATCTAACAAGGAATGAATGAATGTTTGAAAGTGACTGTGTGTAATGTTAAAATTGGGAAATGTATTTTTACAACATGTGAACATGTTTTTTTTCCACTCACTCTCATTGTGAATTGATTTTTTTTTCTTTCACCAGACTGCAAAAACAAACAAAAAACAACAAAAAAAAATCTCCTGTAACTATAGGCTCTTAAGCTTTATTTTGTTTTGTTTACTTTTTTATTAGAAACAATCATGTTTGTGATGGTAACTTCCGATGGTAAACTCCACACCGTATTTTAATAAAATCTTTAAAATTAATAATGTTTTCTTTTATCATCTTTCTGCAAAAGAAACGATTTGTCTTGTTCTCTTAAGTCCTTTCATTGAATGAACTTTGAACTTTCTTTTGGTCATTTGGTCAACTTCGCTCCTTGCAGTGGTCAGTAAGTTGTTGGTTATTTATGTTGACTGCCATTGCCTGCTAATTCTGCAGAGCAGCTTCAGGACATCGAGCTGTGTTAACAGAGATTTTGCCATAAACAAAATGGTTTGCTATCACAGTTTAGTTTTTTTTATATGGCAACAAGAGGTAAGGCAGAGCCAGAAACGGCACAGCTTTACGAGTGGGCAGACAAGGTGGGGTATACGGGAAAGGGGCTTCTTAGTGGACCCACAGGGCAGAGAGGGGTGGGATATTATCAGCACCAAATTGCTACCGCATGCACATAACCAGGTGCCCACTCTTTTAAAATGGAGCAAATTGACTGAAAGCTGAAGTCCACTGACTGGAGGCACATTAACTAGCCTGCAGGGCTACAGACACACTCAGGTTAGGCTGACATCATGGACCCCTATCTGTGAGATGGTCTGTGTTTGACCGAATTACTAATTATTAGTGATTATTGTTTTCGTTCTATTACTTGCAATATGCAGCTCTTGCTATTTTAATTTTGATTACATTTGTAATTGTATATACTTTATTAATCCCTGAAGAGAAATTCGCCTTACTACGACTCTCACACATTGGACAGAAATAGACAAGGCCACAAAAAGGACATTCATTAATGGAGAGATGTCAGAGTGAGGGGGCAGAACATAGAGCACCCTGGAGCTGTTGGGGGTTCAGTGCATCGCCCAAACACACTTCGGCAGTGTCTGAGAAGTGTATTGGCACGAGCCAAATCTCTGTACTTTGGTCCTTACCATGACTTGAACCTGCATCCCTCCACTCCTTAACTCAAGTCTCTACAGACTTTACATGCTCTTTTTTGTTTGTATTTGTCAGTATTTCAGAATATGTTGAAACTAGCCTTTTTTCCTCGCTCCAATAGCTCCAAGAGATTTACAATTGTCAGTGTGGGAACATGATCAAAGTCAGTGCAGCAGAAACAGAGATATCCTTTTTTACACTATGTGCATTCCTCTTCCTTGTCCAACCCTGCACTGTCCAAATACAACTTTATCTCTTGAGGTTCAGCTGTAGGGTGTGGTTTGTCAGTTTCTTGAGCCATTAGACTCAAGTGGAGACTTTGTTTTGTACTACATACCCTCCAGATTTCTTTAACTTTCAAAATTGTAGGCTAGACTGAACAGATAGCCTTCTCCTTTGAGAAAAACAAATAGACATGGCCAAAACAAATGGTACGTAGTCTTCCAAATCATACCTTAAAACCAATGTGTCAGGACAACATTGGTGTGTTCCAAAAAGAAATAAGTTCAGGTGAGGAGCTCTGCTAGCTCATCTTGTATGGTGTTTCCCCCTTGTACACAGGCTGGGACCTCCTGACAGCAACCTAGGGTAAGGTTAGAGTCCAGCCCTGTCTCTCTCTAAAGGCCCTGTTGAAAAAAGGGAAAAAGGGCTGTGACATAATCTCTTCAAAAAGTATTGGTAGGCAAGACACACTGCTGCAGTCCCATGGGATGAAAGAGAGGGGATGGTGTGTCAATGTTTGTCTGAACAATTGCTGTACAGTTACGGCACATGTTTTAAAATATTCGCACTGAATACCATTTTTAGACTTATTACAAAACCCTTCTTCCAAAATAGTTATGCTTTCTACAGTGGTCTTGGCTATTATACACATAGCCAAGTGCAGTAAAACGAAACATTGGTTTCATCGGTCTTAACACCCTCTAATAAGTATATCGACTTAATTCTACGAAATAATGATCAGTGAGCAATGGTTTGTAAACAGGTTCACAACAAGTCAGTTCTGAGATTCAGTGCTCAAAATATTTACAGATGTTTCTTCTCGAGATGATATTCAGTGCTTACAGTTTAACAAATGTAAAAACCCATTTGTACACGTTTTGAAGTTTTTTTTTTGCAAAGTGGAGGGACTAGAGCTATTACAATTTATCCCTGGGGCCATGAATGGACATGACTGGTTGTTGAGTCATTTGCTTTTTAAAAACACAAAGGAGAAGAGAGCTAACCACCAAATGTTTGATTTTGCTTTATAGTTATCTCATTCTTTAAACTTTTTGATTATATACTGTATGTTATGTACTGTATGAAATGGGGGGCAACACACAAACTGTTTCAAACTGTGCTGGCTAGTTTCCATCCAAGCGACAGGCGTGTTACATAACAGTGAGTGTATACTAGTGTGCCGTTGAATGAGGCACAGGATGCAAGCAGTATTTTAACAGATCTGATTCACACACTTTTGCTCATTGCTTCCTGAGTCTTACCACATTTGTGCACCAAAGTGTACAAGAGCATCATCCACCTCGCCTTACCCAGCGCCATACATTACTCCTGTCAGCCCCCATGCTGGGCCACCAGATTTTTTATTTTTTATTTGTTTGTTTAGTTCAAGAGGAGGAAGGGGAGGAAGAGGGGAGCACTCAAAAGCCTCACATATGTCATAAGGTCAGGGAACACAGTGGTCCACCCAGTTAAATGAGTGTTGCTTACCATACTGCTGCTGAGTAAAAACCCTTCAGTAAAGATATTCTCTGGGAGATCATCATCCTGCTCAGGAAACTTCTACTAGTTTGAGTGAGTGAGTGACAAGACAGAAAAACCCCTTTGACTCAAAGTAGGTCAAAGGTGATGTAAATGTATTTTTCTGAGGCCTGGAGAAAAAGAAAACTAAAATTGTTTTTCCTTCCATGCAGAAATTAGAGCAGTTTGACAGGGCAGAATTAAGGTTAGGGAGAAAGTTGTAAAGCCTAGGTGCATGCTTGTGCATACAATGTCTCTTTGATGAATTAGTCCCATGAGAGATGACTTAAAAAACTTGGAGGGATCGTGCTACCAGCTTCTAAAGTTGAGAGGATAAATATTTGTCTTTGGTTGTCTTTGGAATGATTAAATATTATTCCAGCCATTGAATGCCTCAGATGCTACATCACCATCAGAGTGCACCAACTTTGTTTTCCTATTAAAATATACTTGAGTGCATCTTTCATTTAACCAACATATATGTTGAAGTGAAAGAAATATATAGGGCTTGACTTTCTTTAGTCCTTAATTCTGAAGAGCTCCACAACAACTCGATAAAATGAACACATACAGCGCACTGTAGTAGATTTTGAATATGGCCTACATCAAGCATAGCCTAGCCTGTTGTATTAAAAAGGCATTTCACCACCAAAAGTGTAAACCTTTGGCTCGTTAAAACACGATCTTAAGTCATAGCAAATGTATATTAAATATTACCTCAGAATCCTGAAGTCAATATGATCTCATTTCAAGATAAAACAAAGTATAGGATATCTCATTAGCTAGAGAGAGAAAAGTTAACGTTAGCATCCAGCCACTTACTCGATGATATTACTAGGGGTTTAAAGATAAATCGATCCAAATCGGCAACCGATCTTACTGTTAAGCCCCGTTTCCACCAAGCAGTTCAGTTCGGTTTGTCACGGTACGGCACGCATTTTGTGGTGTATCCACGATCAAAAGTCGGGAAAGGTCCCTAAATTACCGTCCCGTACCATCCTACTTTTTGCTTCCCTTCTGTTGGGGTGCCAAGTCTACCGATCCGACCCTAAAAGCTGGAGCTAAACACTGCAGTCCGTTGATTGGTCGAAAGGATCGTGCCACACAGCCTTGTCTGAAACAAAGCTTCATTGCGTTTTGTAACAAAGAACCACAAGCCAATGAGAAAGACCACAAATTGCTGGATGTCCTCCATTGTTGCTCTTTGTTTACTGTGTCACGTTCTTCTTCCTTGTCAAATTTATTACCGGGGCCCTTTCCGAATTGTCACAGTTCAGTTGGCAGTACGTACTTTTCAGTAGGGAGTTTCAGTATACTGAACTTTCGTGGTCATTCAGTATGCATTTTTTGGGTCCACCTCAGTATACTGAACATTTCAGCATGGACACTAACTTCCGGGTTTCATGCAGTATGGATTGGATGCATCCTTTCAGGAAATGAATTGTATTTTACCACCCACGATGCTGTGCGAAATTAAACGTAAATCGTCACTTCTCGTGCGCCTCCAAATCAAAACAAAACGAGCATTGATTAATTTAAAATTTATATTGTGTAATTTTAGTCAGATACAGCCATGAAACTCTGGATTTCTCCATAATGAAGACTGTCAGCGTTGTGTACCCGCGAGCTTGTGCTCGTGCATGAAGTGTACCGCACCGAAGCACACCTCGGTGCCAAAGCCAAGGAAGTGTACCGTGCCTGAGCACGATACGGAGCGGTCACACTGATCTAACAAACTGGACTTTAGCGTTGAAGCGTGCTTGGGCACGGTACGGATGGCCAGTGAGACCGCGCCCTGAGGCTTTTTTTTAATCACTGAGTTTAGCTTTTTTAATCTCACGGGCATCTGAGTTTGACCTTTTACCACTCATGACAATAACGTCAGCTTGGGTGGCTCGCCAGTTAGCATAAGTTGGCTAACAAGGACAAAACAACATCTGCAGCGATTTACAGTTCTCCAACTCAGAATTTAAATCATGTGGACTTGATATGAAGAAGATAAACATTCCAAAAGTCTACCAGTCTGTAGGTTTTGCTGTAAGCGATTAAATAAAAGAACAGAAAAACAATTACTCCCTGGTTGAAATCATAGACTGTAAACAGTCCATTGTTGAGATGGTTTAGACGAAACCTGTGCTAAGATACTATCATTAGCAAGCTACAGTCCAAGCAGACCCTGACATCAAAAACTTTATCTGGTGGATGTTGGCAGCGTCGGCTTTAGTGACATGGTCAATACATTTGATTCTTGCATGAAACCAAATACAGCATTTTCCCAAAAAGGTTAGCAAGGAAGATGCTAAAAGCTAATATTGTTTGCTAATTTTGACATAATTCAGTAGGAAATCCCAAGCTTACACAATGTTTGCTTGGAACATGACAAATAGACATACTTACTTGCTAATGTAATGCTAGCTAACATGATTGTTATCCAGGAAATGCTTGACCGTTAGCATTAGCTGTGGTCTAACAGTAGATAATTAGTGATCAGAAATGTTGTTTTACTTTGAAATAGGGAATAGATTTTCCATTATTGATAAATGTTGAAATTAAACATACAGTGTCAGCTCTCCTACATTTATAAGACGTGTTAACTGAACACAGCAATACATCATTTTAACAGAATTTTTGTTTATGATGGTTATAGTGGAAAATGTCTGGGATGAGAATATGCTGAATTAATCCTCCAATTAGGTCTAAGCAGAAATATCTCAAAATCTACGTACTGGTTGATTTTAATATTATTCCTTGACACCTTCCCTTGACATTAAGCATAAGGATAAGGTTAAAGTTTCATTTCATACGATGCTTAAGATGACATCCAATATCTGCCAAATGAAAAGATGTTCCAATCAGATTCATCTGTAAACCCACAGCTTCTCAAGCGTGCTTGCATGGTGATAGAAAAGTGGGGTTGAAGATTAATGGTGCCATCAGCATACACAAAATGATTTTGAGCTGAGTCACAAAGAGAGGACATTGGCGTCAAAACATATCGGGAGACAGACTTACAAATTGTTGATTTTAATCTTTTCATGTGATATTTATTTAACAATAACAAAAATATTGTATTCTTTGAAATACAAAAGAAGTCTAAGCAACCGCATGGCATGAAACATTCTGTATTTATTCTCCGGCTTTGATATTCCATGATGTTGCATCACAATACACAGTCAACATAATCCATCTGGTCCTGATGCCGCTGTCTGCAGGGTTTTGTGGTGATGGAGCGGAGACACTGGAGCTCGTATGGCTGTGGCCCAACACTCAATGATTAGCTCATAGTTTTCCTCTCATTGCTTCACTTACTTGGCTCCTAACATTGACTCATGCATGTGATTGACAGGAAGAAAACTTTTTAGCTATATTGGGGATTTGCGTCAAGCAGACAATCTGCAGAGATTTTTCTGCCATGTCTGGTATCTTTGTGTGTGTGTGTGTGTGTGTGTGTGTGTGTGTGTGTGTGTGTGTGTGTGTGTGTGTGTGTGTGTGTGTGTGTGTGTGTGTGTGTGTGTGTGTGTGTGTGTGTGTGTGTGTGTGTGTGTGTGTGTGTGTGTGTGGGTGGGTGTGTGTGGTTAAGTAATAAAACAAGTAATAATCAACATAACTATCAAATCCTGCTTTCGTTTGCAAGTACACATGCCTGCGCCAGCGTTTTGAGTGTTTTTGTGCGCACAGTGTTCATACTCACACTTGAACACACACACACACCTGTGTATTTGATAGGGTGTCAATGACGCTAAACATTAATCTGAGTCAATCTGGACGCAGAGCTCACTGTCATTAATCAGTGGCAGCAGGGAAGTCTGGGTTTTTCCCGTAACCTACTTTAAAGTGCAGAGACAGACAGTAGCTAGATAAATAGATAGATGATTTAGTTGCAGTTTTTTTAGAAAGAAATTGTTGAATTAAGGCGAGACACAGATGTGTGTTGTTGTCGATTCAATGTTTGTGAGTGAAAGACTGATTGTTACCTGATCCACATTTAACCCCACTCCCCCTCTCCTACTTCTGTCCGCCCCTCTTTGTCTCCCCCCATTCCTGGAAGGCAGACAGACCAGCCAAACAGTGACGTGGCCGAGCTGTTTTAAAGGGTCTGCAGTCACACATTAGCAGAGTCGTCTTTAGGGTCTGGCTGCTGGTTGCCAGGTCAGGGTGATAGTAGTAGTATAGCAGATATAAGGACAGTAGTTGTGAATTAACCATATTAGATCACAGCAATGATCAAAGTGCGTGCGTGCGTGCGTGCGTGTGTGCGTGTGTGTGTGTGTGACAACTTTTAATGATATATAGGCTTTCTGCCTTGTTTTGTCCAATGACTAACAATCAGGAAAATAACAAAAGTTCTCATTGATTTTGCCCTCTCTCTTTCGAAAACATACACATACACACAAAAGTACACAGCCTGGTTGAGTTTGAGCTTTGACATGTTGATAAGTGAGTGGTGGCCGGTAACACAAACCTCCCTGGTAGTCCATGTGTGTACCAGCTGTGGGAACTGGTGACCACACGTCTCGGACACACGCACACACGCGCACACACACACACACACACACACACACACACACACACACACACACACACACACACACACACACACACACACACACACTCACTCACACTCACACAAACATGCACACTCTGACCTGAGTAAAAAAAAATAAAGGGGGTCCTCGGCTCAGATCACAGCTGGAACTGCCTCAAGACAGAGAACTATTTGAAAAGGGAACAAAGACGACAACTATTGAACACCCTTTGATTTTCTGCAAAGTCCAATCAGTAAATTAAGTGCAGAAACAGACACGCACACAAAAAACTGTTTCTCTGTCCAGACTCTGCTCTGTCTGTACTCCAGGTTGCATATCTGCGCCTAAGCCCGTCTGTTTCTCTGCCATTATTCACCAACATACACCGCTAAAGTCTGATAGTGTGGACTGAAAAACGGATAAGAAAATACACAATGCTGAGTGGTTACGAGAGGCCAATGTGGTGTTGATTACCTCGTCAGCAATGAAGCTGCTGATCTCATACAGCCACTGAAAGAGAGAAAGAAAGGAGAAAGAGAGGGATAGAGTCTGTTAACTGCCTTTCCATACAAGGAGAGGTAGGGGGAGAAAAGAGGAGGAGGGGGAGGAGAAAGCGAGAGGCAGAGAGAAGGAGGGTAACGTGAGGAGATACAATGAGAGAGAGAACAGAGGAGGAGGAGAGAAATTTGGAAAGCAAGATAAAGACAGAGGATAGAGGGATACAGGCTGATAGAGCTGTGGCAGACAGTGACTTAGGGCAGAGTAGGACGAGCAAGAGGAGGTGAGTGAGCGGAGCTGTATCCTCTCTGAGGTTCCAACTGTGTGATCCTGCTGCAGCTTCTCTCTGTCACTGACTGATCCAACACAGGTAAGACCACGCTGAGATTTCATTCATTCTCATCAGGAGAGTCTGAGGGGACCCCTTATAAGCACATTTCAATGCCTGTTAGCCAAAAGAGATGCTGTAAGATTGAGAAGACATTGTATTTTTTTGAGCAAATGCATGCCGGGGAGGAAACATGTTCATATCCTTTACTTTAGTGAAAGTAGTAATGCGTCACTTCATTACAATATATTGATAAATGATGATTAATGCCACCCAACTGTACAAAAAGCGTCAATGTTTAGTAACATGTTATTTAAGAGAGGTCTGTTATAACACTGAGGTAGATTTTATAATCACGTCTGCAATTCAACTTTGTATTAGAGATTTTAATATTCACATCTAATATTAACTTCTTGTATATTTTAAAAGTGCTTTAGTCCACAACATTGAACCACGTAGAAATAGATAATTTTTTATGTTAAAGACACTTATATTGTAAAGAAATTGTTAACTACATCTGATAATGATGTTTGTAAAAAATGACTGTTTATAAAAAGCAGCATCAAATGAACACAAATAAAAAAGATTGCATCTCCAAAAGGTTCTTATGTTTCACAACTGAATAAGACTTTTGTGTTGGGATGAATTGTGGTTATGTTGTTTATTTAGCTCATTTTGCATTTTTGTAGTTGTAAACGTTTTGTTTCTTAGCATGTACCCCAACAAATCAGCTGAATTCACACAAAATGATTGATTTTTGCATATAATCTGTTCTTTGGTGCAATTTATATACAAACACAGGTACAGATGTATTCACACAATGTCTTTCATACTTGTCTTCCTCTTGAGATGAGGCTTTAGCTGAGCATATCGAGCAAACCTTAAACTTCATGCCCTCCTCCTTTTTTTTTTATCTACATGAGCTGCTACCGCAATGTCATGAGTTCCCCTTCACCAGGATGAGAGACGGACAAGTTTCCAACCTCCTGTTGTGATGCTTGTCTGGATGATTACAGTTTCTATCTGTCTGCGTTTCTGTGCATATGCATGATTGTTTGCACAGATACATGCCCATGCTACATAAGGGCGTCAGTAAGGCCCTTTAAACACAGTGATGTATCTATTTTTTAAGCACACACTATTGAATGTACCTCAGCCTCGCAAAACAAAATATTTCTGAGAAAACAGCAAATTACCTCCCAGCCCCTGCCTTGTTAAAAATGAACAAACCTCCCGCTGTGTGCACAAATCTGTGTTTGTGTGCACATACCTGCATGTCTGAGTTTAGTAGCTGAGCTGGATGTGTGTATTATCTCTGCATGAGTCTGCTGTAATTACACAGTGAAGGTGCCCATGGGGCGTCGGCTGCTACATTTGGCTGAGCGCCACATACCCTGCTTTTATTGTGTCTTGTGCCTGACAGAAAAAAAAAACTGCTGTATGTGTCTGTTTATGTTGACTGACGAGAGCAGGTCTGGTGTGTGTGTGTGTGCATGCTGCAAGTTTGTAAACTTTATGTCTGGACTTATGTCTTTAGTCTCTGCATGCATTGATAATTACCATTCAGCCTTTACTATTCTTATCATTATGAGTATGTGTTTTCAAAGAAAGACATCAGCTGGTAGCAAGGCCATGTGTGTGTAGGCTATGTGTGTATGTATCTCTGTGTGTGTGTGTGTGTGTGTGTGTGTGTTTGTGTGTTACCTAATACAGTTCAGTGTGTCAGTGTGGGAATTCAAGAAATGTCTCTTTCGTGTGTCAGTGTGACAAGTTCAGAGGGAAGGTTAAACCACAGTGTTTCATTAAAATATTTAATCGCTTTTGTAGCAACACAGAACTCATGAAAGCCACTCTCAGTATTTTACAAATGAATCACTCTGAAAACAAAGAACGCTTGACAGTTAAAATGCAGCTGGTCCTTTTCTGGTACGCGTTTAAAACAGGTAAATCTTTGCAACAGCCTGCGAAAGGTCTGACCTCCTTTTCTATACTAAAGTCGACAGACTGTCGACAGTCGGCAGTTCATTTCACATACTGATGTAAAAAAAACCTTCAGCTACAGGCGTGAACTTCCACTAACCCGAGCACACAGACCTCAGAAGCATCAAAACTGTTTCTTATGTAGTCTGGAGATTATATTTTTTGTCATCTTCCTAAAATACCATTACTTTTTGGAACTAGTTGCACATTAAAACCTCTCCACCTGGAGCTTTATCTGCCTCCTGCAGAGCAGCAACGTTGCAGCCGGTGAGATGATCAGATGACTGAGCAGTGAGATCAAAGCTGGGTTCTGTGTGTCTCCATACTGGAGGTATTTTTATAGCTGGCTGTTAAACTGTGTAGTGGTTAATATACATTTAATGGAGACAGGGAATTGATAAAACACTCAGGGACATATAAAGGTTGCGGTCAGAAAAGTGTCAGAGTTGGAGTTTTGCACCTATATTGGCAGAGAAACATTATATGACCTCTGGAAATAGACTTCAGGGACAGTGAGCAGCAGGACATGTGCAGTATGTGCAGTGTGTGTGTGCACACTTGTGTGTGTTTGTGCACTGGTCCACTTGCCCATATTTAACTTTCTGCATTCTGCAGCTGCTTGGAGGTTTAGTTATAGTATAGTAACCAAGAGAAACGCCACACACAAGGCTACAGCCATGAAACATTGTTCTCCCTTTCAGTTACACACAAACCAGAAAAAATCCATCTGTCATCGGATCATAAACCGTCAACTCAAAGTGAAAACATCTGCAAAGAAAATAGCAAATGGGTGATATAAAATCATTTATTTTGTGCTGCGCTTTTTTGCCCAGAAGACTTTTCATCCAAAGAGTCATTAGAACTGCAGAGTTCAAACAAAGTAAAAATCCTCTGCAATCATAAAATCTTACATGGTTCTTTTTTTATGACAAAGATTTAAACAGTTTCATCCCAGAGGCAAGTGTTTCTTTTGGCATTTTTCAGAAAGGTTTCATACACAGACTATCACAAAGAGTCAGGTAGTAAAGGTGGGTCATTCTGTAACATTCAGCTATCAAGGCTCTGTAAAGATTCTCCGACATTCACTGCTGCCAGTTGTAGATTTCATTGTGTCAATTTTCTGTCAAAAAGGAGGAAAAGAAACAACATTAGGAGCAAAATCTTAAGCAAGTATGTGAGGGTGAAATGTATCATGAGCAGTTACCCTGCATGTGCGCCCTTTCCCTTTATGCCCCTCTTCTTACAGTGAGTCTGACTCAGCAGCTGGCGGTCAGTGGATGGTCAGTCGGTGAGGTCAGTAGAGCAGCGAAGCAGACAGGATTTGCATCTATCTTCAGAGATGTCACCTCTGTTGCTTTATTTTTGGCGTGCTTCTCTGGCAGACATTACCGCATGAATGTGTAGCTGCAGATTGGCGGTGGCCCAACGCTCTTGGCTCGGCTCGGGGGAATAGGAGTATTGTTTTAAAGTCTCCAGGGTCAATGGGTTCATTGAGCTTTGTTTTTGGATTAAAAGGGAAATCAGGATTGTCTGGTATTGGTTTCATAAAAGTAATTTCACTTATTGGCTGATGGATTCTACTTTTTCATGAAATGGACAAAACTTTTAATGGTACTCAAGAAATCTCAGAAATCAGAAGCAGTTATTCTTTGCAATCAACATAACTGCTGCTTGCATGGTTAAGCCAATCATTTGAAAACCTGATACATGTCTACAATTAATGAGGAATACTTTTTTCCATTTCTTTCAGATGATGTCATCAGAGCACCTGACCTGCAGTTGGCTGCAGCAGCTACTCGTTGTACTCCTGAAGCTTTGCATAACTTTCGCTGGGCCTCTGCGACCGCTCAATGGGACAGAATGCACAGCCAAGGGTCCTGCTTCCTACATCCTGGTCTTTACGGGTCACTGGAGCCCACAGTCCTTTCCAAAGCAGTATCCACTCTTCCGGCCCCCTGCACAGTGGTCCAAACTCATAGGTGAGCTGGCGTAGGATAAAGAAAGTCCTTTTTTGGGGGGGGAGGGGGGGTGGGAATTTTTGGTGGAAATTCCAAGGGAGATGAAGCAACACACTGTCAGACTTAGCTGTACCCAAACAAAGATCTGTTGCTTCCCATCATGTGTCACAGGGTTAGATTTTCATTGTCAGCTTACATAGACACACACACACAAGGTAGAGCAATATGAAAGGCCGTCTAAATGCTACCAGATGGGTCTTTTTTGCTCTCAGTGTCTGTAACGTCTGTCCAGCCATTTCTTTAATATTTCTCTATTTCTTCAACTTGATCACATACTGCTTTCCACGTGTCCACTGGTTTACCACAGCGTTGACGGTATAAGCTGGAGTAGAGGCTTTCAGGGCTGCCGAAGGAGGGTGATGATAGTTGGGGTGTGGTGGGGTCACACCACTTACCTCAGAGCCAGGAGTAGGAGGAGAAGAGGAAGAGGAGATTCTTGCCCTTCTTTTTTGCTTTTTTTCCAAGCCATGGAGCATGGGATGGATGGCAGATGTTTGTACGTGTGTGTGTGTGTGTGTGTGTGTGTGTGTGTGTGTGTGTGTGTGTGTGTGTGTGTGTGTGTGTGTGTGTGTGTGTGTGTGTGTGTGTGTGTGTGTGTGTGTGTGTGTGTGTGTGTGTGTGTGTGTGTGTGTGTGTGTGTGTGTTTAACTGCTCTTGTGCATCACTGTCTGTGGCTTTGTCTGGTTTCCAGCTCTCCCAATGCTGCCCTGCTGCCCTGCCAGAGTGTGATGGCCTACTTACTCCTTATAGAGACAGACACCGGGGATTCTGACACACCCATAAGGGCTTTTAATGTCCCTGGGCACCACTGGACAGGGGATGGGGGTGGGAGAGGCAAGGACTGGGTTTTGTCACAAAAGAAGAAAAACAAGGGTTTAAAGTTTGTCACTGCACAAAGAAAAGCACAACCTGTCAAGGGGTTTGGGGGCCATCGATGGTTTGTGCTGTTTTAATGTGGAGACCCGGGGGTAAAGGGGCCGAGGACACTGCTATATGGAAGAGGAAATGGAGTTTGTCATGGCCAGAGAAAAACATGGGCAATTCAGGAAGGGTGGGAAATGGGCTTTAACGTCTTGGTGGGGCCCAAACGTGATGTGTTATCGAGTTTCAAGGTCTTGATGCTTGTGGGAAAGTTGTTAGGATGGAAATGCAATTAAGTGTCTAAGTAATGCCGTTTAGGGGGGAAACAAGATACTGTGTGAAGTGTGCTGGACAGGTTGTGTATATGTCTCAGCACAGTGTGTGTGTGTGTGTGTGTGTGTGTGTGTGTGTGTGTTAAGCATGTGTCAAGAGTGTTTAAGTATAAATGCATGCTCGTGTACGTGTGCCTGTACAGCTCTGAGTAGTGAGGTGAGGCAGAACCATCAGAGTATTTGTCAGCGTGTTTTTGGCTAACCTTACTCTGCCCTTAAAACCACTGGCTCAGGCAAGTTGGTCTGTGGGTTTCACTGTGTGCTCAACTACAAATAGTCTGACCTAAATCAAGTCTCTTGATTCGCAGCAGATATTATAGATAAACAGGACCAAGTATGAGAACATGAAGGCAATGGTTGTCTTGGCTGGATGGTATGAAAGAGTATAAACTAACGGATTTCAAATTTGTTTAAAAAATGTTCATCCACCATCTGAGTGCTGACTTTGAGATCCTGATCTGTATCTCCTGGTAGCTCCAGACTTTGCTGTTGTTTTATTAATGATAGATGGAGAAAGATGTAACTATAACCATGCACTAATGCCAGAGACATACATGTGGGCAATTTCTTCACCATTATCTGTTTAATTGCAGGGAGAAGGAGGCAGTTGTAGAAATACATACAGGCTCCATGGTGGAAATGATCTCACCGTCTGGCTGAGGCTCTGTGGTACCTCATTGACATTGATATGCATTCCAGCAAATAAGCATCTCTCTCTTTCTTGTTTTTCTTTTCTTCCATTAGCGGTTAGCCACAATCGCCATTTTCGACTGTGGGAGGAGGGTGCTCTAGCCAGTGCAGGGGTGCAGAACTTCTCTGAACTCGGGGTGACGGTAGAGCTCATGAAAGCAGCCAAGGAGGCCAGGAAGAGACGTGTGGTTGGAGCCATGTACAGAACGGCCGGCATCCCAAATGGCATCGGGCACAGCTCCACGGAGTTGCTCATACAGCCGCGGAACTCAGTGGTAGGCACAAATAAAACTTAAGTAGAAGCAATGCTCATTCACAAAAGTAAGCACATGCTCAGACAGAGTAAGTCACACAAACTGTCTCTGTTTGAGTAAATCTCTTAAGTCATCTGGTGATCTGGGCCTTCACGTAATGCTGTCCATCCGCACATTTCACCACTTCTTTCCACTATCCAATCAGACTATGTTTAGCTCGAGTGCTGAAGTCCTGCAGCCACAAACACCCACATCCGTCCTGCACGGTCTGCACACTGTCTGCCTCATGGCCCAATGAACTCATTGTGCCCAGGATGAACTTAAGTACAAAAATAGTTTAGAAATTGTTCAATTGCTCCAAAGCAAACACTGCTATGCTGATGATGCACTGATCTATTTCTCTGCAAAACCCTAATCCTGAATCCCCTGTCCTCCATTAATGTTTGCTCAGCTGCCTTTTAAGAGTGGATGCCTTTTCATTTCCTCCAAGTCAATTCTGACAAATAATAATAATAATAATAATACTACAATTAATAAAAAATACTTTAAACTGTACCTGTCCACTACAGTTTAACAGTTTGATTGCTAACCCCCCTCCATTATCAAATCTGCCGTTACATTTTTTTATCATCTTTGATCAAAATGTGATGTTTGACCGTTATGTCACGTTATGCTTTTTTCCTTCAGCTAAGACATATGGCAAAATTCTGATTTATTTTGTCCACCACTAAACAATTAATGCAAACTTTCATTTTTCACCACTCTAGATCACTTTGAGCTAGTCAGTCAACCAATATCCTTATTTGCTCAAATTGCAGCGGCCATGTTTGTTCTTTTTACTAGAATTAATCATTGATCCCATATACCCCCATTCTGACATGCTTCCATCAACCTCATGTTAAATTCTTTCTAGACCATAAGATCCCCCCCCCCCACCCCCAACATACGAAATCTCCACATCCCATTTTTTCTATTTTGGGACCACTGCAATCATGAAAAACTGCAAAACAAATCACATTAACCTCTCTTTCAAACAGGCTGAGTCTTCAGAGAGTTTTTAGACGTATCTGTATAGCTTTCTTCTAGGTATTTCCTTTGTCTTGAGTTTTGGTTTATATCGGTTTAATTAATTAAATATCTGATGTAATTAATTTATTAAAAAAAGGAAGTAAAAATGATATCATGCTGTGTTATGGATATTATATGTGGTGGTAGACTATTTCTTGGCTAGGCAGCCACTTCCTGGATTCTTACTGCGGTTCCCTTACAACTACAACCAAAATAAAAGTTTTCTATGTGGTTTGGTGGTCTGACTTAACAAAAGAGTCTTGGTGCTGATTGTGCTTCCTTTGAACAAGCCTGATGAATTATTTGCCCCTGTGCCAAGTTTTCAGGCTAACTGACAAAAGCTTCATAATTTACCTTAAGATATGGTTTTGGCTTCAGTTATTTATTCTTACTCTCAGAAACTAAGAGTTAAGTTTAAATTTCAAAAAGCTCAAAGTATTCCTTTAAGAGCAAAGGGCAATGTTTGGTTCAAATCTGGAGTCTACTTTGATAAAATATTCATAAAGGTTCATATGTACGTATTTTATTAGTTTCTGTATTTTGTCTTATTCACTATAGTGATTATTATTGAGAGCTGCTTCTCACACACATAGGCCCACTATACACACATGAACAGACAGGACCTATGGACATGCTTTAATGGAGAGATGTCAGAGTCGTGGGGCTGCTACATAGTAGCAGAGTAACGCACTCAACTGCATCTCAGCAGTACTCGGGAAGTGACCTAGCACCTCTCCAGCGACCGGAGAGGCAACCTGGAGATGACCTGGCACATCTCTAGCAACCAGACGGACTTCCAAACTTTCATCGGGGACTTGAACCGGCGACCCTCTGGTTCCCAACCCATGTCCCTAAAGACTGAGCTACTGTACCAAAGTGAAGCCTGTCTTAAAATTATATTTTAATAGTATATTTTACCCTCTTTGTTGAGCTAACGTTGCTCAGAGGGGAAATATTTTTCAGGGAAAGAAAAAGATATTTGGGTTAAAACTTCAAACTATTAACGAATTTCTTTGGATCGTCAGACAGCTGCAATCAAGCATTAGCCCATATTTAAGGCTGATAAATGTGTATGCCTTGCTGGGCTGTCAGTTCCTCTAGGGAACAACTTTAATCAATGCTGGACAATGCTGTTGAATAGTGAGTGAGTCTGAAAGCAAGGGTCATTGTTGGAGTCCTAAATTTGGGCCTAGGGTTTAAATAAAGGCAAAGGAATTCAAAGAGGAATGAGGTATGGCTCTCTGGAAAAATGTCACATACTATTCACAGAGTTCTAACTAGAACTAAAGTCTTCTTTTATGTGCAAAGCATATGTTGCAGATGAACAAGAGGGAGAGAGGTGAAGAGGAAGGGCGGACATTTGCTGGAACTTTTAGAAATAGGTGTCTGCCTGTCTGAATGTCTGCTGACCTACATTTGTTTATTGGTTATTCCACTGCCTGAACCTTAGGGCTCTCTAAAATCATAAACAACTCTGTCGAAGGGCATCTTTGGTAAGTACTTGTCATGGATAGCAGCTTAACAGCTTTTCTTCTAGGTACGTGATGTCTATGACTGTTTTTAAAAGCGTCTTTCTGTTTTTAGATCTGTGGACAAAACAAAAAAAGCTTGGTATGACTATTGTGCTTGTGTCGAACGTGACAATGACAGACTGAATGATGGGAGTTGGCTGACACCTAAATCCGTTGCCCTTCTTTTCTGTCGGTCTGTGACTCTCTCCCTCGCATTTTCTCTTACACACAAACCAGAACAATAAGACGCAATGTCCAAAAAACACCACCACATATGATTCCTATCTTCATATTCATGAGTTTTTTTTTCGTTGCTCTAAAATGTGTGATTCAAAACAGACTGATAAATAGTATCATGATCCAAGTAGTATTTCTCCTTAAGATCAAAACACAGAGAGCACAGACTATACAACAGCAGCTCCTTAGAATTTAGGTGCTTGAGCTCCTGGACTGAGTTACATGTTTTGTAGGTTGAATTTTTCTCTGTTGGGTTCTGCGGAAGTTTTGCTGTGATGGAGAGAAAGTGAGAGGAATCATGGCGCTTTGAGTGACTGTCTGTGGTCTAGCGATCCTTCCTGGCCTCAGTATTGCAAACCATCATCAATAAAGTGACGAGGGATACCGCTGATCCTTACTGAGTGGCTGAATGGATAAAGCAGGACGAGGCTACGTGGAAAAACACTGCTTGAGAGGAGGCCATAGAGGGGAAAGGAGGAAAGGAAGGAAGGAAGGAACAAGGGGATCAGGGGAGGATTGAAAGAAGCAGAGCTGATCCTGATTTGTGTTTTGTTTCTTGCCGTGCGTCACCGGCAAGAAACAGACCCCATGTGTCAGAATGACACTGCCTGCTCCCTGTCTCGAGTGGTCTGCTCTGGTTCGATGTCAGCCCACCCACTCTGACCCTGGCTTCAGCAGCTCAGCCCATGTCCTCAAATATCAGGACACAAAAGAGGAGATGTTTTTCAAACGTGCTGTTTTCTGGGTGACTGCCACCTCAGCGTGTGCCGACCCCCAGGCCACTTCCTGTATGAGGTCACCAGCTCTTAGGAAACATCCATCACACATGAGACACAGTGCAACCCTGCACAGGAAACTGTGTGGGTTCATGCACATGCACATAGGCAGTTCCATAGTCCCTGAGTATAAATGCATTGTGATTCCATTTTTCATCAGGTTACCCTGTAGTATCATTTACAATCACAACTTGCCAATGCATGCAAGTCTAGAAAGTAGATCAACAACTTGAAAGTACATCATCATCATTCACCGAAGCACAAACTAAACTAATCTGTAAAAAAATAACAAAATATGCCTCAGAGTTTATTTCTTTTTGATTTATGACTAAATATATAGATCAAAAAAGCTAATAAACCAATCCTGATGTTTGCACATGTGCACTTTTATAGATGTATGTGCTCTAGGGGGTTGGGGGGAAGAAAAGGGGAAAACATTTGTAATATATGATGTAATTTCTTTGTACATTTCTTAATCAAGAATTGATCACAAAAAATAAAAGCTAATAAACCAGAGTTTGAAACCAGTCCAGCTGTTCTGTTTGGCAGCATTATAGCAGTACTATGAGCTTAAAGTCAACATCAGCATGCTGATATGCTCACAGTGTCAATGCTAACACTGTTCAACATTTAAGCTCTGCATTATGCATTCAACAATGTAACTAGCACTTTCATTGTTTATTGTTTTGTATGTTGTAAGTTACAAACCTAATTGATGGACACAAATAGATTTTTTTTGCTGACAATGGCAATGGTAACCAAAGTTAGACTAAAAATGTGGCATTTATATACAATGTCATAGAATCCATTCATAATTGTTGAGATGTTTCAGTCTTGACAGAGGAACCAACATTAATATTGCATCAAAGACCTGCTTCCTGTAAATCTAAGAGTACTTAGTGGCCTTGGTCCTCAATTTATTTGAGCTATATTAGGATTTATGAATCAGCACTTCGATCGATTTTGCAAGTCTTTGTGTATTTTGAAAACATTTTGTCTTAACTTACTAAATGTGTAGTCTCCTCCTCTCTCTTTCTCTGACCAATAGCTGTCCCTTATGGTGAAAATGATCCCCAGCCCCGACTGGTTTGTCGGTGTGGACAGTTTAAACCTTTGCGAGGGCAGCCACTGGAAACAGGAAGTGAGCGTTGACCTTCACCCTTATGATGCAGGAACTGATAGTGGATTCACTTTCTCTTCTCCAAACTTTCCAACGAGTCCTCCAGAAAACATCACAAAGGTGAGCTCTTGGATGTATATGGTATCGTATGGTATTTTATCGCAGCACATTATTTTTTTGTATATTATGTATGTTCATAAGTTCATGATAATACGCTTAAATTCTGACGGATGTTTTATCATCGGTTCTTAAGATGATTCTTAATAAAGTCTTTTGTGAATTCCCTTCAAAGACAAAGCAAGGTAGATGGTCCTCATTACTCCTAAAATAGTTTAGCAGCACGGGAACGAGACATCATTCTTAGCTGTCTCCACTCAAATGATTGCTTGGCGGCCCTCATGCCTGACCTGGAGTGAATTGAGTAAAGAGGGCCTCTCTTACATAACAGTCAGCCTGTCCTTTCCCAACATGTGTTTTTAAGTGAGCTATTGTGTATTTGAACTTTTGTTGAGAATCTAGCTGGCTCTGCTGATGAATTATGCCCAACTGTTCTTTGCTGACTCGTTCAGATCACGTCTCAGATGCCGAACCATCCAGCCAACTCCTTCTACTATCCACGCTTAAAGGAGCTTCCACCTATTGCCAGCATTAGGATCACTCAACAGAGCAGATCACCTGACCGGCAAACCCCAATGTCCAATCATATTTTACCAAACTCTATTAGTCCACAGCGCTTCTCAGGTAAGCTCAGTGAAACCAAAACCTTTTACCTAGAAGGATCAGAAATGTTTGGTGTTGTTAAATCAATGCGTCTTGCATGACAGGTGTAATATAGTCTAAGTTTCAGGACTTCTTGCATTCCAGCACAACCTGTACTATTCTATGTTATCTACAGATGCTACAAGCCCATGCTAATGGAAACATGCCTTGTTTTGCAGAGATTGGTTACTTGCCTCTTCTGTTAACAAAATCTTTATTCTTGCCACATCTCTTTCCTATGACGCAGTGACACCTCTGGATTGCGAAGTGTCTCTCTGGTCATCCTGGGGTTTATGTCTGGGTCCTTGCTCCAGAGGTGGTGTTCGCCACCGTACACGTTACATCCTCTTGCGGCCGGCCAATGCTGGTGTCCCCTGCCCTGAGCTGGAGGAACAGGCTGAATGTGTACCACACAGTTGTATGAAACTTCAGTAACCTGCAGGGCGCACAGATACTGCCAGTATTCAACACTGGGACTCTCATGTTATTACTGCTGGACTACGAAATGTTGCTGCAGCTTAAGTATTTCCTTGAAAATGCAAAGGATCATGTGTTTGTTACAGTCAATTTGTGATCATTTAAAGACATGCTGCATTGCCCCTTCTGTGCAGCCACTTAGTTTTACTGAGTGCACTAGTTTAGGGTGTATTCTAACCAGAGTTTTCCATTAGAATTACAAGTGTTGGACAGACATTAGATTCAGACTTATGAGGCCCTACGAAATGGAGTTGTTTCTTCTTCTCAAATAACAGTCAACATTAATATAAATGATGGTTGCCTCTAGCAGACAGAAAAAAAGAGAAAGATTTCGGGTCTATTTTCATGTGAAAACAGCAAATAACAGCATTGCAGTGCTAGTGAAGAATGTAACACTGGTGAAAGGTAGCTAGTTGATGACAATGATCTGTGTTTTCCCAGCACATGTTTTAAGTTTGTACTTTTAATAAAGATAAAGTCAAGATAATTAAAACAGGTAAACGCACAAAAGGGAGCAGTTTCATGTTAAAAATCAGGGTAACTCCACAACTAGAAGGACCCGAGCCAAGCTGCTGCTATTGGCTAAGCTTGTTTCTAGGTTCATTGCAGTGCTAGTGAAGAATGTAACACTGGTGAAAGGTAGCTAGTTGATGACAATGATCTGTGTTTTCCCAGCACATGTTTTAAGTTTGTACTTTTAATAAAGATAAAGTCAAGATAATTAAAACAGGTAAACGCACAAAAGGGAGCAGTTTCATGTTAAAAATCAGGGTAACTCCACAACTAGAAGGACCCGAGCCAAGCTGCTGCTATTGGCTAAGCTTGTTTCTAGGTTCACACTTGATCAAATGGGAAGTGTATTGGGGGAAAATGACATCTAAACAGCTCTAATTAAAACAGCAATGAATTGAACTTTTATTCTGAATGTAGCAGTATCTAATGTTTGAAATAACATTTCAATGGTGTAATATAAAATTGATTTGCATTAGCAGAATAAAAACATTGAGATGAAGCTGCATGACACATTTTCCCCACAACGAAATGATGAGACTTGTTATGGTTTGTTCATTTTGTCATTAACATATGCATTCAATCTGTATCCTGATGGTGGCCCACCACAGTCACAAGTATTCATCACACACTCTTACGTGTATGCACACATGTGATCACAGAAATCTGCGCACAAAGGTCCTTGCACATACTGCATACTGTTAAAGGCATTGTGGCATTAGTTTACATTGGTAGCCTACACATGCTTGGTACATTCATTTCTTTCAAAATAGCCTCCCACCCCTTTTATAAATACCACCTTCACAAGAAACACTTGATAGCTGACTTGAGGTTTAGAGAAGGTCTAAAGAAGCAGGCCTACCTAATAATAAAAATCATTTTTTATAGAAAGAAAAAATATATATATTTGTATTATCTCTTGATATTTTAATGTTGATCTTTTGTATATACTGATATGATGTATCTTGTAAAACTCCTGAATAAAGATGGAGGTGTGTTTTTCAAATAGAGGATCTGTGTCACTTTGCTTTGCTGTATGGCTTTTCAGTTATTTTTAACAGCACTCTTCCAGTAAATACAGTCAATGTATTTGTGAATACCAGACAGGTGTTGGCATGTCTTTATTTAGATTACACAGCCTGAATTTAAAATACACCGTAATAAATATATATATACGGCCCTGGGCGGCTTTGTTACTACTTTGTCATAAATATAAACTATTTCAGTGAAATAAATAGTGAGTTTTTCCCCTGCACTGCAATATCGTATATGACAGTGTAGCACCTCCTTGTGGTCACACTTGACAACACTTCTACTAGCCTACTACAAGCAAAAATGTACATCATTATGACGGGAAAAAAAGAAATGCATTATTTTTTTAATAATATTTGCAAGTATTTAACTTAGAAAAACAGGCTTTGTTGACCGTGATAAGTAAAACTCCTGAACAAATCATCATTCAATGTGAATCAAGTTAATATAACCTAATTATACCTACCAAGAGGAACCCAGAGTGTTAGTCAGTCTTATATATTTGTGGGGCTTTTATTGTTCTTTGTATTTTCTGTTTATCAGTCTGCTTTGTATGACTACATGTGTCTTTTTATTTACACAACGTATTATATCACATAAAACTATGGCACCCTGAAATAATACAATATAAATTGATATAGATAAGGGGTTTCAGTGATGCAGGTGAGGTTGATGTGACACATATCTTAATTTTTAAAGTAGAAATGTTCACTATAACACTTAAAATACACTTTAATGTTTGGAATCATAGCCTGGGTTAACAGAAATGGTGCAGCCACTGCCCAAACTGTTAGGCCTCTCGGTTTCTGTTAAATTAAGATAGGCCTAAGCCACAGATTTATATATTAAATGAATTCTTAGACTTTCTTTATTGTCATTCAAACCTGTACTTTACAGTGCAGATAAGAACGACATTTCGTTGCATTTGACTCGTTAGTGCAGGATAAAAACAGCAGCAAGTATTCACATAGAAAAAATAAGGTGCAGATATAAATAGACAAGAAAAGCTATGTGTAAAATTACTATACAGATAAATATATTGCACGTTTGTGCTGTATGTTATATTGTATTTTACAGTCCAGTGAGGTAGTCCTGTGTTGGGGTTTGAGGGGGAATGGAGGGATTCTTCTTTCGTGTTCAAAAGTCTTATGGCCTGTGGGAAGAAGCTGTTACAGATTCCATGTGTTATGTGAAATAGAAATTAGAGCTGGACAATTAATTACGATAAAGTGGCTTGAACATGGCCGGATATAGACTATAAGCAGGAATACTTCAAGCCCAATGACATAATAACTATCCAGATGCATTATTGAAATGAAAAATACAATAATTCAACATCCAATATTATCGAGTCGTTTTGATATTGTTTTTTTTCATACAAATAATCCATAAGAACATGTGACTGTCATAATTTGGCCTAAAACAGTCAAGTTTACTACATTATTTCATATTCTGGTGTATCATTGTCTACTTCAGCTTTAGCACTGCGGACAAAAAAAACCCAGTTCTTCCAGCTGATACCTCTAAACATTGTTCAAACACAGGTCTGCCGCTAGAGGCCGCTGTTGGCCCATCGTCGCTCCGCTGTCTCCGCAGTGCTGCTTGTCTACGAGGAGTGCGTTTGATTGTTGCAGGGCTCAATGGCGGACAGAGCAGGATAGTCGCATTAGCACCGAGGACAATAACATCTCGACTGTGTAATTCGCTGGCGTGACTCGGCACGCCGCAGCACTTGCCCCACAAGTGCACCGTTTTGAAGCGGGTCTTTCTTTTTTTTTTGCACTAACATTAAGTGCAAAGTCGGCCGCAGCTCTTCCCTGCTTTCATCTTTCAGCGTGTTTTGAGTTCCCGTCCACAGCGGAGAAGTTGCACTGTTTCATGGTGGCTCACTGAAAGGCAGTTTAGCTTGCGAGCAAAAAAAAAAAAAACATGGGGGAGTCTCTCGAACTGATAGGGAAGCGTCTGCTTTTGCTCCTCGGCGACGGCAGGTCCGCAAACGGATCGGAACCGGAGAAGGCCACCTGGGCCAGGGACTGGCTCCGGGGAACGGTGCGGGCGGTCAGCGTCATCGGCCTGGTCGCCCCGGAGGGTGGCGGAGGAGAGGCGACGACCACATCCAGTGCTGCTGCAGGGCTCACGGTCAGTGTTTACATCCAAGTGGTAGCACACTGCGTAGCTAAACACGCACCTAATCAAGATGTAAAATGTGTTGCCAGCTACGAAGTGTGTTTTTAAGCGGACTGAAATCGTTTTAACCATTAATGTTTGTGTATTTGTTGGCAGCTGACGTTCGCTCGTTTATATATTAGCAAAAGCTTCTTAGTCGTAAGGCTGTGAGGCGAAGCTAAACTCGAGGCCGGGGATTTTCTGGCCTTTGCTTTGTTCGCGTTTTAGCTCTGAAACGAATGACATTCACTCCCACGAATACAACTTGTTAACTGGTTGTATTTACGTGCTAATTACAAACAAGTCAGCTTACTGCACGGCCACAATACTTAAATGATACAGCAGCCGTGAATAACCTCTTTAAGCTGGTGAATCCTCATTGGTAGCTCACGATAGTCTTGTTAAAGGCCTCACAAGTTCATATGAGGGTGAACCCGGAATTCCTTTCAATTTATTGTGTGCTCCAGATTGGGAAATGTTATGACTAACGCAGAGTTTGATAACTAAATAAACCCTTTACGAAATGAAATTAATCTTCCAAAGTTATTTGAAGGCTTCGTCGTGCAGGGAGACACAATTGCAAAGAAATTGGGTGAGATTTGTAAAATACAAATATAGGGTGATGGTTGGTGACCTATATACAGGTTTACATTTGATAGCTGGATTTCAGGCTCTTACAAAGACAGCTGATAGTCAGATTCACAAAGTTTTGTTTTTTAAATTTAGATCAGCTATGGAGGATACTTTTAACAACACTTGTATGACTTCAATGCTCACATTTTAGGAAAGTGTTATCTAAGTAACTGTTCTATTTCTTACACAACATTAATTTAGTGTTATTAGATTGAAGCAATTAATTATACCTTTTAACTTTAACTGTTAAATTTGACATCATTATACTAGTCATTATATTGAGGTCTTGAGTTTTCAGTAGTACTTTGAATTTAAGTGAAACATTTGTTTTCCTCTGCCATCACGTTGATATCAACAATACATCATTTTACCTGCTGCAATTGCACTTTATTACGACTCCCCTTTAAGTAAGGACAGAAGACATTTAAACTTTTAAACTTTAGCCTGAGCTGCATATATCAAACTGTATATTGCACCTGTATATTTGCACACTTGACTGCTTTTTTTTAATAATTCTTTATTTATCTATCATACTATGCACTGGCAGAGTTAATATTTTGTACTGTTATCTGTGAGTAACAGCTACTTATGCACATGGACCATCCATACCACTTTTTTTTATCCTGGCTATGTATTGTGGGCTCATGTTTTTTTGTATGGGTGGGATATGTGTATATATGTGTTGTGTGTTTGTATGTATGCTGGCTGCTGGAACACCTACATTCCCCTGCTGGGATGAATAAAGTATATCTTATCTTATCTTAACTCACTTATATCCTATATTCATGAAATAGGAAGAATACATACATTCTTTCATGTTAGTTTCCTATTTACGAATCTGACATACAGCATTAAAAAAACCTGTACAAGTAGCACTAATGCACATGTTTAGTGACTTCAATATTCATCCATCAGTGTAAACTTATTGTCATCTGAAGCTTTTCAACATCCTCGTCGATGACATGAAAGTTTCATAACATTGATTTAAAATTATTTTCATGCAATATCATACCAATGTCACTACCAAACGATTTTTGTAAAGAAAAGAACGATTGAAATTTAACAAGCACATCCAGACATACATTTATATCTAAACTGAATAATAAAAAACCCCTGACAACATCATAAAATAAAAAAATGAAAGTTTATGTGTCATCAGACGACAGAGAACAATTACTTTAATACCTGACTTAAGAAGTTGACTTTTCTACTAAAGAAAGTTTGAACATTTATAAATGACAGACATTTAAAAGTCCCCATTGTTATTATATGCAAACTTGTTCAGGAAGTTTTCAGCATGAAAGTGGTGATTTATGTCATGCCCACAGGCCTGCTCCTAACGAAAACTGAGGTGAACAGAGGAGATCCGCACACGAGGTGTTCTCACATCGGAGACTTTTTCCGTCGTTCTAAGAACAGTTAAAGCATCCTGTCCCCGGCTAACACAAAAACAGCAATAGTTGTTAAAAGTATTTTACGAGGGATTTTATTTGCTGCTACTTTAGATTGTGCATCCTTCCAGGATGAAGGGAACATTGAGTGTAAGAGTAATTTTTGTTTTGATAATTTTGGTTGTATCGTCAAACACATAGGCCAATGCAGCCCTGACTAGTGCCATCTTGAAAAAAGACACCTGCCTGTAAATAAATCAAGGAGACAAAAGCGGACTAATTGAAGATGTTTAATTTGTCCTCTTTTATACTCTGTTATGATCATAAAACCCACAACAAACAGTTAGGACTGCACCTCCCTCCGGCTTTTCATTGCTGTTGCCCTACCAAGTGTTGGCTCGCCATCATCAGTTCAGCATTGCTGTTTTCCAAATACAAATGGAAGAAAAGGACTTGAAGGTTTTAAGTTCTTGGTAAGCTCCGATCTTGACAGTTTGTCCTGGGGATTCTACAAAATTGTGTTTTGTGGTAAAAATTGATTGACTTTTTCACTCAGAATGGAAGATCCACCTCATGCTAGAAATTAGGGAAGAAATGAAAATCTCCTGATTTGAAAAGACTGAAGTAACTGACTTTGTCTCAAGAAATGTCAAGCTAGTCGAGGGAACCGGTCTATGGGATGGATGATTCCAACAAAGGAGTGCAAACCTGCTACACACCAGAAAAGCCTTGTTGTGTATAAACATGTCTGAACATACAGGCTATTGACATGTCATCAGTTGGATCCAAAGAAAGCACAGAACTCCAAACAAATCCATTAGTGCTCCTGGTAAAATAACACTTTTCTGCTTCATCTCTGCACCACTGATGTACCCTGTTAGGGAGCCAAAGATAACACATGGTTGTAGCAGATTGTCTTTCTTTTAACATTTTGTTTTAGGGGAGGCAGACAATGTGGTCATGTTATCTCAAAATATTTAAATGGGACTTTAAAAATCTAAAGTTCTGTAATGTGGGTGAACTGACCTTTAGAACTGAGACTCCAAGTTGGGTGCATCTTCTTCATCAGTGGGAAGAAGGAGCACATCATTGGCTTTATACAATCTCTACAAAAGTGCTGATTCGGGGACACTTTTGAGCTTTAGCATGTAACACAATGTAATACAGACACAACTAAACTCAGTTTTAACTGAGTTGAAGTTTAATTTTGCTTGCCTGGTAACTTATTTTTCCCCCAAAGCTGTGGAGTACTTGGCACTGGTCGGTTACATAGATGGTGTAAATCAATAACAGCCCATCTATTTCCCACCCTGAGACTAGACACGCCTGGTTTTACTAGAGGCATCGACTCGGGGAGTCACATAGGCTGATAATAGTCCTGATTGTTTCTCAAAACGTGCTCTGCAAAATCAAACAGCTGTAGCTAGAAGCTCAGCTTTGTCTGTGGGGTGAATTCAAGTCAACAAAACATTCATTCAACAGAGGCTTCACTTAAACATCTTGCATTAGACACATAGTTGCAGTAATTCCAGCTTTTTCTTTCATTATATGTTTTGTTATTATTCTCTTTCACTTTCAGTTACTACATAGTGGTGCTCATATTGCCGAACTAAAGTTTAAAAACCCACGAGCAAAACACAGAAGAGGTATATTTGCGCAACAACAGGCCTGTATTGAAACTGCAAAGCTGGCAGAGTTATGTGAGGTTGTGTTGTTTAAGGCACAGATGTGGAAATGAACCAAAAGAAAAACACAAACAGGAGAATGGGTTGTTATAGAAGAATGTAAGCAGCCAAAATGTTGCCCCTTTTTCTGTAATAACAACAAATAGTATTTGATATCCCTGCAAAATATTTTACAAAAACAATTTGTTGCTTGCATTGACAGTTGACGGTTAGCTTTCTTGCTGTACAACCCTGAGATTTTTGCCCAAGACCTTGATTGTACTTACAACTGAGTATGAGAGCTTTCAGGCCTGCATTATTTTTTGTAGTGCTACTATCAGCCTGTCAGTCCGATTGCACCCCCCCTCAATTCTCTCTGGTGTGACTATTCAAGCATACAGATAAATCGCTTTTTGATCTTGGCGTCCGGCGAGTCTGATAGTCAGTATCTGTCAGTGGGAAGTAGGGTATCAATAACAGAGTGCATTCATTCTCACTGACTCTTCTCTTATAATTATGGTTAATATGAATAGATATCACCAACTGAGACATTTGTTACTTAAACTGACTGATTCAAATCAATTTATGCACAACGTGAACCTCCTCTCTGCGTGCATATTCGCCTCACTTTACAGTCAAATTGAAGAACACTACAGGTTCAAAGTGAGTCTGTAATTAAATGTAAGCTGCAAAATTCTCAGCCTGTTTTAGCTGAAAAGATTTCCAAAGATCTAGATTGGGCCTCATTATGAAGAAAACACTGACTAAAGCTGCACACATTTTTAAAAATAAATATCACATGTATTTTAAGTTTGATGTTATTACCCTGAATGATGTCTGCTCTCAAAGCCTTGTTCACTGTTGTAAGCCAATCAATCATCAACTTTTGCTTTTAAACCAAAGAGGGCAGATAACTAATAATTGACAGGCTCTCTAATCCCACCAGAGACATGGATGGATAATATGCGATAATGCGTTTTCAATGTAAAGCTCGATGTCTTGGCTCAGATTTTTATAAAATATGAAAGGAATACACAAGTTTCTCTTATTCATATTTGTGTTAACTATTGAATGATAGTACCAGTAAAAATAAGTTCAGTTTTCAAGTTTTTGTGCAATTTGTTGCTGAGAATGTTAGCTGCCTTTTAACAGGTGCAGGCTGCTGCTTGATTGTGCAAGTTGCAGTGCCACACACATGCCTCTGTGAGATGTAAAAAGCAAAAGCTTGGGGTTTGCTTGAGGTCTGACATGGCAAAAACTACTTTCTTCCAGATAACCGATGAGCCTATTTGCTAACTGACTCCTCTTTTTTCAAGCACGTGTCCATGGTAATGTTTGACTGATATTAAGGAGAACTCTGGTGCAACTATAAACTGTAGGAGCTCAGGGAAACAGCGGCAGCTTTTGTTCCTAAATTACCAAAGTCAAAGTGGTACATGATTTCATTTTAAATTAGAAAATGTTAATTTGTACATTTTTGGTTAAGTTATGACAATGTATGTTGTGACACTGTCGGAAACAAGTCATCACCAGGAGAAGTAGACTAGTGCTGTAGTGGCAGCTGATTGATTTCTTTATACGGTCCTTATGTTCATGTTCTGTTTCTCTGTTTTCCTGAATGCAGGTATTTGTGGAGTTTGAGAACGCTTCGCAGCGGTGTTCTTGGGTGCAGGTGTATGACGAGGGGGTGAAAGCCGTGCTAGTGGAGGAGTCTATTGTTTGGGCCAGTCGGAGTGATAGCACTGCGACTGCTGGAGCTGCAGCATCAACCACAGCCTGGCCTGCCCTGGTGAGTATTCAGACTGAACTGAGGAGTAAGCAGGACAACATAAAAGTCAAGCCTTGGAAAAACATTAGCAATATGCTCAATGGGAAAGAAGCATCAGCGCATAGACAACCGTAATTTCAAGTTTCAGTTCTGACTTTATTAACAACGTCCGATTAGAAAGGGAGGGAAAGTAGAGGGCGACTAAAATCCCAAATAACAAATGCAAAATGACTCATGTCAGGTTTGCAAAAAATAATTCCCCAAGCTAGATATGTAGCATAAAGATATAAACACAGCCAAACACAATGTAACGTAACGGCTGATGTGACTTTCATCTTCTGTAAATCTGACGGACGCACACGCAATAATAAAAAGTCTGTAAGAAGCATCAGAAAATAAAGTAGTCGGCTTAGTTGACTTCAGACTTTTCTGGGCATGTCTCTGCCATTACTCAGGGGATGTGCTGTTAGCATGCTGCATTCAGGGGTGCTGCCAGACCGAACACGCTTCTGGTGGAATTGGGCTTTATTATGTTCATGGTGTTGTTTTGAACAAAACACGACTGACTTTAAAGATCAAAGCAACAAGTTGTTCAGTGTAGCCTTAAAGGATTTCATTACTCTTTTGAACATTTGAAATCTTGATATTTCAAATGGTAATTATCCTGTTGCTCCTTTCTTCTTAATTTACTGATAAGATGAAAAAAAAAGAAATAATGTTTGTTTTTTTCCCCGCAGGTCTTCCGCTCCCTTGTGGACAGAGTGGGTTTAGGATCGTTGGTAGCTGTTGAGTATTTTGGAAAGAAGACCTTAGAGTTCCTGTCTGATAACAAAACTGTGCAGAGGTTTGAGGTGTGTATGTTTTGAACTTGTGTAATGTGCTAATGCAGTTAGTTTGTACATTAGTAAGTAAATTGGACAGACGCCCCCCCCCCCCCTTTTTTTTAAACAATGGACTATAAGGGATATTTAATAAAATTCTGCATCTCAGAAAACAGCAATAGATCACTTCTATTTCATATGACTATTCATAGAATTCATGGACACTTCATTACTATCATTATTTACAGCTGGTTTGGTTTGTGTCTTTTTGCAGGTTGATAAAGACTTAAGACACCCTTTGTTGTTGGAGCAGCCCTCTCTGCAGGGTACCATCTCCAGCTGGCGCACTGACTTTGAACTGCAGGAGATCTTCAGGAAGGGTAAGACTCCTGAGGCTATACACAATGTTTATGTCAATGCTATGTGTAGTTCCTCAGAATCAACATCAACAAAAAAATACTGGTAAACATAAATGCAGCAGTTTAATTACGTGCACAGAGATCATACACGTCGCCTGCAGGCAGGTGTTCAACCGCATTCTGCACACATGTGGTCACCACCCCCTCCTACTCTATGGAGGTGAATTCTTCTGATTATATCCTGCTGTGTTCTCACATCAGCTCACTCGTCTTTCTGCAGAAAGAATACTAGGGAGTTGGCAGGGGAAACTACAGATAACGTCTGGGTGAAAAATTCAGCTTTTTGCGTTCACCTGGAAATCTTCAGGTGTTTTTCAGGAGTTTTATGCAAGTGTGAAAGCACTGATAGTATCACAGAATATGTAATGGAGGTTCCAAATTGTATCTAAACGTAAACTAATTCCAGAATAACAGTCGGTCAGTTCTGCAGCAGCAGTGTATTACAGTGATACCTTTATAATTTCCTGCCTTTTTTCTTGTTGTATTTTTGCACGACAGTCCCACACAGGATTAATGTCATTAACAGTTTAAACACCTTAAAGTACTATACTAATGCAATTCTTCACACTCATGAAAGACATATAGATACATAATGAAATGTCTGTACGCTGAGAAGAAAAGCTGCACATCTGTCCTGTCTCTATGACAACAGTCGACGTCTTCAGCGCCTTTCTGAGAAGTTGAAAGATTTTCAATAATGAAAAATATCCACAAACGAAAGAAGACTGAACCTTCTCTTTTGTTTGTAGTAATGCTTTTACGCATTAAACAAAACTATTTTAAATTAGATCTAATGTACAAACTGTTTGCTTCCAAAGTGATTCATCTAAAACAGCTTGAAGGTAACTCTGTCCTTTTTTCTGTTTCTGAAGGTTCTTACACTGTTCAAGGGCGCAGGGTTCGGGTGTACCAACCAGAGTTTGAGGAGTGCTGGGCCTCAGGATTGGTCTCTCAGCACGATCCTATCTCACACATCATGGAGATTACACTAGATAAGGTAAATAGTCTTTCCTTCAAAAGGATTATTGGGATGCAAAACTGTAAGAAAGGTTTATATAAACAGAGGCAACGTTGAGAATTGAATATGTGGATGACGATGTACGATGGTGTCAAGCGACCCTTGTAATCAAAATCTTTCTCATGCAGGGAGAAGGAAATCAGATGGTAGACCCTCGTGTAATACACGTCATGCTCACAGAGGAAGAGGTAGGGTTGACATTTTATAAATCATACTATACTTCTAACTGGTTATACACTCCTCTTGTTTGGATACATCCTTTACACTTCTCCCCTTTTATAGCTCGGTAAGAATGGGCGGCGAAGGAGGGACAGTGAAACGATGAAGGGTGATGGTGGGCGTAGACGCAGGACTGCCTCTGAAGGTGAGGATGACTTGAACTTGAAACGCTTCAAAGGAGCGGGAGATGCCGGAGCTGATGGAGAAAACGGTGGTGATTTGAAGAAAACTCCAGCAGAAGGGATGGGGATCTGGGGCGGAGACTTGGGCGACAGAGTCAGCAGCACAACCAAAAACGGAAGCTCTTCAGAAGGAACTTTTCCTCAGGGCAGAGTGTCATCACCCAACACCAATTCCCCACTCCAATGGACCAATCAAACACCACTCCTCCCTGTTTTCCTGCCCACGTCAAAGAAAATGGCCGCTCACTCTCCTCACAAGGGGCAGCAGACTCCACCACTACGTTGACTCACACCCCTACGCCTCCTCCCCTCAAACCAGCCCCCTCTCCCTTCTCTACCACATCTTTCCCTTCCCTAGGCCAGATGCCAAGCCTGGTCCCTGGAGCGCCAGCCCCCAAGGCCTCCCCATCCCCACAGCCAGACAGAGAGGAGGCATCCCAGTCTGCCTTCTCTAAAACAGCTGCTCTTGTTTCCCCGGGGCCTGTCACCATTTCTTGGTCACATGACAGTGGCCCAAGTGTTGCACTTTCTGCTTCTGTGGGTTTAAGTCCTAAAGCCCCTACCTGGGGAAGCCAGACTGAGGTAAGATTATCAGATGAACAGCACCTTTTAAACAATGAAGTGATGTGTTAGCAAGTCATAATAGTTTAGTTCGGATACTTCACCATACTCATCATATTGTTTTGTTTCTTAGGGCTCTAAGGTGGCTCCTGGTTTTCGTTTGCCTCAGTCCACTGCTCCTGTTTTTGGTGAAGTTACCTCTCAGACAAATGGCGCTCCCACCACCACCACCACATCCTCCCAGGACACTCCCAGGCCCTTTGGCTTTGGCTTTAGTGGGGCAAAGAATGAGGCTCAATCCAAGCAAGACCAAAACCTGTTTTTCCAGTGCATGACCCAGAATTCTGGCTCCAGCTCAAGCCTTGCTGCTGGTCAGACCCAGTCTAAGGAAACCAATTACTTCACCGCCGTTTCTGATAGCCTGAGCAAAGAACCTCCAAGCCTTTTCAAGCCTGCAGCCTCCAATGAAGCTCTGAAGAAGCCTGAGCAGACCAAAGTGCCTGAGACCCATACAACGGGAAATGGTGTGCTCAACAAACCCTCATCGGCCTTCCAGGGCATGGTTGGCTCTGCAGCTGGGAGAGGCTCTGGTCTAAGTATTGGAGGACTAGCTGCAGCTGCTGGGGCTCCAAGTACTTCTAAGAAGAGCAGTAATAATGGCACCCCTGTGGGGGGCTTAAGTCTGCAATCTGGTTTTAATACTTCAGATAGCCACCAGAATCTTTTTCTGCAGGCCTCAAAAGAGCCCACAAATCCATTTCTGGCATACGGGGACAAACCCTCCCACACCTCCTTTGCTGGACTCACTTGTGCCGAACCACAGACTCTTGGTCCTGCCTCAGACAGCAAACCAAACCTGTTCACCATGGCAGAGCCACCTAAGGGGATTCTACCTTTCTCAGCACTCTCAGCAGCTGCTTCCCCCAGCTCCTCCTCCTCTCCAGCACCAGCTTCATCCCAGAGGGCACAGACTGAAGGGACTGTGACAAAGGAGGAGCAGGAAGTTGGGGAGATTTCTTCATCCACCTCAGGCTGCCCCATGTTTGGAAGCTCTGGTCCCGGAGCAATGGAGGACCTCCCAGTGTCCTTTGACCAGAGCCAGTCTCAGAAGTTTTCCTTGGAGGAAAGAGGTCAATCATCCAAACGTGACTCTGACTCCAGCAGCAACAGCGACCTGTCAGACCTAAGTGAGAATGAGGAGGGACCAGAGAAGGGCCCAATCCCAGGAGGGCCACCACACCCTGCAAAGGATGCTGCTATGTTGCAGAAAGCGAAAGTGCAAGGTGCTCCAAAGAGTCGTCCACGTAACAAGCCATTTAAAGGTAAGTCTTGTGGACTTTTGAGAACCCCAGAAACTTTTAAACTAAGTGATAGAATTAACTTTGTTTCCTCCTCCAGTGGGCCAGTCTGTACTAAAAGACCAGAGCAAAGTGCGTCGCCTGAAGCAGTCTGGTGAGTCCTTTCTCCAGGATGGCTCCTGCATCAATGTGGCACCTCATCTGCACAAGTGCCGCGAGTGTCGTCTTGAGCGTTACCGAAAATATCGGACTGCAGACGACGATAGCGACGATGAGGATGACCCAAATGTGGCCTGTCGTTTCTTCCACTTCAGAAGGTACACATTTAGATTCTGCCATTGCTCCATGTGTTGTTTTGTGTATTTTAGTATTCATGAGAATAATATGGAACTGAATTCGCCTTTTTGTCCGCCCGTGACCAGGTTGGCTTTCACTCGTAAAGGTGTGCTGCGTGTGGAAGGCTTCCTGAGCCCTCAGCAGAGCGATTCTATGGCCATGGGTCTGTGGCTACCTGCACCAGCTGTCCAAGAGGGTCTGGACCTTGATACGTCCAAATACATCCTGGCCAATGTGGGAGACCAGTTCTGTCAATTGGTTATGTCAGAGAAGGAGGCTATGATGATGGTGGAGCCTCACCGTGAGTCTACATCTTGGCACTGACCTCATCTGAACAGATGTTTTAACCTGTCAGGCGTATCTATAGTGTATATATGATAAGAAAAATTAATCCTTTTTTTTGCACTGTCCTGCAGAGAAAGTGGCCTGGAAACGAGCTGTGCGAGGTGTCAGAGAAATGTGTGATGTGTGTGAGACCACGTTGTTCAACATCCACTGGGTGTGTCGCAAGTGTGGATTCGGAGTTTGTCTGGATTGTTATCGGCTCCGCAGGAACAGACCAAGAGAGGGTGAGTAATAATAAGGAGACCTCAGAGGTCTAAGTGAACAAGGTCTGCCATACACTTTTATTGTTTTTGCTCATTTATTTATTCTATTCTATAATTGTATGTTGATTGACATTGGTTATGTCAAGGGTTGAGTGAAAAAGTTTTTTGTGAGTAATTTTTTTTCTATCAAGGACAAACTATTGACATTTATACTAGATATAGAAAAATCTAACAGGTTTTCACGGCATAGTGACAATTCGTTGAAAAGTCTAAGTTACTGTGACATCATCAAAGTGACACTGACTTATTAAGTGTTTAATTGGTTTGAATTATCTTCCAGAAGTATTAGTAGTATTAGCTGAAGAGAAAGATAGTGTTTTAAAACCATTAAAGCTTCAGCACTAGTTAGTTAATAAAGTTTAGCCCATTAAACATTTATATTTTTTCAGGTTCCACTTCTTATCAGGCTGCTCCACAAACTTGCAGAAATACCAAAATGTGTATAACATGATTCCATATCACCTTTCCCTCAGATGTGGATGAAGGTCCGGAAGATGAGGTTTTCGCTTGGTTAAAGTGTGCCAAAGGCCAGCCTCATGAGCCACAGAACCTCATGCCTACACAGATTATACCTGGGACAGGTAACATGTTCTTTATAACTCAGTCAGTCCTCTGTCCCAATTCACAAGCCTCAGAGACATAATGTGATATATTGGTCTGGCAAGAGCAAATTTGATGTTATTGCCCTTCTCCTGTAGCTCTTTACAACATAGGTGACATGGTGCACTCAGCAAGAGGCAAGTGGGGAATTAAAGCAAATTGTCCTTGTACAAGTCGACACACCAAGCCTTTAGTGCGTCCTAGTGCCCCAAATGGTATTTCACAGGTACTGTCTCTTTCTTTTATTAAACACTTTTGAAAAAGTGTTTAACTTGCAGACTTTAATGTGTGGTGTAACTTTTTCTCCGCAGTCTACAACAAGCAGTGGTAGTATCCTCGCAGCTGCAGCCCCTGGTATTGGCACTACTCCAAAATCAGAGGGAGAAACGTCAGTGATCAAAACAGAAACTACACAAACAGCAGCGCCATCAGACAGTGGGGGAGGAGAAAGTGTTGGAAGTACCAGTAACTCCACCAGCGGTACATCCTCCCCCTGTAACCTCCCCCAGTCCTCTGCCAGGGAGTCACGCTCATCAGGAGAGGGCAACAGCTCTGCCCTGCACTGGCTCGCGGACCTGGCCACACAGAAAGCTAAGGATGATACCAAGGGTACATAGGAAAAATGAAATGCTGCACTGTTATCTGACTGAATTTAAAATGTAAAAAAAACTATTTTAAATGGTATGTTAAAGTTTACATCATGGCTTTCTTTTAATCTTCCTCCAGAATCTGGTTCACTACGCTCCATGATGAGTCGAGACAGCCGGCCTCCGTTTGGCCTGGACTCACTCAGTGCTCTGTCAAAGCCTTCTGCTTCCAGCCCCAAGCTATTTAACAGCCTGTTACTGGGCTCCAGCATGGCCCAGTCCAAACCAGAGGGGTCAAGTCTCCGGGACCTGCTCAACTCCGGACCTGGAAAACTCCCCCAGGGCCCAGGAGAGAGTGGGGTACCATTCCCCTCTGTCTTTACATCAGGAGGTGTAAGTGTGAAGCATTTGCTATTCCTTTTATATATTTTTATTTATATTTATATTCATTCATCAAACTAGTGAACTGAACTTTTCTTCTGCTTTGAGGGTCATATATATGTGTGTGTGTGTGTGTGTGTGTGTGTGTGTGTGTGTGTGTGTGTGTGTGTGTGTATACACACACACACACACACACACACACACACACACACATAAAATTAAGACTACATTTTTTTGGTAACTATAAATCTACTTTCAAGCAGGTAATGTCTATTTGGTATTAAAAAAGGCATTAAAAGCAATCACTGTATCCTAAATTCCAAATATAGTAAGTCAATGTGAACATTTTAAACGGATATTATCATAAAATAAGGCACAACTGAATTTATATCAAATAGCGCAATGAAATGTTATTAACTAGTGTAGTAACAGAAACATTTCAAATTTCTGAGTTGAAATCTACTGAAACCTTCAAAATAGGAGGAGGAAATTACATGAAAGCTGTGTGATATACGTCATAAATGCTGGTTAATAACAAGTAATCTTTGGTCTGTCAGAGCGACAAGCTGAAGAGCAGCCTCCCCAACTTCCTGGATCACATCATCGCCTCGGTTGTGGAGACCAAGAAGGCAGAAGGTCGTCGTACCGGGGCCTCTGAGAGCGGCGAGCTGGGTGTGTTGGGGGGACGCAAAGAGGGTGTTATGGGTCTAAGTGTTTTGGAACCACACACCTCCCACTCCTGGCTCTGTGACGGACGACTCCTCTGCCTTCAGGACCCCAGCAACAGCAACAACTGGAAGATCTTTAGAGAGTGCTGGAAGCAGGGACAAGTAAGAACCTCAGTCTATATAACTCCTGTCTCCTGAGGCAGAAGCCTGACGGCGCAGAGTATGATGGGTTGTTACTGGTGAAACTTTGGATGAAACCTTTTGACTACACCACCTTGTGTTGCTTTGTCATCAGCCTAACATGTTGTCTTTGTGTCCAGCCTGTGTTGGTGTCAGGGATACATAAACGTCTGAAAGTGGATTTGTGGCACCCTGATGCCTTCAGTAAAGAGTTTGGAGACCAGGATGTTGACCTGGTCAACTGTAGAAACTGTGCCATCATTTCTGACGTGAAGGTGCGAGACTTCTGGGACGGTTTCCAGGTCATCTCCAGTGAGTGCTTGAGCTCTTGTTCCTCTATACTTGTTGTTCTGCTTCATTGATTGGTGTGCATGCCATCATGTTATTTAAGCCCTTTTCTTCTCACAGTTGTCAGAAATGGCAGCTAATTAAAGATTTTTTTTCTATGTGAATGCAGAGCGACTACAAGACAGTGAAGGCCAGCCCATGGTGTTAAAATTAAAGGACTGGCCTCCAGGTGAAGACTTTCGGGACATGATGCCTACACGGTGAGGAGCCCTAAAACATGTCACTTCTTGAGTGTCTATTGTCATATATATGTCAATCAATATTGTTAGAGTTTATGGTATATCAACTCGACTCAATGCAACAAAATACAAAATACACTCATGTCTCATTTGTCAAGGTTAGTCCACACTTTTTTAATTGACAATCACAAGTCCCCTGGCACAAATGGAATTTGTTGTTAATAGCATCTAAAACGAACTCTCACAGGCCATAATAGGTCAATTTCCACTTCATTAAATATTTGAGGCTGGTTTCATGATTTGTGCCTCGTTTTAGCAGCTTCATGTGGATACTTAAACACATTTGAGAAAATATGAAGTAACTAACGTGTCTATGTGGTTGCTTTGATTCCAAGCATGTATGTTTTTTAACTAATTATCTCCCTTTTCTTACAATGAAATGTATGAATCGGATGTTTAAATCCTGAATACATTTTTGTCTGCAGTCTTGATTATTTCTTGATACAAGACACATTTGTAAAGCACACTTGTGATCTTCAATGTTTTCTTGTATTTTTCTAAAGGTTTGATGATCTCATGGATAACCTCCCCTTACCCGAGTACACAAAAAGAGACGGTCGTCTTAACCTTGCTGCCCGCCTGCCTAACTTTTTTGTGCGTCCTGATCTTGGACCCAAGATGTATAATGCCTACGGTGAGGATTGGTCACATTTTAATGGAAATGTGTCATCCCCTGTCAGTTTAGCTGGACTTCTCCTGTCTTACTTTTATTTCTTCATCATTCTCCTCGCTCTTTCCTCTTTCCCCCAGGCTTAACCTCGTCTGAAGACAGAAAGGTGGGAACCACAAACCTTCACCTAGATGTCTCTGATGCTGTCAATGTCATGGTCTATGTTGGCATCCCACAAGGAGAGGGAGACCAGGACCAAGGTCAGTGGACTTAAAGACAGACCTTCTCTATAACCGTTTTCACGTATGCACTCCTGAAAATATCTAGATTATTTCCAGACTGCTCCTGGAATTCTCCTGACCTGGTTATTCACATATGCACCTCATGGGAGACTATCACTTTTTGACGGGAGGAGGGGATGTTGGGTCTCCTGAGGCAAGACATTGTAAAACAAACGATGCAGAAGTGCCGGACCAAGCAACAGAGTCCGCTATATGATGCTATAATGAGAATATTTGCCTTCATATCAATGCTGTGTGTAGTTTACTGAATCACAATATCTACAGAAGAGCGGAGAACATACCGTAGAACAGAAAACGTAAGGCAGCTGTTTAATTATGTGCAAAGAGATCGTAGTGGTCTCCGGAAGACCGCAAATATCAGGAGATTTTCAGGAGTTTTCTGCAAGTGTGAAAGCCCCATCACACTCACACATTAACTGAACATTAAATAAAAAAAAAATTAAGGAGTTTATGTTACCTAAAATCAGCTTACTCCTAAATATGCACAATAATTTTATCTTGCCACCATATTTTTATTCACGCTGTTTTAAGACATTGTGATACAGTTTTGCTGGATATGAAAGGAAGAACCCATTTCAACACTGATTGTCACACAATTGCTGTTCCTCTTACTGAACCCTCCCTGATACATTATTGTCATCTATGTCCATGACTTCGTGCTTTTATTGCATCAGTTGATCCAGGCTTTATTGATTTTGGATAGGACCCTGAAAAGACCCTCCAGTGGGTCTCACTCAATTACATTGTGGCAACATTTTTCATTCACAGAGGCAGTTATCTCTGGACGCAAAGGTTTGTAGACTTTCACTTGTATTACTTCAGTAGCATGCCCCTCTTCTTGACTAACTCACCCTTTTCACTGCCCTCTTCATCCTTGTGCTATTATCCATGATGTAGGGACCAGAGCATTGGGACCTATCTGATACCCTACTGTTGCATGTTTGGTATATTTATATATATATATATATATATGAATCCAGACTTTATTAACAACCTCAATGAATATCAGACAACCTTTATATTTCTTTTATCTCTTTGTTTGAAGTTTCTGACTTTATTCTTCTGGAATTATTTTAAGTTTTGGGTTAAATGTGCCTATAAGTCAATGCAGCAAGTTGTATTCTACATATTAACATACAGGTCACACAACATTTCTAATAATTACTGATCTTGGAGTATCTTTAGTTCCTGTTGGGTTTTGGCAACAGTGCTCTGGTCCCTTCACTACAACAGGAAATTTTGAATGAAGGGCATCTAGAACTAGAGTCCCTATTCCCTCACTGGCTTTCTCTCCACAGTGACGCTTTAAACACCAAACATTATGGCCGTTCTTTCCTCATAGTGCTTTTTCCCCTTATTCTTAGGACCATGGCAGTTTACATGCACATCAAAATGAGCCCATATGAAATGACTTATCTTTATGTGATGTCTATGAAGTGACCTGATAATCATGTTTGTGCCAACAAACACAAACACACATTAGCTAAATGCATACAAATGATTGAATACTGACTGTGAGGGGTAAAAGGAAGACTGATTCTGCACACCAGAAACTGCTCCAATTCACATTTATCACCCCATGTGACGTTTCATGCCCGAGCCCATCATCAGCTCTTCATCAGACATGGTGAAGGGCTAGGGCCTGAAACATTACAAATAAATTATAACTCAATTTCATCAAATGTGAATTGGAGCATCTTCTGGAGTGCGGACTCGGTCTTCTCTAAGCCTTTTTACTTTTTTGTCCAGTACACAACGATTCGTATGTGCGTCCAGTTTAGTATTATTTTTTTAATAATTACTGAGGGGTAACACTTCTTTGCTAACATAAATAATAGGCTGGTATTTTTTAAGACCGTAGTGTTAGTTACTCTGAACAATTAACCATAGGTGGTGGTGGATGTGAACATTGTGTGGGGAAATGTGATTGTGTAGACTGTAACTTGCCTTTGTGGTTCTCAACTGGTCCTACTGCAAGGATCCATATCAATATCAAATCAATACCTTCAGTGGTTTACAAGGATTTCATGCATTAGAAACACAAGACCTTTTAGAAATGTTTTATGTTTTAAATAAAACACCAAGCTGTGTTGTGTAAAATAAAAATCACTGTTAAGAATAATATGAACACGATGGACTGCTGCTTCGATGTTTGTTTTCTAACGGACACATGATTAAGCTGCTAACAATATTTTGAAAGAAGCTTTTGAAAATCAGTGCACTTAAGACTAAAGCTGTTGTGGCCCACAGCCCTGCAGTCCACACAAAATGGACCTCTGACCCGCTACTGGGTTATGAGCCACCAGTTGAGAATTATACACCTGCACAATATTTGTCAGTCTGACAATGTACATTAACCGAGTTGTTGTCGTGAAGGGTCTAGTCATTTCTTGATGTTACCAGTTGTGAAAATTGTATGAAGTAGTAATGTGTGGACAAAAAGAATCACAATGTAAAAATCTGGTCTCAAAAGAAACGCTGCTGATGACCCACTGGTACTCTGTATGTGTGTGCTTTGTTGTTTTGTTTGATCCTCCAGAGGTCATGACCACCATAGAGGAAGGTGATGTGGACGAAATGACAAAGAGGAGGGTGTTTGAGGGACAGGAGAAACCTGGAGCTCTTTGGCACATCTATGCCGCCAAGGACGCTGAAAAGATCAGAGAACTTCTCCGCAAGGTCAGCAGCCGTTATTAGTCATCCGTCTGAAGTAGCGCCTGATCTCTGGAGCTGTGATATCATTGGCGGTACTTGTAAGACGTTGTAACCTCAGATCTCTCTCTTTTGTCAGGTGGGAGAGGAGCAAGGTCAAGAGAACCCTCCAGATCACGACCCCATTCACGACCAGAGCTGGTACTTGGACCAGGCGCTCCGCCGCAGGCTGTATGAAGAATATGGCGTCCAGGGTTGGGCAATTGTACAGTTCTTAGGAGATGCTGTTTTTATCCCTGCTGGAGCTCCACACCAGGTCAGACATTTCCTGCGGTTTTGTCAGATGTCAATAACATCCCTGATACATTTCTCGCAATTCAGTTTCCATATTTGTCTGTTTTCGTTGTTGTTGTTTCATCAACGTGTTTATTCTCCCTCAGGTGCACAACCTGTACAGCTGTATCAAGGTTGCAGAGGACTTTGTGTCTCCCGAGCATGTCAGGCATTGTTTCAGACTGACCCAGGAGTTCAGGCACCTCTCCACTACTCATACAAACCATGAAGACAAGCTTCAGGTTCTTATGCTTTACCTTATTGGGTTTCAGTAATACATTTCAGTGCCTTCAACTTAAGGAGGATATTTGTTTAGTGTTATTTCTAATCCACACATTGATCATCTGTATTCATATTAATAACCTGGAAAAGAAATGCACAAAGTTCAAACTAAGCACAGATGAACACTTCATATCTTGTATTACACATATACACATAACTTGTGTCGTAAAGCAGCAATATATTCTGTTTACATATTTGTTGACAATATTATGTCCTAACATATCTATTACTACTAGTACTTCACATTGTTTATCAAAAGTTACAGTTACTGAAACACGCACTGACATCTGACATTAAATGACCTTATACTCTTATATTTGTTTTGGTATTATAGCTTATTTTATGACAACATGGTTCATACACACACATTTCAAACCATTTGCAACCAGTTGATCGTTTGACATTGTGTATATTGTTTAAAAGACTTTCTTGTATTTTTCTCCTCAGGTGAAGAACATCATCTATCATGCAGTGAAGGACGCTGTTGGGACTCTGAAGGCTCATGAACCTAAACTGGCCCGCCCTTAGTTCCTTTCACTTAACGTCCCAAAACAATCAGCCTCTTACAACCAGGCTGCTACACACACAACACAGTGTGCATTACATAACCACACACATGTATACATGCTGCAGAATGCAGAGTACAAAGATAATGAGTAGATTTTGGGGGGCAGTAACAGTCTGGGGTTTCGGTAATGAGGAGATTGGATTTTGGGAGGGATTGGATGGTTAGGGGCTGTCAGCCCATTGATGAAGGAAGTCCTTTATCACTGTTACACAGTATGTTCAAACTTGTCTAGTTTTCCAATTTTTATTTTTTAACTCTGTATTTAAGGTCAGTGTGTTTGTTCAGTTGTTTTCATTGTATAAGTAATATGTGAGAGTAAGGGAGGTAAAAGCTGACGTGCCTTTGGAGCAGAGGTTCAGCTTCCATATAAGTTGACTGACATAATGTGAGTACCTGGCTAACTTTCCTATTTTGATGACGCTGTTATTATTTTTTCTTTAATAGGAGCAAGGTTAACCTGTTTTTTGTAGATTTTCTTTTTTGTTGTCAGAGTTTTTAAACGAAGCTGATTGCTTCAGCCCTCTGTGGCTGTAATGGATTTGCGAAGCAGCCAGTGAGGGGAAGCAGACCAAAGTTTTGTAATTTTTTTTTTCTTATTTCGCTCTTAAAGTAAGAAGTCTTTTGTTTTTATACAGCATAAGGTAAAGATCGGGAGGACTTCAGAGAGGGTAGTTTTTGTTTTGTTTTTCACCTATCTTTGTCCTATGGGCTGAATGACCTGCAGACTTCCAACAACATTTGTTCAAGAATCACAATAGCAGCTGAACAGAACTACTGGCCATTAACATTGTATCAATATCTATATATATTGATCTTAGCAGTCTGTTTGATTTTTCACAATAAAGTTTACAAAACTACTTTTTGTTCAATGGTTTATTTGGCCCTCAAAGGATTTATGTGTAAACCACCAGCTTTCACACTGACTTATATCTTAAGGATAGAGAGCAGTGCAGTTCTAGGCTGAGTGCTGGGGTCCTCCTGCGTACTTCATCACAGCAAAAGGTGAAAAAGAGAGGAGAGACGGAGGAGGAGAAAGAAGCACTCTTCCTTGTCCTCATCAACTTGTGTTCCTGGTAGCATGAACCCTGGAGCTCCGACTTATGGTCATGAAGCTTTATTCATTGTATTTAGTCAAAAGAGAAGGATAGGAATTTAACATTATTAGCAAATATCTGGAACTGTCTCCTTGTAAATTCTTTAAGCATTCACTAGAAGTTGCCAGACAAACACATTTCTGTTGACTCACAAATATATTGTTTCCCTACCACTCTGAATGTTTGTCATCTAAATATAATACCTTTATAGTGTTTAGTATTGGTTGTTTGTTTTTATATCATATTAAATTGGACTAGGATTAAAGTTTGCACATTCTGATGTCACATTTATTTCTAAATTTAATTTCTTTCACTGAGTTGCATATAAAGGTCTTAAAATGTGAACAGAATTAAACAGGAGTTGTAAACCTATTAGTTTTGTTTCCAATGTTTCAACTCTACAGTGCTCCATATCATGCGTTTCACTGATTTATCTATCCTTTGTGCCCTAGGTTTCAATGCTAATGTCTGAATTAGAAAATAGATCACATAAATGGGGCAAGGAAGGCTGTACATATTAATCTAGAAGGAGGGTAAAGGTTTACTGATGTTTTTTCATGGGGTTTATCAATACAGAATGATTAAATGAGTGGATATTATCAATAAAAAGTCAGGGCATTCATCCTCCCCTCATTTTTAGGATACCAGCAGTCTGGTAGTTTATAAATATTTGTGGGGAAAAAGACAATTGAGTTTCACGTTAATGCTCTAGTGTTCAGATAAGAAAATTCACAAACCATATATCTTTTCTTGGTTAATTGTTAAAAATAAAAACACTAAATTGTATGGGCCAATGATATCAACTCAAATAGATCATGGCTCCATTAAATTCCTTTGTAATAATTGTATCTTGCATTTTTTATTACACCCCATAAGGTATAATCATATCAAAACATGGATACAATTCAAAATAGAGATTAAACCTTTTATCGTTGCTACTTTCCTCGCACATCTTCAAGTTAAAGTCAATGTAACCCAATCCCTTTTCTGATTAACAAAAATTATCTCTATGGTTTTCTTTCCAATCATTGACACTTAATATTAGAATTCAAGATTCAAGATTTTTATTTGTCACATGCTCATACAGATGTGCAGTGAAATGTGGAAGGACTGTTCCTCAAGGCCATGCAATAAACACTCAAATTACTAATACACATATATACAGTAAAATAGAATATAATGTAAAAAAAATATATATATATATTTGAATGTACAAAATATAAAATATAGAGTAATGTAAGGTTCAGTCATGTCTGTTAACTTTCTGGAAGAGCACACTTTTTGCTCAGTGAAATTGACACATTTAAAAGGTGCTCTGGCCCTTTAAGAGCTAGTCGTTGCTACAGTGATGTAAAGTAGAGCAGCTTGGATCCAGACTGCAGCACATCCTCTGCTGCCGCTGCTTATACCCACCTGACGGCGCCGCGGAACGGGCAAGCAACACCGGGCCAGTAACCAGGTTCAATTCTTAACGAACCGCGGCGTCCTCGAGGGGAATGGGGGGGCATCTAGCCCGCCAGTTATCTGACTAGTTTTCCTAGAATTGGAGAGGGCTGACAGCCGGTGGTCCGTAAAGATGGTATCCTGGATGATTTCGAGGATAGTAGTGTGAGTATGGGGCTGGGCTGTTAGCAACATCACCGACTCCTCCATTCATCAGCTGCCTGATGCTAAACGCTAGCTAGGTTTCTAAGATGCGCTTCTCTTTTTCTGTTTCTTTCTAGTTACAATGCACGAATGTCGAAAAATACTCCTGCTTAATGGTTGTTTAGGCACTGAACTAAACAAGTGTCAGTCCCCTCTTTCTGCTTCTTCAATTAAGACCATGATGCAGTACAATCTGCGTCCAGCGCTCACTAGCCTCTGGTAGCTAAGTGTCTTCATCTGGCAGATAATGTGTTGGCAGGGAAACGAGCCGGCCCCTGTATTAAACTACAATCTGTTTAATATCCAAGCCCCGCTGCAGACAAGTGAGAAGACGGAAAATGCCTGCCATGGCTTCTTTAAGACGGCACAACCTGAGTATTTGTGTTCTGACAGCTCAGCATCTCGGTAACATATGGTACCATGAGTTGGTAAAATGTAGTGGTGTGGCTCAGCTCAGCAGGCCAGTCAGGGATGTTGCTCTGCACATCCATGCATCCATGCATCCATCCATCCATCCAGGGCTACCCTATATCGAGATCATTGTGGAGGAAGTATATTTTCAACATAACTGAACAGATGTTTAAGTATATTATATGTGTATATATATATTTGTCCTGTGGTCAGAATAGCAGTATCAGTAGTCTAGGCCTGGGTTTCCACCACTTCCCAACTGTGTGGATGACTCAACTAAAGCCTGCTGTCATAATTCAGATCCCATATGCAGATACTTTTATAATGCTGCTACTGATGTATTGGAGCACTAGGTGCACCTGTCTGACAACAATCCTGTCAATTTCATGGTGGTTTTACTAAGCTATACTCACACTTGGAAGTGACAGCCGTGGTTAAAACTGTAATATTATCTTTAAAAAACCCAGGTGTACAGTTGTTACTGATGTTCCTTCCCATAAATACACTTTTTGACTACTTGATTACAAAATAAGAGGATAACATTGACAAACAGATACTTTTAGTGGCTTCCAGTTGGCTCTTCTACTTCACTGCACCTCAGGTGGTCATGTGTCGATGTGAGGCAAACATGTGACTTGATGTAGATAATAATTGCCTCAGCATATCTAACACAAGATTCATTCTTTGTCATCTTTATTCTGTGCTTTAAACATGCAGCTGCCTCAAAGTCTGATTTTTTTTTTCTTTCTACATTAACATTTGTAAGTGGAACAGAGTTTTAAGACAGGTGGATATAATCTGATGTTTTAATCACAGTCAGAGTTTCGAAAAACTCAGAAGTAGATCTGAGATGTGCACAATAAGAGGCACGGGGCGTCTGCTGAAAGAGTCTAATGGCCTGGAGGCCTGCTTAGAGTCGCCTCAATTTACTGTACAAAGCTGAGACGTGCTGCCCACATGACTGAGCACCTCAGATACTTACTGGGACAGAAGACCTACGTAAGTGCCTTCAGAAAACAAGATATACGCAGACTACCAACATCTGGGAGAACATAGCCTCCACAGGAAGTTTAAGTTGGAGGTGAAATATTCAAAGCTATGATCAAACATACAGACAAACTAGTGATTTTGTGACCTGTGTATTCTCTCTAATGTCCACTCACTCAGAATTTGACAACCTGTCACATCATCACAAATCACCACGGTGGCATGGGATGCGACCAAAATGCACATCAAAAACGCAGCTCTGTGTTCACAGTGTCCCGATTTGCACGTGGACTGACACATGGTGACCCACCCCTAGGAGACTTCTGTGTGTTTTTCCACTTGAACTCACTGTAGCTTTCCTGAATCCATTAACTGTCCTTATGCATCAAGCCATTGTATTTTAAAAGATACTTCTAGTCAACGCTCAAATCTAATATTACCACTCGTATCAAACTGCATAAGGAACACAGTTCTAACATGTTTACATAATCTTAGAGATAGCATGGCTAACCTGCTTTTAAAAGCAGTCTGAGATTTATTAGGTGTCAGACCTAGCACCCAGAGGCCATGTTCCCAAACTGAAGCTCCCTTTTCTGACCCGGGTTTCTTTGCTCCTCTGCTTTTTCCAGCCTTGCCTTTGGGACACTGTATCCAGCCTACTCCTCATACAAGGCTGTCAAAACGAAGAATGTGAAGGAATATGTGAGTTATCACCTCCAGTTATTTAATCACAGCAGAGCGTTTTTGACTTTTGGGTTGTTTGTTTGTCCCCAGGATGCGTTTTGCTATTTTGGTTCTTATGTTTTGAATGCATATTGTAATCAGTGACGTAATACAAAGCTCACAGATGGAATCAAGGCTGGGCATGCTCTAAACGGTTCGAGTCATTCCACCGTATACTTTTTAAATTAATTAGCACATATAACCTGGAATGTTTTATAACTTTGACTATTGCTTTAAATACGCCGATGACTGATTACAAAAATCTTGAGTTTATTTTTTAATAACAATAACTGTCAAACATTATCAAAAGCAATGAATAGAAGGTCTGACCTTCATCTCACATGGTCACTGGGGCCCCAACTTGAGTCAAAAACAAAGCAATACCTCCACGTGTCTATCCTTATCTCAATTGTTTCCTTGTTCTACTTAGAAAAGAGAACTTTCTGTTAACATAAAATGGGTACTAAAAATATTTCCATGTAAATAAATAAAAATTCAGGAAGTGTTTAGGTATTCTTTCATCAGTTTGAGCAGATTATTTTCATCCCACATATGCAAAGACTTCATGAATGTGCATGCTACTCATAATGGTTACATAACAGTCTGCTGGCCTGCAGGTTGTGAATACCCGTCTGAATCATATAGTGCAGTTGTTCAAACCTAGGGGTTGAAAAATAAATGTAAATGTTCACAAGAAGGTTAATTTGAGACGAGATAATCTTTTCAATATCATCACTTTATTCATACTTTTAGATTGCCATAGAAAATGTATTGCTTTATGAGGTTATATCCAATAAGGTAAGAAGCCACTCTTCTTGTTGGCACCTACAGCATTGAAATTAACACAACCAAATCCCTTGATGTAAACTATTGTTTGCTTAAAGATGCACTTCTTAAATTTCTCATGATGTCCAAAAACAGAGACAAATCCTTAAACCCTCAGTTTACCATTAGTATGTATGACCCAACACAGTCCATGCTCGAGTATCAAACATTAACATTGAGCTGGGAGACAAAAGTTTGAGATTTGAGATTTTGTACAAAAAAAGTCAGAAAGTATCGAAGCTACACAAAGACGTGGTAATGTTGAGTTTGAGTGTTGTGACTGGAAACGAGCATAGAAAGCAGAACAGTCCTGTTCTTGGCTGAGTGTCAGGGTCCTCATTGCTTACCTCATCACTGCAAGAAGGGATGAAAAAGAGAGAGGGGGTCCAGGAGGTGGAGGAGCACTCTGGCCCTCCGCCTAGATTTGCACTGTAGAACAGCCGCCTCCTGGCTGGTTACCATGGAAACCCCCCTCCTCTCTCAATTTGTTGCAAAAGCAGAGGGCTACAGAAGGAGCGAACAAGGAAAGGAGGAAGGGCGGGGGGGGGAGCGACTGAGGACGCCATTTTTAAAACTGATGTTTTCATTCCCTCTTTCCTCTTGCTTCTAATGAGTTCAATGATTGAGCATTATGTTTATGCTTGGACTTGTAAGTGGATATAAATGCATGAATACGATTAACTTTTTGAAATTAGTCAAATTTGATGTGAAATATATTTGCTTTTAAGAGGATGCATTAACACAAAATGAATAGGTGCTGCTTTCTTACGATTTCCTATTCACAGCTTTCATTTATTTAGACAGAGCCATACATTTCCTTTGTCTCCTTAAGAGTACTCATCCATACTGATGTGATCTGACAGCACTGAAACATATGCTGCATTTCTGCACGTCTGTTTGGCTCCACGTGTCGCTGCACGTGCATACTGGATGCCGTTTGTCTTTACATGTGCTATATTTGTCATGTTTTCTCTCCTCACCTCTTGTGTATTCATGTCTGTGTGTGTGTCCAGGTGAAGTGGATGATGTACTGGATAGTGTTCGCGTTGTTCACTACAGCAGAGACGGCCACAGACCTGCTCCTTTCGTGGTGAGTCAGGAGCTCATGATTGTGACCCTTAACTAGCTAGTGATAGATTAACTGATTATATTATATCAAAAGAAGCATTCATGCATATCTAGTGTGAAGTATTCTTGATATTTTTAGTATAACATGCAACATTAAAATGTCCTTTATTCACTTTAGCAGCAAAATTTATAACCCACAGATCGTTCTGTCTTTTTGTATGTCAGATCAGCATTTAGCCTCTCTAATGATGTGTTTCTCTTTATAATTCGGGGGTCTATAACTTCCTCAAAGCCTTTTTTTCCCCCCTGCAGGTTTCCATTTTACTTTGAGCTAAAGATTGCCTTTGTGATCTGGCTCCTGTCGCCATACACGAAGGGCTCCAGTGTCCTCTACCGCAAGTTTGTTCACCCTACCCTGTCCAACAAAGAGAAGGTTCCAACATGACCTTTTTAAGACATTTTATTCATTTATAAATGTAAACTGGTTTGAATGTCCATGTTGAAATGTTCAGATGTTGTACCCCTCTTTTTCTTTATCTGGTTTGCTGAACTTGTTGTCTTTCACTCTTCCCCTTCAACTGTGTACCTGTGCCATAGGAAATAGATGAGTACATCGCTCAGGCCAAAGATAGGAGTTATGAGACTATGATGAGGTTTGGAAAGAGGGGTCTCAACCTCGCTGCTACCGCTGCTGTCACTGCAGCCACCAAGGTGAACACTGCATTATTTTTAAACAACAGACAAATTGTATAAATTCATGTTTTCAGGGTGTTTGACATGGACAAGAACGATAACAGAACTTGGAAAGAAAACCGGTACCTCCTTTTAAAGTGACTGCATTGTGCCCATCTTCGCACTTGTATTTTAACTTTCACTGCTTACTAAGCAGTTTATCTAAAAACGAAAATATAACAATAGAGTTGAATTTTAGTATCGTGATTATTTTTCATTTACGTAAAAAAACATGAGGGGAAAAAAATGCCTAACCAGAGGTAAGTTCTTCAAATGGATGAAATCCAGAGGGATGTTAAATGTAACGCTTAGGGACTTAATTTACGAACCATTCCAGCTCCAAATGATACAATCAGGAGGATTTTATTTCAAGTTTTGGAATAATCTAAAGTTGGCAGTGACATAAAATAGACATTTATATTTAGAACATTGGCTGCTTAATATAATGGCCAAGAATGTTTGTCCCATCTTGGCAGCCTTGCGTGGATAAACTTTTACACTGCACTTATTTTTCACTAAACATAAACTCTAAGTTATTAGTGATGTAGCGGTAGATAAACAATTTACTCATGTTGTTACTTCTCTGATTTAACTTGTTCCCTTTTTTTCCGGTGATTCCCAGGGGCAAGGTGTATTGTCAGACAAGCTGCGGAGTTTCAGCATGCAGGACCTGACGCTCATCAACACTGACGATGACCTGGTTCTGCACAGGTCAGAGTCCCGCACGAGACGGGACACCATGGATGAGATGAGCTCAGGGGCCAGCACGCTGCCCCGAGCCAAGAGCACTGCTGCACGGCAAAGTAAGCCTACACAACATGGACAATGTACACTGCTTCATTAGCAGCTTCAAATGCAAGAAAGCATTAATACATCCATAATCTGAGTCCGGATTGGTGATTAGGCTGCATTTTCCACAGAGGACTTCTTTGATTTATTAGCAGGATTAGGCATAATTGGGCCAAGTAGTGTCATGTGATTTAAGGCACTGAAGGATGGCAGGGAAGGGGGGAGATGCAACATGCTGTTGAAAGCATGTGATCCAAGTGGGAGGAGAGGCTTTGTGTCTTGCTACACTGCCGGCTGGCTGGCTGTGTGGGCCAGTGAGCTGTGAACTGAGACATAGAATCAGTGGAACTTCATGTATCACAGCTTCTTAATCTGACGATGTTGAGCCATTACCTTGATCTGCTGCTTTCTGGTTGTTTGTTTGTTAACCAATGAGAAAATAATTTAAAAGATACACCATGAAGTGTAAGTAGGGTGTTGCTTTTCTTTCAATTGCTTTTTAGGAGTGAAAGGGATCACACTGATCCGCCTTTCAGGTTTTGCATACAATATTGCGTATTGCACTTAATACAGCCTGTTATAGCCTGCTGTAACGATATTAGTCAATCCAAAAACTGAAGATATAGTCCCTAAACTCACGCGCCCCACTTGACCCACACGCTGCAGTGCAGCAGGTAAACAGACACACAGACATTCACTAAAGTTGTTCCTTCTCAGATTGTAAAGCACTTTCTAAATAAGAGAGTTTGAACTGCCTCTCTTAATATAATTGTAATATAATAGACTATATTAAAAATTATTATTTGATACAATAGTTGTATTTTAAATGCCTTTTCTTTTTGGTCGATCGGAAAAGACGATCCAATCCGTGATCCACAATTCACCACTACTGCTGTAAAAGATTCCTTGATTATGAACACCCCTTTTGTGTCACTCCAGAATGCACGTATACATGTATCATCAATGTCTTTCACCAACTGAAGAATATGAACCTCTAGGCATGAGACAATAAGCAGGATGACACTCTCACTTGGGGAAAAAAAACTGCTGCAGAATGTGACTTAAATCACACAGTAGACCAGTTAGCCTGTAAAGTTTCACCTGCACCACTGTAATATGTGTAATATATTTGTGTAAAAATGTCAACCTCAAGAGGTAAAACTCATATTTTACTAGTTAATACAATTTTAAAAAAGTCTTTGAAATATACATTTTTTCAGGTGTTTTTTTTTTATTTTTTAGATAGCTTCATATTTTTTATTCCGTGACACCCCCCTCACATTCATCTTGTGACCAACTTCACCAACAAAGTTAGAAACCACAGCTGTGTATTCTGTGAGTTCTTATTAGGGACTTCCCAAACAAGTGAAAGCTTGACTGTTTCATTTTAAGTGTCCCTTTAGGGGTCTGGGTTGCTTTCATCAGCAGTGACAAACATATTTTAATTCATTTAGAACATCTCTATTCGGATCCTGTAAGAAGAGACCACTATTTAGAATGACCTACTCGTTATATTACAAACTCTAAACTGCAAAAGTGGTAAAGAAAAAGTGCAATTTTGAATGAGGTCATGGGTAATAAAGGAGGCTATGACCGCAGTGACGTCCCATAAGCCCTGGCTAGAAGTCCACATTGCATCAATTGCACTTTAATTAGATGTAACAATGTCTAAATGTATTTCCCCTGACAAATAAATAGAGTTCTGAGGGGACCAGCTCATCAGCTGTTTTACCTGCTCTGAGTATGAAACTTGAGTGACTCTCTCATTTAGTCACCACTGATTTTTGTCTCATCCTGCAGCTCGCTCATTGGCGCATGCTGACGATGCGTCGTCCCAACACAGCTCTGACCAATCAGACACAAGGACTGAACACTCTGATGAAGATGTAGGAGAAAAACCCCCAAACGCAGCACCACCATCAAAGCAACCAAGAAACCTGCAGCTGCAAAGACAGAGGTAGGGGTCAGTGAACTCAGAGAGACACACACGCACACATAGACACACTAGAAGACGAGCCAAGAGTAAGGTTGATTCATTTTTTGGTTTAGTGATGTGTACAGATTAAAGAGTGTGAAAAAAAAGTTGCTTGATTTTATGGTTTCTATGAATGGTCAAACTTATTATCAATGGTGTCGATTATTTAGTAAGAAAGTTAGTTTACGTCACATTAACAGACGGTTTGATGTTACTTTTGTTCTTTTAGAGGTGGGTCTGTTTCGGTATGTTCTTGTGCTCCCAAGAGCAAATGAATGATTTTAAAGTCATAAACTGTGAAACCTATAAAATGGTGAGATTTTGGTTCACTATTAGAGATGTGTTTTCTAAAAGAATAAATCACTACAATGACTAGTCAGTTTAACTGACTTTTAAATGTTGTTTGCTATTAAATCTTTTTTTCTGAAGGAGTACACTATACAATTTCAATTTTCAGCCCACTTTTGACATGATTTTAGAATTGTATGATAAATTTTGAAGTTGTGGTGATCGCTCAACAGAAGTCGTGCAATGTGCAGGGGGGCCCGATGGGCGATCAAAGCCTGATTGGCTGCTCCCGACAGGTGTGATGACTTTCTGCCATGTTTGCATTTTTTTGTGAGTCGTAAAAACAATTCAGTCGGACAGTGTAAACTGGCATTCCGCAGCTATTTTGTTCAATTGTACAATGTTTGCCGGGCTTAAGCTGTAACTCAGACGCCTGCAACTAGCCCAGCTGAAGCTTTGGTTAGTGGGACTGCTGTCCCCGCCTTACTGCCCAGATGTAAACCGGCACAGTAGAGACATGGCGTCTCAAAGGAGCAGTGATGTTGACGTTATTCTGTATTAGAAAATAGAGAGAAAGTTGTTTGTGGGCTGTGTCAGTTTACTGACAATAACATATTCTGCAGAGAAACAGAGAGTTTCTCTTGTTTTAAATGTCCCTCCCAGAGGTGACAGTGGTTCAACCCTGCCTTTTTAATGATGTCCTAGTTATTCTGTTGTTTTTTTAAGGTTAACAGAGTTTTTTGAACTGAATATGCCAACTTTTAGTCCAGAGTGTGAATTCTTAAATAGACTTTCCCTGTATGTTACTTGACCATATTTTTCAAAGTTCATAGTGAGGGTTTTATGACTGATATTGTAGTGTAGAGCTGTAATGGTCCCATCACTCTTTGGTCCACAAATAATCACTTTGGCTTTCTTTGAGCCCAAAATGACAGAAAAACTGCTGGATGGATTTTGTGAGTGAGCAAATGCACAGAAATAGTGTATGGTGTTTTTTTTTTTTTTTTCCAAGGGCTAGACTGGAAAAGTAAAAAAAGAGTAAACTGACCTGTTTGTCTGAAATTGGTGGAATAGCCCTTTAAAAATATCATTTCTCAAAAAATTCAGTTTAACCTCTGACTTTAGGCAAACCTCGCTGGACTTGCTCACAGTTTTTAACAATCACGTCTTGTCTTTCTTTTCTCTTTTTCCTCCTACTTCCACCCCTTTCTCTTTTCCTCCTCCCTCCTGTCCCCCTCTCTCCCGCCTCTGCAAGACTCAGACCAAGACAGTGAAGAAGACAACGACAAAGAAAAAAACTACAACTACTAATGCGGAGACGCCACCATGAGGCCTGCTGTCCACATCCACCTGCCTAAACTTGCACCACCCACAGCCTGCAGGCCCCTCTCCCCCTGTTTGGCCACCACACAAACACATACCCACTGTACTTAACAATAGAGCAAGCACTAAGATTGTGTCCCTCATGTTGGCTTAAAATCTGGCAATGTGCAGGTTTGTTTTAAGCAGTATGTGGCCACCTCAAAGTTAAGAACAGGTCTTCAACATTGATTAACTTCATTTTAATCATATTTTATGTATAAACTGTTGGGATGTTTCTTTCTATTTAACCAAATGGTGGTTAGCGATATATCCTTATAAAATCTCTTTTTTCCTTTAACCCCTTGACGTATATAGATCCTCTTAGTACACGCCAAGAGTCTAAAGCTGTTTTGAATTGAAGTTTCTCTAGTCAAATATATTCTTCATTCCTTTTTTTCTAAATTGGAGGCCCCCCTGTTTTCTCTGGCATACTCTTCTATAGCTTCCAGTTGAAATCTAGACGTCCTCCCTCCCTGTGTGAGCAGGCGACACCTGTTGGTCCTTATGTGGACCTGACAGGGATGCTGGAGGCACAGGTCAGAAGTTGTCATCCCTGGAGCACAGACATTTTTTTTTTTCTGTGAAGTGTGATCACCTTTTAGATTTTTTTTTCCCTCCACCATATCTGAATAACTATATTACAGGATGCCATTTGATCAACCCTGTTTCAGTTCTCTATTTACTTTCCGTTGGCCTTTTTGATTGAAACATAGGCCTCAGAGCTCGTCCTTTAGTAAGAGTTTAGCCCCACCCCTTTTTATTTTTGCACTATTAAGAGTGAGTCTGGCTCTGCTAAGTTCAGGTCTCTCACACAGTTAGTTGTTTACAGTGCTGGTTTGTTTATTGTTGGCTTTGTTATCCTTCATATAAACACAACTCGAGTTTTATCCATCTATTGTTTTTTCTTTATTAAGCTTCTATTTTAATGAGTTCTTTCGGTCATGTGATATTAGTAATAATAACTGCTATCAGCCTCTTAAGATAACGCTGTAACTGAGTGTTAGCGCTCCCTCCTTGAACATAGAGTAGTCCTAAGAGTTGCAGTTGTTTGTGAGGTATCATATCTGCTTTTCTATCATTTGTGATGTCTGTATATTGTTTGTGTTGAACATTAGAAAGTGAGGGAGCACATCTGCACCCTCTCACTCCTTAAATGCAGCTGTGTAGTTACACATCATAATATGTCTTCATCTTAGAAGCCAGGATAAAGCAAAGCAATATGGAAAAGATGAAATCAAAACCAACATCAGGAGACCGTGATGTCCTTGCTGTTATTTCAGAAGGTTAGGGGGTGTCAGACCCGGCTGTGGTGGGTGTCAGATCACTCTGAACTTTTGTTCTGGGAGGGGCTCTTCTGGTCACTCTGGACCTGGTACCGTCTGAGTGCGTCGTAATGTCAGATTTGAAAGCATGACTGTACTTCTGTCTGCAGTGTTACACTAGGGTTAACCAATAGGGGGAGACAAAGCCCATCCCAAATGTTGGCAGAGCGATGAAACAATATGTAAACACTCTGTAAATAGTAACCTTAATATATGTATATACATTATGAGCTTGCTTGCCTTATAGATCCTCTGGGCTTCAATCCATTTAATGTTTGAATCATCTCTGTGCTTTTTAAAATTAAAAATAGTTTTGACAAATCACTTGTGCAGAAAGCAGAAGAAGCTCAAATTTCACCTGTGCCGACTGCTGGTGATAGAAATGATTTTGTGCTTTTTTTTTTTTCCTGTCTTTTTCTTGTGAAGCCATTTTAACTCCATGACCAAGTAAAGAATCTCCAGACTCAGTCTGATCTGGTTGAAGTATATTCACACATTATTTTTATGAACTCCGCTCAGATAAGATGTCAAGTTAAAATATGTAAGGGCAAAAAGTTGAAGATTGGATTCGTTTTTTGTTTTTTCCCCTCTTGATTAAATGAACACTGAATTAAAACAACTCAGCACATCATTAAAAACATGTTTTGTCCTGACATGATACGACCCTGAAATTGTATCTTTTCATGTCATGTTTGGATAATTATTTATTCCCTTTTGTTTAAGTCAGTATTATACACAGGGATTTATATTTGTATATTTTTTGTGCCAATTATCAATGCTCCATGTGAAATGCATTTACAGTAAGTGTGCTGGGACAATGGTATCTAACAAGGTCATGTATCAGTCATAAAACTACAAATAAAGGAAATCAAATCAGTGTGTTACTAGCTTGTGTACTTGAAATCAATACAACAACCTTCTGGTCTCAGGGGAGCACTGGATCACTCACTAGTTGCTTATTCTCTGACAAAGTCAAACAAATATGATTATGGTAAACTTATTCTGTGCTTTCATTTACAAGTTGGTAATTTATTTTAGTTGTGGATACAAGTTGAACATACAATGCCTTAAAGAAAACACAAAGAGCGAGACTCACCTGTAAACTAAAATGATATTCTGTCCCTTCTCTAAAGAATGAATAATAATCAAATATTTTTACCTCACCAATAAAGCTGGACTGACTACATTGTCTGGGCGCACATCTAAAGAGTACAATAGGCTATAAAAAAGGCTTGGCTAACATGTCCTCAAGAAAAACAGGTACAACAAGAGATGCAGTGAATGGTGGATCTGATGATGCCCTCAGGTGTTTGGGAAGTAACATGTTTGAAAGTGGAGGGCAGGTGACTAAGAGTGAGAGGAGGACACAAAACATGTACATGTTTTTTTTTTTTAATTTTTTTTATAAAGACAGCAGCCAACCCACTCACATGTCCACACATGTAGGCTATATTCAACACCGGAGAGTTTTGAAGGTCTGACCACAAGCAGAAACATTTAGTCGATTATGAGAAAAAATCAAAGCACACAGAGCATCAGTTTAAAGATTTTTATTACAATGAGCTCAGGACAGAGCAGACAATAAATATCCAGATAAATATTACATGTGAGTTACAACATTGTAACTAACACATTATAGTGTTAATTACAGTTGGTACCCCACATTTTTAAAGAATTAAAAAAAATGTATTAAACGTATTAAACTCTCTAGTTCATCCTCAGGGACCTGATAAAGACTCATTGGACTCTTGCTTCCCAAAACTTCCTGAAAGAGTTTGACTAATGCGATGTTATAATCACCCATTCATTTTTCCAATGATTTCTGTGCATAGACTATCATCAACCATTTCTTTCCAGCACGTTTCCAAAATTTCAGATATCCTGGGGGAGATATCCAGTTTTTCATCTTTTAGGAATGTTAATTTCCCAATCTGTTATGTTCCATTTAGTAAATGTTCCTCATACGTCTGTCTGGATGAACTGGCCATTCTCTGTAATTCTTTTAAGCCAGATTTAAGATTACTGTTGAGCTCTTCTCTATTATGGAGTTGAACTTCACGGATTATCTGAAAATGAAATTCCTATTGTTCAATCTGAAAGGTTCTTCAACACATTTTCTCTTGGATGTTTTTTTCTCCAATTTCTCACTTTCTGAAGGATGGACAATTATTGGATGGATATTATTGTGTTAATTACAGTTGGTACCCCACATTTTTAAGAATTAAAAAAAATATATTAAACCTATTCTCCCTCTAGTTCATCCTCAGGGACCTGATAAAGCCTCAGTGGACTCTTGATTCCCAAATCACATTTCAGCAGACGGTCCTGAAAAGCGTTTAACTGCTGCGATGTTAAAATCATTAGTTATTTTTACATATATTTCTGTGCGTTGACTATCTTCAACCATTTCTTTCCAGCTATTGTTCAAAATTTTAAAGATATCCTGTTGTACATCTTTTGGGAATGTTAGTTTCGCAATCTGTTGTGTTCCATACAGCAGATGTTCATCATATGTCCGACTGCATGAACTGTCCATTTCTTTTAATTTTTTTATGGCAGATTCAATTTTATGTTTGAGATCTTTTTTATTTTGAACTTTAGCGATTGTCTTAAAAATACTTGGACAACATTTGAATTTGCTACTTTTCAATCTGAAAGGTTTGCTCTTATACAGATGGACGATCCTGCTGTAACCTGAGATATCAGTTGTTTTTACAACATTTCTAAAATAATTTGGACCTGTGAGTCCCCAAAACTTGGTGAATCCCACATATGTAATGATTCCATATTCAACATACCAGTGATTAGCAGTCTCTAAGAGTAGAAACATGCAGGGAGTGATGTTGTTGTCCTTTCTTTTTAAACATGGACTGTTGTAGGTGTATATTAAAATCTGTCTTGCATTGGTTCCATTTTCTAATAGAAATTTCTTCATATCTTTTATTAATAACTCCTCACTGTGTAGCATACATCCACAGTTTTGGGGGTCAAACTTTTGTGGCACAACTCTTGGAAAAAACTTATATTCACCATTTTTCAGTATAACAAAACCTAATGCAAATTGTTTTTTTTTTACTGTGTGCTTCTTTATTTCTGCTATAAAAATAGGGTATAAGGGTGTAACTGGAGGCAATCTTTTAAAACTTTGATTCATATCAACACTAATCAACTGATTAAAAGGGTCCCATTTTCCATTGAGATCCCTCATTGTTCCAAAGGTGTCTTTTAGCTCGGTAAAAGCGATGTTGTTAACTTCAAGAAAGAAAAAAATAAACTTCCGAAGAAGCTTTTTGAAGCGCTTGACGATTTTTTTTCTCCAGGGAATGACGGTGATCCTCCTCTCTGCTGGTGCTCTCTCTGCTGGTCCTCCTCTCTGCTGGTCCTCCTCTCTGCTGGGTCCTCTCTCTGCTGGTCCTCTCTCTGCTGGTCTTCTCTCTGCTGGTCCTCTCTCTGCTGGTCCTCCTCTCTGGATATTAAAGAGGTTGAACTTAATTACATTTTCAAACTAATTACTAAAAGTCAAGTACTTACAGCAGTTGGTTTTGAAGGTACGGACAAATGAACGTTACTTTGCTAACAGCAGCAATCAAATCAGAAAGTTCTTCATTTGTCCGTCCTGAACTGACTTATAAAAGTCGATTTAAATATAAAATTATGTTTACTTTTGTTTGTTTTGTGCAATAAAAGTATAAAAAAATATTTAAAATAAAGGTAGATAGACTTATTTTAATGAACAGAAATCATGACATTTGAAAAATATCGCACAAAACAAAAAGTTTGTTATCACATTTAATTATGATAAGATAATGGTTACCAGTCTACTTTATTGACTGGAGTGCATTAAATAATCACTATTGTAATGCATTTCCTCATTCAGATTTCTGCTGCTGACCTGTGTTAGATTTGTTTACAACATTTGATTCATTAACTTTTACTCAATCTATTTCATTGGACCAGTTAACAGGTATTACAACATTTATTTCTTACGGCTTACCTTCGCCATGGAATTGGCTGTCCTTCTGTGGAATACGTTGAATACACCCCTTCATATTCTTCTGGAATAAATTTTTCCTGCGTCTGTCCTGCTTGGTGAAAAAAAAAAGGATAATTACCTCTAATTATGGAGTGTAGATAGAAAACTATAAAGGTTTGAAATGATTTTCTCCGTTAAAGATTTAAGAGGTCTTGTTGGTAACAATTATTGGAGTGTAAATTGAATATTTTATATATTTGTATCTCAAACAGTTGTTCAGTTTTGACCACATTTTTTTTTCTTAATAAGTTGTTTTGTGATGTGTAAAAAGAGCGTAGTTACCTGCATGGTCAGAGGCTGTAGACAATCAAGAGAAGTGAAAGATTCGGTTAATAATTGGTTTGTTTGCGTTTACTTTGTATAAAAATGCTTTAAGTTTTGATATATTTGCCTTTTTTATAACATCAATACAAAAAGACTAAATACAAAGAAAAAAAGAATCATTTAAATACAATCCACTGGAGGAGAGCTTGTTAAAAAACATTTCTTTGACTTACACAAAATGGTCCCCTGCCGAAGGCAACCTCCACAGGGGCTGACAGATCCTCTCTCTCTCTCTCTCTCTCTCTCTCTCTCTCTCTCTATATATATATATATATAAATATAGATATAATATATATTCTATTTATTTCTATAAATTTATAATAATCTATATATAAACTATTTAAAAGTTTATATATAGAGGAAGATTGTCAGCCCCTGTGGTGGATAGTTGTTATATCTGGTCTCCTTTAAATGAAGTACAATATAAGCGCCAATAATATCCAGTCTGATGATCTCTAATGTTTGCCAAACTAAACTTTGCCAGCAGGCTTATAAATGCTTCCTTGTTTTCAATTGGAATGCTGGTTGTCAGGTTTTGAGGATGTGCGTCGTCAAGCATGTTTCTGCAAGACTGAAGACTGAAAATAGGTTTCATATGTCAGAACCCAACAACATGTCATGAAACCTGGAGGACCAGATGATGTAAGCAACTAAAGAGATGGAACATTAAAAGGACTATAAAAACAGAATTCACAGCAGTGAAAAAGGTAATAGCGATATAATGAGACTAAAGTAATTAAAGAGGTGTAAAGAATAAAAAGATGAAGGCAACAAAATACAGCAATGCTAAATAGGAGCGATTCAAATAATGATGAAAGCTATAAAAGAGATTAAGCGCAGTAAAAAGAAAATTAGAAATCATAAAAATGATGAAAGCTATAAAAGGGAGATAAAAGCATTAATACAGTAGAGATAGTAAAATAAACAAAAATAAATCTTTGCTGTTAAAGCAATACAAAAAAGTAAAAGCAACAGAAGGAAATGAAAGATGACAGTGAAAAACAATAATTAAAAGACACAGTAACAAGTGAGAGGTAGAAGATATCAATATAATGAGGGATAAGAAAAAGACGTTGCATAAAAGCAATCTATAAAAGTGAGTTTAAAGAAGAGATTTAAAATAAGTGACAGATTCTGAGAGCCTTATCTTTTCAGGGAGGTCGTAGTATAAACCGTTTTATGTATATATAGTTTTCTCTCTTGTAATTACATATTAGTGATATAGGAGGTGTTTGAACTGTGTTTAGTTTTATTTAAACAATTGAGGGATGTTATCTGAAAGAGACAAAACTCAGGAGGCTTCAAAGAAACATACATCTTTATTCACACTCCCCACAAAAAATAACAGATTCATATATTGTACAGCCATGTGACTGTTCTTTTGTGTATGCTGCCACCTTGTTGATTTCTACACATTTTTATGTGAAGAAGTAAATTTTAATGATTATTTTCCTCCAATAATTTGAAAATACAGGCAACTAACATTTACTTTTGCAGACACTTTCAATGCCATACTTACA